TTATGCTAGGAATGAGTAACAGTTGTGTTATTCTATTTTAAGTGACTACATGGATCAGGATGAGATGGATAACACTTTTTCTCTGTTAGTTCTAAAACCACCTACTTATTAACAGGCATTACTGAGGTTTTTTTAGATTTGGAATGAAACCATTTCGCTCTCTGTCTTCTTTAAACAGAAGAAGGTTTATAACCCCACACCATTATTAGCTTCTGTTGTCCTAAAGCTTCTTTCGCTATATTGCAGTTTATTTTGAATGGGAGTATAAGGAAGGATTTACACATATTGGTGCTTGCTGGGCCATACCAACCAACCAAACAAAATTGTGGCCCAAACCAGGAATCCATTATTAGCTTTTAGTTTCCTAACACTTCTTTTTTTTTTTGCTAGATTGCAATTTGTTTTGAATGTGAGTAGAAGGAAGGCTTTGCACATAGTGGCACTTGCTGGGATGTGAGTGTATATCAAAAAAGACAAGTTACAGATAATCAAAGGAACCATTGCAGTTCAATTCCCATTCATTTTGTCATCAAAAGATAAATATACATTCAAAAAGGCTGAGGATTGCATCATGATGCTGCTTACATCACGTTTCTATTTCTGATCCCACCTTCTGGGTTCCAGTGTTTTCACATGTTTCCTAGGTCTCCAGTCCCGTTTTAATATTCTGTTCACAGTTTCCAGATGAAAGAAACACTCTTCTTTTATCATTTTATTTTTTAAAATATATATTTTATTGATTTTTTTATAGTAGCAATCTTTAATACTTGGTAAACAAGGTGTTGTCTGGGTTCATATATTTAACAACAATCAACAATAGTTAATTTCTATGGTTTCATAATCAACATACTAACTAGAAATACCTTTTCTTGATCCTCTCTTCTTCCAATAATATTCTCTCTTTACCAACAGTTCTTAGTATTTTCAATACATATAAAGTTGAATATAAAGATTTTTCTAATATTTATAGGAATAACAATAATATCAATATGTAGCATCTTTTCTAATCAACTTATTTTACAATTGCATTTGCAAAAAATCATCTTATGTAAATTGCTATAGGTTCTGTTCAGAATTCTTATTTAAGCTTAATTTTCCCTCAGTGATCAAAACATTTCTTGTCAATTATAATTTTCTCAAAACTGAGTATATTTAAATATCCAAAACATTTCACACATTTAAATCATCCAGTATTTTACGTTTCACATATCATAAAAAAATATTATACTACTTGTAAATCACACCTCTCTTATTATAAATCCCATTCATGTCCAAAATTTAACTATTCTTTTAACCATATTCAAACAAGTATTTGATCATATAGTACTCCATCTATTAGGCACATCATCTCTCTTGAGTTTGGCTCTCTCCTATTTTTATTTAAGCTTAATTTCTCCTCAGTATTCAGAACATTTCTTGTCAATTATAATTTTCTCCAAGTTGAATATATTTAAATATCCAAAACATTTCGTTCATTTAATTCATCCCATTATTTTTACATTTCCCATATCATAAAGAAATACTATACTATTTATACATCACATCTCTCTTACTATAAAACTGATTCATATCGAAAATTTAACTATTCTTTTAACCATATTCAAACAAGTGTTTAGTCATGTAGTACTCCATCTGATAGTCAAATCATCTCTCTTGAGTCTAGCCCAGTGATGGCGAACCTTTTAGAGACCGAGTGCCCCCAAACCACCCCCTGCCCATGCTCCGCCTCCCATCCTGCCTGCTCCGCCCCTGCCTGCCCCCTGCCCCGCCCGCCTGCAGACTATGCACCACCTCCATGGCCTGCCGCAGCAGATTGCCCAGGCAAGATTGCCCATGGAAGCCATGCCCTCCGCCCACACCCTGCAGCATCATCTGCACACTATGAGGCACAAGGGCGGTGTCTTGTCCCTGCTGCCTGGCTATGTCCTTGGCTGCGCTGCTCCGTGCAGGCCGCACCCAGGAGAAACTCTCCAGGGGCACTGCTGGTGAGGAGGGGGCTGTGGGGGATGCGGGGCTGGGGCGATGGCACAGGTGCCCACAGAGAGGGCTCTGCCGCCTCTGGCATGCCATAGTTCAACTGGTCTAGCCCTTTTCTTCTTCTTTTGCCAGGAGTTTTCTGAATCAGTATGTTCAGCTTGCCAGAGGATTCTTCCTGTATTTTTATAAGTGTTGTTAAAAATGGGAAAGACAAAATGAGTAAAACACTTTTGAGGGGGCGTTTCACCCATTTATATTTGTTAAAAAGCTTCCACTTTCCTTCTCCCTCAATTTCTCTTTTCAGCTTTTGTCTCCCAAGCTCTAGTGGTTCTCCTGACAGCTCTATAGTCTATTTTATCAAATCTTCTTTCTTATCCTCAGTGCTGAAAGATAAAATGTCTTTTCCATTTCCAATATTATAGCTAAGGTGACCAACTTTTTTACAATGAAAAGGAAGACACAAATAAATTGAAGAAAAAATATCATAAATAAAAGAAACATTTTATTCATTGCAACAATAATACAGATGACTTGCATGTGCAAAGTTTGTCAGCCGGGTGTTTTGGCATGCTCAGCAGCAATTCCTATTGGCTTTCGAAAGCCAATAGTGGGAGTAGCACAGCTCATGCAAAAGTTGAAAAAAAAACCCATCAAAAAAAGGTGCCGGAACACCGTTCTGAGCATTCTATGAGGGGGAAAAAAAGCCTGCAGATTAGTCTTCAAATATCGAAAAGGAGGACAAGGAGGACACTTTTTGAGGGAGGACAGAACTTACAAAAGGAGGAATGTCCTCCCTAAAGGAGGACGATTGGTCACCTTAATTATGGCAGAATCTTGCAGACTTTTCTTTGTCTGTGTTAAACTGTGATTTTCTTCGTTTGTAGCTTCCATCTTTGGGACACTTTCCTCTGGTCTTTATTCTATTGTCTGATTTATTAGTTCATTCTTTGTCATCATTTTCTAAGAGTTTTTTTATTGTGAGCTTAGATCAAGGATGTGCTCATTTATATCATCAAAATTATTTTCAATCTCATCATGATTTGAAACAATTGTTATTTGAATTAATTGCAACATAGCATGCATTTCCTTGTGGAAGATATTTGTCTTGTCTTGAAGTATTACTCCTGCAGATATCTGATATTCCAGACTGAGGATTTTAGAAAGGAATATTGAGTGTGGTTTCCTACCACTTTTGGTTATGTGTTCAATTTCCATTTTCATAAACCAACCAGTCTTAAATTCCACTGTAATCTTATATAGTTCTTATCTTTATGAACAGTCCAAAATGTTCAACCACTTAAAAACAATCCAGTAATTTCCCACCTAGAAAAGTGTCCAAAAAGTCAAGGTTTTTCTTTCTCTGCAGACAATTCTTGAACTTAAATATCATAGCTCATTAAGTGTTTATAATCTGAGAAGGTCAGCATATTTTATAACAATTGTGTTTCTCATTCTACAATAGATAGCCCAGTGTATTTTCTCTCCTCTACTCCCAGCTGTTCTCTATTTAGCTAAGATTCACTGAGGATCAAAAACAAGTTGTGCTCTATTTCAGAAATAGAGAACAACTTGATCCTCAGTGAAATTGGTTGCCAATTTCTGAGGCAGGGCAGCTGTAGTTCTAAACTCTGATCCACCACTAGATGTCAGTAGCTATTTATTTTCAACTTTTAAAACGAAAAAAAATTTTTCTTGTAGTTTTCTCAATATTCTTTCAAATGAAAAATCTTAACAATTTCCATAGTTTTCAGTTTTATCAAGGTTATAGCTTTACATTCATCCATTTCAATATATTTCTGTCCCCCATAAAAGTTAAGTCGCCACTTCCATCTATGGAAGGGTGGGGTTATAATCCCCCTTCCTTCTCACTTTTGGAGGATTTTTTGCTTCTTGGGGATCTTTTCGAGGAAATCAGTTTCAAAATGGAGAAGAGAAGATCTATGTTCTCACTCAGTTCCAAACACGCTGTTCACAGTTGTTCTTTTGGACTTCAGATGCTGGTAGCTTGGGCTAGTCACCGGAGTGCAGCTAGCCTTTCCCCTGTCAGGCTGGAGGGTTTCCCCTGGATCAAACGGACCAACCACCATCTTTCCATGATTGGGGGGGGCTTCTTCGTCGCCTCTCCGGGGAGACTTTAGACCCATTTAGGGTCCCCTGGCAGGATGAAACCATCTGTGGGGTGCGGAGCTCCGCAATCCCTTGGCCATGTCACCATGATGCAAAACTAGAAGCCCTCTTCTTTTATCATTTTAAAGAACTCCGCAAGGGCACTTTGACTCAGCATTTTCTTACTGTCTCCTTTTATGTGTCGCATGAATTCCAACTATAGTCAATATTATATTGGCTAATTCAACATTACCATGTTTTCTTATATTCTTTGCCTCTATTCTATTAGATGGCCTTCTAGGAAACTTTCCTGAAATTTCAGTATTTTAAAATTAAGAAATATGACAAATCTACATTTTGTACATTGAAAATGATATTCTTAATTACAATGATCGAATATATTTGTTCCACCTAAATGATAAATAGAAAGGCTGGCTATACATTTTCAATACCTCATATACTACCACAAAAAATGTAGCTATGCTTCATACTTTATTTTCAAATTAGGTTGACTGTCAGGAGAAGTCAATCACTGAGGATGCAGTTCCATATTAGACATGATGCAATCAACAATGTGCTTTGGTGTGGGATTCTACAAGTGAATATCTCACCCTGAATATTGCCTATTGATAAATGGTATGATTTGTTTGAGGGCTCTTTATACCAAAAAGAGCCATATGGATTTTGTCTTTCGTTTACTTTTAGATAACTTTTTTCTAAACTTAGAGTGAATGATCTCCTAAGGAACACTGTGTTTAAAATGGTAATACTATCTCAGTGATTTGCCAACTTTGAAATGTGGTAGCCAAAAGCAAGCCTATTCCACTGAATGGAGCTTCAGTCTTTTGTTCCAAAGTCCCGCCTAGATAGCACCAAACTAGTTTAATGCAGAATCTTTTTTCTTTCCATTCTAACAGGATGGATTCACTCCACTCGCAGTTGCATTGCAGCAAGGACACAATCAGGCAGTGGCTATTCTTTTGGAGAATGACACTAAGGGGAAAGTGCGACTGCCGGCACTGCATATTGCTGCCAGAAAAGATGACACCAAATCAGCAGCACTTCTCCTCCAGAATGATCATAATGCTGATGTTCAGTCTAAGGTACAAAAATACCTCTTTGTTTCAGGATGCTATCAGTCCTGTTTCCAAGGATTTTTTCCCCAAAGAGCAGGATAAAGGGATTCTTTTTTCACTGAGATTGGAAGTGCAACCATTTGCAGCTTTTTGCATGATTCATATATTTATTAATTTATGGTTTACAGCATATTTATACAATATCTTAATGTGGTTAATAAGTATACAGCATTATAAAAGCTACTAACATGGATGCTGAATCTGATATATCCGCAAACCTTCCCTTTTTTCTTACAATGAAGATATGGACTTAAAGGCACAATTCATGCTTCAGATTTCTTTTTCTTGTGTTGACTATCTGTGGCTTTTCAGTACTTTACATTTTTTGAAAATATAATCCAATTAATGCTGTGTTTTGGATTCTGAAATATAAAATTTAGACTTTTGATTATTTAGTAGGGGAAAACAACTGTTAAAAAGTGTTGTTGAGAAGGTTGTGGACTGTGTGATCTCTGGAAATGTGGAATCCCATACACTCACATTAGAAATTAATCATATGTATCGGGTTTTTTTCCCCCAGTAACGAGATTGTAATTTATTTTAGTGAACAAGTGAGCTTTCTGTCATTCTACCAATCTGTAATATCTTTCCTCTTTTTTCCAAAACATGCTTCAACAGATGATGGTGAATAGAACAACTGAGGTACTAAAACCAACAGTTTTGTTAACCTATTCTTCCCAGCCCTTTACTGAAAACCATTTCATTCCCACTCCCCTTGTTCCATACAGTTCAGAGTATACCACATTTCATTTTTATCTACTCTTGTCAGAAATATATACTGTCTCATCTTTTTTATTTTATTTTGTTTTATGGCTTTGAGATGCTCTTTGTATTTGTTTTTCATAGTAGAGTAGGGAACTAAAATAGTGGGCCTGCAGAGGAATTATTAAGTGCAGAACAATTGCCTGTAACATGAATTTATTTCTGTAGCAGTGTAAATCCATTCCAAAATTCATCTGGACAATTGGTTTGGATCGTTGCTCGCAGATGGCATTTTTTAAATTTTTCAGCTTCTTTCCCTCTTTATAATTTATTATGTTTTCAAGTTCTGGGCAACTTAATATACTGAAATCAGTGGAACTTTGTTCCAATTTAAAAGTATTTCCAGCTCAGCAGAGCTCAGATCCTATTTTCTTGATGAAAAAATAATAAAAATGTTGACAACTGGATGTTGAAAGCACTTTACAGAAGCTACTTCTTAATTTCACAGAATTGCTTTCTGTAGACACCTATGGAAATTTGCCATAGAAGATGGATAGCTAAGCACGGACAGCTATAGTTTATGGACCCAAATTTTGTTAGCAACATTCCTCACTTTCTAAATCATATGGAGAATCAACAAGTAGCATGGCAAAATTTGATACAGTACTTGATACGAAGTATAAAAAATTATTTTTTTCTCAGAAAACAGAGAAAATGAGTTTTGCATCTGAACTAAGAAAAATAAATAAATAATGAAATGAGCAAATAAGAAATCATAACATTTAATTCTTGTACAGTTAAAGTAGTCCAGAAGTAGAAGAATAATTCTGGTTTACAGTCTTAAAATTTTAGCTAACTATTGTTTTATGGAAAAAAAATGAACTGGATTTTCTAATTAGAATTATTTCATTTTTGCAGAGTGGTTTCACACCTTTGCATATAGCAGCACATTATGGAAATGTTAATGTAGCGACACTTCTACTCAACCGAGGAGCTGTTGTAGACTTCACAGCAAGGGTATGCTTTCTCATCTTCTGCACATAGAAATAACAGTGAATTTTGAAGGAAATTTTCATTAAATGCATTGAAAAGGAAAGAAGGAAATAAGGAAGGAAAGGAAGCAGCACATCTGTTTTATTCATGGATTTTTTTATTTAAAGGCAATGATTCTCCATTCCCCTTCCCCTTCGAAGTAATATCATGTTTCATAGTAAGAAAATAGTTGACTGTAAGGTATTCGTTATATTTTACAGGGTACCACTATAAATGAACAAAAAATATATCTAATACAAGTAATCCTCTATTTACGATCACAACTGAGCCCAAAATTTCTATTGCTAAGTGAGACAGTTGCTAAGTGAGCATTGCTCCATTTTACGACCTTTCTTTACCACAGTTGTTCAGTGAATCATTGCAATTGTTAAGTTAGTAACAAGGTTGCTAAGTGAATCTGGCTTCCCTATTGACTATGCTTGTCAAAAGGTCACAAAGGTTATCACATGACCTCAGGACATTGCAACCATCATAAATACAAGTCTGAATTTTGATCCCATGACCACGGGGGTGCTTTAACAGTTGAGTGGAAAACGATCATAAGTCACTTTTTTCAGTGCCATTGTAACTTCAAATGGTCACTAAACAAACTGTTTTAAGGCAAGGATTACCTGTATTAATATAATAGGTATATTCTTTCATTTTTAACTAATCTATATTTAAGTTGCGAATTGTATATGAATTGGGCATTGGAGAAAAAAATGTATGGTAGCAAAACCAAAAGCTTTAGTATTCTATAGCAGAGGTCCCCAACCTTTTGGGCACCAGGGACCAGTTACGTGGAGAGAGTTTTTTCCGTGGACCAGAGGGGGCATGGTTTTGTGTGCTGCCTGCATCCCTCAGATGGGGTTTTGCTTTTTTTTGCAGCCCAGTTGCTGGCATGCTGCAGCCCGGTACTGGTCCATGGACCGGGGGTTGGGGACCCCTGTTCTATAACATGTTCACCTTGACAGACTTTAATGCATCTGCTGCTTTCTCTCAATCATCAACGTATTGCTTGTTCCACCCACATCATTGACAGATGAAGATGGAAGCAGACTTTCTCTTATGAAAGCTTCCTTTAAATTTTACATATATGTTGAAGCACAACTAGGACAAGATGTGGGAAAGACCTTGGGAGATCTGAGCAAGACAAGACATCATGCCAAGGGAATGGAGATATGAGACAATATTGCCCACAAGTGGATAATGAGTTGGACAAGAGGTTTAGAAGGCACCTTCCATAGTGTATCTGGCTATAAAGCAGGTGGGGATGGGAGGATTGCACTTCCAGAGTTGAGAGATTATCATTGGCTTTGTGGCATAAACCAGAAATGAATCACAACCAGAAAAGTTAATTATACTGTATTGTAAAGCTACATTGATAGAATCTAGCAATTTCCCAGTTTCCAAGGTCTTTCCCGCATATCATCACAGCAGTAACAATTATCATCTAGCTACTTAGAATAGGGTCAGTTGTAATCCTTCATATTTCAAGATAGTAGATTGGAAAAGTTTGCTTTATTAACCCGTTTTTCCCATATAGATCTTCATATGGATCATGTTACTCCTTTAGGATCGTTACTGACACTTCATAATTTGTTTTTTTCTCTAAACTATATAGTGATTGGTTTGTTTTACATCAGTACAAGCTCTAAATCCACTAAGACTTATCTTTATCTAGAATGCTATGTTTTGGGGAAAACAATTGTATCCTTGATTTATCTCTATGAATCATTTCATAGTGATCAAATTCACTTCATTAGGGCATCAATTATATTTCTGTGATGACCAAGCTTTTATGTTTTAACTATTCTTGATAAACTGGCTTGTATTTTTTTAAAAAAATATATTAGGTATTGGCCTTTAAAGAATAATACCCTAAAATAAATTTAGAAATGTTTGAATAAGCTGGTTGATTATTTATATAAAGTTAGAAATATGTGCTCATTTCTACTCTGTTTAATTCTTGAAATCGTGCAAATAAAACCTTACTTTTTAAAAAACAAGAACAACAGTACAGCTTTTCAGCTGGAAGTCTCCTGTATCCTAAATATTCTTACACAGAAGTGCTGTTAATTTTGAACATCTTATAACACTATCTAACTATTTTATTTATTAGTCATATTTAGACACTACTTATTTCCCTCATAGAGCAGCTATTATTAACTGTCTGATAAGTTGCATGGGCTCAGCTCAAATGTTTTTCCCTGCTTAATTTCTACATCTTATTAGGATTGATTTTCTTCATATATTTAAAGTACTGTTTAATTTTTTTTCTTTCTGTTTCCTACCATCATGCTAAATCTTTACCCACTATTCATGAATATGAAATGAAACAAAATCTTCAGACCTGTTTAAGACATTTTAATGCAAACAATTAGTTATGATAATTGGCTTCATTGTTGCTGTCTATGTATTTAGGCATTTGATAGAATATAAATATAGATTATGAAGGTCATTTTGTCTTTCATATTGTTTGTGTATGTCTGTAGCAAACTTTTGATGTTTTGATCTTTTTAAATTTAAAATAGTGCACTACAACACATAAATATATAAAAGAACATATTTAAAAGCACATGTAATAATTATGGGTTTACTTGCATGAATCAATAGAAACATATGGACATATAGCATTGTTTTTATTACATTTAATCTAGGCTACTCTAAACCTTAATGCTAAATGCTGGTTATTTCTTTACACATTTAATTAATCAGAGTTCACACTTAAATGACAAAACTATCACCCTTTTCTAGTTCTCCAGAATTATTATTATTTTATTGTTAAGTTTACGTAGCTCTCCTTCTAATGCTTATGGTTCTGGGAGATATAATTAAAATAACAACAAAACAATCAAAACAATTAAAAACAACATTTAAAACTACCCTAAAATAAAAACCATAGGAGAGTGCATTCCAAACTTATAAACAATATCATTTAGTGGGCTCCATACTTACTGGAATCTTAGGCTTGATGACAAAAACACATTTTAAGGACCTTCCAAACAGTCAATAGGGTACCATAGGAGAAAATGTTTTCCTTCTGAGTCTCCTCCTTGAGGATGGAATCCACAACAAAACCCTAATGCTGGATCTGAGGGGGTGGGGAGGTAGCTGGGTAGAGATGTCTCTCAAGTGACTTGAAAATAGGTGAAATACTAAAAGGTTGCAGCATTAATAACCTGCACATTATTTACAAGTTATCTTGCACCCATTACTGATGGACTTTCTCCAGGGTATATTTAAATGCCCTCCCTTATGCAGTCATGGATGGCAGAAATAAAGGAAACTCTGTAATACTTAGACATCTAACAAATCCCTGATTATATTTTTCAAAGGTGTACACTCTACATGGAACTATGCTTTCAATGATTTTTCCCTGGAAAAGGTTGTCTGGCTACCCTGATCAAATTTTATTTATTTAAAATAATAACAGAATAACAGAGTTGGAAGGGACCTTGGAGGTCTTCTAGTCCAACCGCCTGCTCAAGCAGAAAACCTATACCTTCTTAATTGTTGTGTTCCTTATTCATAAGCTATGGCTTATCCAGATATAAGTAGATTGTAAGTTAACTGTTTTAACACTGTTTTATATTTTTGGATAACACTTGGCTTATTTTAAATTATCTTGTTCTAGTTGTACACTGTAATAAAGGAGGAGGATGTTGAATGACCTCAATTGATCTTGCAAAAAGTTAAAGTGGGTTGGACCTGCTTGCACTTAATGGGAAGGTATAAGGAAAGGTATAAGGACTAGGGCAGCGGTGGCAAACCTATGGCACGCATGCCAGAGATGACACTCAGAGCCCTCTCTGTGGGCACACGCACCATGCCCTGGAGATGGCAACTGTCCCTCTTCAACCAGCTGCCTGCTAACTCACCGAGCTCCCACATGGCTGGATGCATCCCAGCATGGCTGGTTTCCCTCCCCCCCATCCCATCCCTCCTGGCCTTGCATACTGTCCTTTTCCCAGGCATGACCCACTGCATTGCCTCCTCAGCTGTCGGCCGGCTGTCCAGCTCAGAGGCAGCTTCTCTGAACTGCTGGCGGTAGGCTGCAGAGCCCCAGAGTGCACTGGTCGAGGGGCCGGCAGGCTGTGGCTGCTGACAGACACTGTTAGCCCCCATGCACTTGCTGGCTTCTGTGTGTGGGGGCCAAAGGTGTCAGGCAACAGCCGCCCCGGCCCATGCCTCACCTTGCCCTGTGACAATGGCACCCCTGCCTCGCCTTACCCAGCCTCACCCCGCAGGACGAGCCTCCTGCCCACCACCCCACCTGCCAGAGACCCCCTGGATCTCCTCCAATTCTGTCCAACGCCCACAGGCGTCCCTTCCCATGAGCAACATCGATGTGACCATGCCCACCTTGGCCACACCCACTCAGTCTGCCATACCCACAGCCATGCCCATCCACTGGGCCACGCCCACCTGGCACCCGGTGATAAATAAGTGAGTTTTGAGTTGCAGTTTGGGCTGTAAAAGGTTCGCCATCACTGGACTAGGGATTAGAACTCTGATCATCAAAACACATTCTTTTATAAAAGCTTCATTCAGAATGCTTGGGTCCATGCTTGGATTTTTTCTAACCAACCAAGAAAGCAGTGGCAATCACTTCTGTTATATTGCCTAGAAAACTATCCAGATCTTTTCATATCATCGCCATGATCTGAGCTCAACTTGAGAGTATTTTTATCTTTATTAACTATCTGTTCACTCTAATGAAATGCTAAACATGACACAACATAAATGTTATGTTTCTAATACACATCTCCATCAGAAACATAACAACATTTATGTTGTGTCATGTATAGATAGACATACTATATGCCTAGAGTTAGGTTTTGATTGGCAGCCTTTATGAATCAGAATTGTTTTTAAATGTTTAATGTGCTCTGTGATACATCTTTGTTTATATTCTGTACTGTTGTGTGTCAAAATGCAAAACCATTCCCATTGAACGTCTCCAACCCCATCATGCTTTTGTTTGTTCTTTTCATGGTGTAGAATGGAATCACCCCACTGCATGTGGCTTCCAAAAGGGGGAACACTAACATGGTGAAGCTCTTGTTGGATCGTGGAGGGCAGATCGATGCCAAAACCAGGGTGAGTGTTTTCTTCCCTGAATGTATGTTCTCATGCATTTTAATTTTTCACTTGGTAGGAGTTAGAACTCTAATCATCAAAACACATTCTTTTAGAAGATTTGTTTTTCTTTGTGAGCAGAAAGAAATTCACACAGTGCTATTTTATTCATGGAAGAAATTCTATGAATATATATCCCCTTCCATGAGTGAAAACTCTTTTTTTAAAAAAATAGATGCTCTTTCCATTTTGCTTGTATGTACTTTGAAAAAGAATTTGGGCCTTTTGGTTAAGATCAAGTGCAGCATTTGTTCTTATCAGAAAACTATTCTGAAAAAGTGCTCCAGTACTTGTGCAAAAGTTCAAGTTCTCTTTTATTCATTAAAATGGCCTGAATTTTTTTCAAGCTACTTCATGAAAAAGATGCTACTGTTTTTTTTAATTTTTTAATTTTAATCTTCAAAGTGCACAGAGCCTTGTTTTCAGTTTATAAAGGAAAACTTTGGATTAATCTTCAATCCTCAGTGTTTCCAGTCACCTATTTAATTTATTTCCCCTTGAAAGTTTAGAAACATACACAGATAAATTTTGTAGGTGGTTTATTTTAACATTAGCAATAAAACAGCACAATTTTTTTTAAAGAATTAAGCCAGTCGAATGTAAAAGCAAACCACTCTATAATTGAACCAATTCAGTTGTGATAATTTATTTAACTTTGGTACAATATGAGCAATAAACCAATTTAGGAAAAGCTTACTATTTTGTGGTTCCTAAGAGACACAAACGGTTTCTTCAGTCCCCTACTCAAAGACCAGTGACAAATTTCAGAAGGGAAAAATCATTACTGTAGTGCATTTTTCAGCTCCCCATAAAATGCTGAAGCTGGTTGTTTCCATATTTGTAAAATTCTTATACTGAGGATCAAAGGTTTCTCAGCCTTCTTCTACATCCCTGTTTTGGGAAATACATTAAGACAAACCTGCAATTAAAAGAATATCTAGATTTTTTTCCTCTCACTTTCAGGCTAAAAAATAATTGCAGAAAAATAATAAAATAAGTGGATGTATCTCACTTTCTTCATCCTAAGCTGCAACAGGATATTTGATATGCCATTATATTAAAAAAAACATTTTGAATGGCACTAGGAATTGGAATAGACAACAGTGACCTAGATTAGTCAGTGATTTATATGGTAAACAGCTGTTTGGTATATATCATATACAGCTTATTTGCAGAATTTGGTTGTATACTGATCAGTATTGCCAGATTTGCAATACTATGGAAATTTGTAATTATTATTTAAATATTTCTTGGCTTTGATATCTTAACATACAATTTATAATACAAATATAACAGTAAAGTACAGAAACATCTATTTCAAAATCCTAAAAATCATAATAGAACTCCACAAATAGCAATAATTAAAGAGTGCTCAAAGGTTGTGAGGATCTGGAGGGTGGGGAAGAACTGACTTCGACTCAACCTTGACATGAGAGAGTGACTTTTGGTTTTACTCCTACCTCTGGGTCTGATGATATGTCATCTTTGATTCTGGTGGGATTGCACTTTTCTATACAGTGCTGGTGCTCAATTTAGATACTGCTTGATAGCAAATATAATCACAACCTGGGGTGGGGATATTTTGCATAATTTGTACTCACACCTTGATCACTTCCAATTTGGGTTACTGCAAATTGCCCTACATGAGACTGCCCTTGAAGACCACCTGGAAGTTACAACTGATCCAAATGCAATGGTGCATGCAATGGTATATTGCACTCCTATCAAAATCTGCATTCGGTCCCTGTTTTCCTCTGAGTGCAATTCAAGGTGCTGGGTATTATTTTTAAAGTCCCACATGGCATGGGACCAAGTAATCTGAGGGACTGTCTCTTTCTGAGGCTATTTTTCTGTACCACCAGAGTGAATAGGATAGGGACATTCCAGTTTCTTTTCCTTAAACATTGCCAGCTTGTGAGACCTTGGCAGTATGCCTTTTCCATTTCAGCCCCTGCTTTATGGAACATTCTCCCTGCTGACATCCAATGGGCCCACTCTTCTTTGCCTTGTCTTTGCCTAGAGTACTTAAAAACTTGGCTCTTTCCCCAGACATTGGGATAGAGTGAGGTCTGGGTAGGATTAGAATATGGATGCACTAGGGAAGTGTGGCTATGATGACAAGATCTGTTTTTTTTTTCTGTTTGTTTTTTTAATTTGTTGTTGTTGACTTTATATGATTTTATTGGTTGCAAACTGCCCAGAATTGTTTTTAAATGGGTTGCTATACAAATGTTTTGATTTAATAATATAATTCTGCTAAAATGTGGGTTTACTTTAAATTCAATTATATTTAAATTCTAGAAGAGGTTAATAGAATCCATTGAAGATAAGCCTCAAGAAAATTATCAGGACTTTAAAGTTTTTATAAAAGCTGACAGTGAAGGTGCCTTATGAAGTTGTAGGGACAGTAAGCTCAGGAAGAGCTTTCTGCAAAAAAGTCTGATTAACTTGTGCTACCCAGCTAAACAGCTGCTGGAAGAGACGAAAAAAACCAAAGGAGCATCTACTCCTATAATGAAGATGAAAGATTTATTTAGGCAACTGGATATGGTAGCTATCAATGGCCTTTCTAATTCAAAATTCTTGGATATGATTACAGATCGAAGTATTCTAACAGTTCTAACATTCCATAGTCTATTTTATTCTTTCTACCAAACAGGGAACAATACTTGATGAAAATATAATCACAGATTCTATGATTTCCATAGGATTACTCTTTTGAAAAAGATTTAAAATTACTTTATTGTTTAATTTATCACCCATATCAGATGAGAGTGTTGCTCTGAGCTGCCAGCATAGAGAGATATTGATATCTGAAAGGACTGACATCCAATTTGCATAAATTTAGTGTTATTTTTCAAGACATTTTTCAGTGTGGGAGATTCCAGAATTTTGGTTTCATTTGTCGGTGTCATATGACTGTGCAATATCTTTGTGTCCAACTTTGATTCAGCTTGCATCATTTCCTTGCTTTGTCTACTTTGTCATGGTCATATGTAAGTGAATAATGATGATTTGCATAATTTATAATATAAAAGCCTTACAGGTAAAGATATGATTGTCGCGTCGAAAAATAGAATAACGTATATTCCGGCGTATAAGGCGACTGGGCGTATAAGATGACCCCCAACTTTTGAGAAGATTTTCAGGGTTTAGAAAGTCGTCTTATATGCCAGAAAATACAGTACAATATTGAATTTCAAAGACATTTGAAATGATGAGCACAATAGGAGCTCCATTCCTTTGCTGCTAGAAAGCGAGTGTTGCCCACCACTGCTTCCCTAATGCTTCCTGAACTCAGCTGGTATTTTTCCCCCCATATATTTTATTGATTTTTTAAAATATAAATCACTTAATAGTTGGTAAACAGTGTGTTTGCTGGGTTTACATTTGTAAAGAAAAATCATTAAAAATTGGTTTCTATAATCTATAATCCACATAGTACATTTAGTTGATTTTCCCTTTTCCCGAAAATGTCTTCTTTGCAAACCTTGAAATAATATAGTTCTTATTATTTTGATAAAATATATTTAATCTTTAAATATTCCATTTAATGTGCCTAGTCATCTAATCCTTTAGGTCTTATTCAAAACATTTTTTTCTTTTTTATACATTATAATTTCCCTAAATTCAGACACATTTAATTATCTAAAACATTTCCTTCATCTAGGCCATTTCAGCAGTATTATATTACTTATATCAAGAAATAAAATAAAGGGGAGAAAGCATACAGTATTATTTAAGGAATTCATCTCTCTTAGAATGACATATGTATTCAGAATCTTTTCTGTTTCTTTAATCATATTCAAACAAATGTTTCTTTTTTAAATATTCTCTCTGGTAGATCCCATCATCTATTTTCTTAATTTTCACTTTGATCTTTTTCCTTTGACCAGTATCTTTCTTAATCAATGTGATTTGCTGAATCAAAAAGTTTTTCCATATATTCATGACTGCTGCTATAGGTATAAGAAGTAAATCAAATGTTTCTTTTTTTTGTAGATGTAATGTCCTTAATTTATATAGCTTACTGTTTCCTACTATTTAATTGCTTTTCCTGAAAAAGAATAAAGTGATGGGCGATGTAGAAAAATGTATGCTTTGTCCTGTTAGTGCTTATTTCTGTAAAAAAAAAATAGGGCTGGCCACTAGGGGGCAGATTGGTTTTAAATTCAGAGAACAGCTACCCATATATTCCGGCGTATAAGACGACCCCCGACTTTTGAGAAGATTTTCAGGGTTTAGAAAGTCGTCTTATACGCCGGAAAATACGGTACATATTGCCAAAATGGATTGTATTAGTAACTACAGAAAAAACAAGTAATAAAGAGTCTCATACCTATTTTATCATTGTTGCTAGGAGCCCCTGAAATCCAGTGTAACTCAATCAAGTCAGCAGTAGCCAAAAGTATGTATTGGAACAATCAGTTTTGCCATGTCACTATGCAACCTCCCTCACCCAACAGCCAAAATTTAGAAAATAAGAAATTATATCAGGCTACTAAAACAAAACCATAAAAACAAGACAATATCAATATACTATCATTAAGGCAAAACCTAATAAATTGTGAACAAATAGAGACTTGGCTCAGAAGAAGGGAGAAAGGAACATGAATAATTAAAGGAGGAGAAAAAATTATTCAGTCCAGGGAAAAAGGAAATGTGAGCAAGAAATTAAAAATAACCCTTGATTTTGTTTGGTTTAAGATAGAGTAGAGAGAAATTTACATGCTTTTAAGATTCCATTTTACAACTTTAGAGGTAGAGAGACATTGACATGCTTTCAAGCTTCCATGCAAGATTAGACCAGCATAGAGAGGTGAAATGTACACTGCTAGGTTGCCTGCTAATCATTCCTGCTAAACCAGAGGTCCCCAACCTCTGGGCTGCAGGCCACCGCCCATTCAGAACCGGATTGTGCAAGTGGTGGGCGCTTGCGTACACACGCAGATCCACTTGCATGAATGGTGGCACTCAAGCATGAAGCTCCATTTGTGCAACTGGTGGGTGCTCGCTGCTTATACCATCAGAGTTGCGCACATTCACATTTGCGCCTGCTGCTCAAATGGCACCATCCCTTCTCTCCCACACTGGTTCACCAAGCCGGAAAGGTTGGGAAACGCTGTGCTAAATCACTTGTATTTATCTAAGTCAACTACAAGATAAAACATCATTTAACACTGGTCAGCACAAACATTTCTCATAAAAGCAGACCTTTTGAGACCATAATCTTTGGTATTAAAGATGAAGTTAGATCACTATTCTGATGATTACCAAGTTGTAAGGCTACAGGAATTGACAAAATAGTTGTAGAAATATGGCAAGCAATAGAAGAAGAATATAAAAGGGTTCTAACCAAAGTGTGCCAGCAAATTTGGAGAATAATACAATGGCCAGTAGGTTGGAAGAGGTCAATCTACATAACAGAGTATGTAAAGTATGGTACAGAGACTTAACAGTGTGTGTAAAGTATGGTACAGAGGACCCTACGTGGAAAGCTGATGTTTAAAAAGGCTAAGAGACACAAGATGTTAGATATTATTATTGATGCATGCTGGATAATTGAGAAAGCTGAAGAACATCAAAAAGGAAATAAGTCAGTATATGCTTCATTGACTCTGGAGAAGCCTTTGATTGTATCAGTCATGTTAAGCTGTGAAATGGGCTTAGAAAAGTGGAAATCTCACTGTCCTCATGCAAAACCTATACACAAGTCAGGTCATGAAGCCACAGTACAGTATATGGTGAAACAGACCGATTCCAAGTTGACAAAGCAGTGAGACAAGATTATTTATTTTCCCCTTATTTTTTTGACCTATATGTGGAATATATATTAAGGGAAGCTGGACCAGAAGAAAATGAGTGTGGTTTTGAAATTAGAAGAAGTGCCAGTAATGCACACTATGCTGATGACACAAGCTGAAAACACAAGGATCTGCAAACTCTACTAATAAAAGTCAAGGAGCACAATGAAAAAAAGTGCCTACATATACAAAAAACAGTCATACAAGTAATGGTTTTTCCACTGTGTTTTATCTTCTCTACTTTTTTGTATACAATTTTATTTTCTGATAAACATTTGGTAATTACTAACCATATTAAAAGTTCTGCCTGTTACATGCAAAGTTTATCTGCCATAATGGGATTTATTACAATAATGTGTAGCCTTTGCTTCCTGATTGGAGACACACAATAAGACTAGGTCATCAAATTGCCTGAGATCTTAGCACAAACTACTTCTGTTAGTTGAGAAACTAAGATGTTGGCACTGTGTTTCACTTAGTTACAGAACACAATTCCAGATTGTACATGGATTAAGAGATGACTCAGGTGCTCTATTTTTGGCAGAAGGTTGCTAGATTGCCCTTTTGTATGAATATTATCAGTTGTCACGTGGTGATAATGTTGTCTATTGATTTCTCCTGGGATTTTGGTGTTTGTATCTGGTGAATGCATCAGAGCAAGGCATTCAACTTTTTCTAGGCTGAGATCTGCTCAAAGAGACACTCTTTGTCTTCCATGAGTTATGCTAGAGGTCAAAAAAGACATTTGCTGCCTATAGCCTGAATTGTAAACATATCCATTTGTATAGTTCAGGACTACAATAAAATAGAGCCCTGGAACACACAGGGAACTGTATTCCCATTCAAACAAATATAAGTATGATCTCCTTCAGACTTCCAACTGGTGAGAGAATGGTAGAGATAACATGCAAGTCCTACTTTCTACTTAGGTCAATTCCTTCACATATGCAACTGAATATATATGAACAGGCTTACAGCCAATATGGTTTTCCTTTTATCTTCTTCCTTCAGCATTAGGGACACAAACAAAGGAACAGAAAAGTAGCTAAATTTTGCTGGGTGGGTGAGGTTCTTGTATTTTAGTCATTCTTTGAACATTGAAGTGTGTTGTTACAAAATACAGTTTATTTATGTAGCATTTGGTCAGGAGTAATGTGGAACAGTTGAAGTACATTTAGAAATAGAAAATTCTCTGTACAACTATTTATTCTTCTATGAGAAGCCCTGCCTAACCATTGATGCATTTCTGGGATTTAGAAACTGATACCTACTTTCAAATATAATGACTTGCTTTATTTCTGTGGTGAGAAATTTTAGCAACATTTAAGAGGACCATCCACTTAAGCGCATATAAAACATAACACAAGCTATTGGTAATAAAGTAACATTAATATTAATGGATTCTAAGGTAGTTACAGTTACAACTTTCAGGTCTTATTTATTTGTTGCTTTTAAATAACAAAAATAAAAAACGAATAAAACAGAAATAATGATGATAAAAATACATATATTATCAAATAATAAAAGGAAAATAAGTGCTTTAAAAAGGTGACAAAAATACAACAGAAAAAAGGAAAAAGAAACAAAGTATAATATATTGTTTTAACAGTAAACAGTTTCAATTATATATGTGTACACATATATATATATATCTACATGTGCATTTATACATATATACCTATACATATATATATACATATATGTACCTGCATGCATATATATGTGTTTGTCTGTATTTAAGCATTAGGCTCTTAAGAGTAAATAAACTGTAACCTAGAGAGCTCAATGTGTTGAACTCACTGAATGTTGACCTACATAGATCGTTATCATGTTTGCAGTACCTGCAAAAATAACATACAGTACAATTTGCATGTTTTTCTACATTTCTTTGGCAGAGTAGTTGTTGGTTTATTTTAAGGCTTTATTGTTTTTCTGCTTTCCATTGCTTGTTCTTGTAATCCAGAATCAGTAAATTGTTCACTGGTTTGCCTTTGAATAATCAGCGAGTTTCGTGCTAGAAAAGCCTTTGATGTGATTTGAGACAGCATCTTGTATACAAAAAAGAAAAAAGAAAAGAAAATAATGCAAGAATCATGTTCTGATAACAAGTTTGTCATACAATGCTTAAATGCTGTTTAATCTTCCTTGGCTGGCATCTTTTTTCCTATTTCCTATTTTTTATTTATTTAGCATTATTTTGATGCCATCTCAGTTTTAAGATTCTGGACATCTCATTTGACATCCTTATTATTCCTTTTTATTATCCTTTCCACAGTTTTTGTTACCATGGAACAAAATGTCTGTCTCTCTTCATTATTATATACTGCTGACTTCACATGGTCTCCTAGGCAATTTGCATTTTAACCGTAGACCAAGAATTAGTTACAGATAATCTTACAACCACGATTAAGACCAGAATTTCCATTGCTAAGCAAGTTGTTAAGTGAGTCTCACCCAATTTTACGCCCTTTTTGCCATCGTTGTTAAGTGAATCATGCAGTCATTAAGTAAATCTGGCTTCCCCCATTTTTTTTGCTTGTCACCAGCCAAATGGGAAGCTCTCAAATGGCAATCATGTGACCTCAGGATGCTGCATCTGTTATAAATATATGATGATTGCCTGAATTTTGATCAGGTGAACATGGGGATGCTTGATGATCATAAGTACTGATTGTAAGTTACTTTTTTCGATGCCACTATAACTTCAAACAGTTGCCAAACGAATGGTTGTACAAGGACTACTTGTATAGTATACCATGCGTAATAAAATAACAATAAACAACTATCTCGGGTGAACAGAATCCAGCTGCATAAACTTTAATTTAAATTATAAATTATAATTTCTGAAAATCAGTTGTGTTTTTTTTCTTCCCGAAAACTGCCAGGGAAGCACTATCTATTCCACAAGGAATGGAACACAGATAGAAACACATTGTCTTCTGGCCCTCTTTTCCTTCGCTTGCATGGGGGGCAGGCCCTCAGCATCCTTTTTGGAATGCATATGTCCTGAACTGATCAACCCACACTTCAAAAATAATTACATGTTTTGAAAAGATTTTTTTTATGATTTTCTATTACATAGACAGATTGGGTGTTTCTGAAGGAGACATATTCTTAATGGTTCTTATTCTTTTCATTGCTAATAAATTGCAGTTGGGATATATATATGTATGCATATATACCTAAATACTTCATCATTGCCACTTCAGTAAAGATCTAATTTTGCTGCAAGGTTTGTATTAACAGTACAGTCAAATGACTCTTTGACTCTAAGATAAAAGAACAAGGTTTCTGCTTTTGCTGTTTTCAAAGGATGGGCTGACTCCATTGCACTGTGCTGCACGAAGTGGACATGACCAAGTTGTAGAGCTTCTCCTGGAACGAGGTGCCCCACTGCTTGCCAGAACCAAGGTATGTTTATAGTTCAGACTAGCATTTTAAGGGAGTTTGTTTGCTATTGAAACCCACAGCAGTAAAATAAATAATAACTAGTAGGGAAATTGATAAAAATGTAATCAAATATTTTAAAATTCATACACTCTTGCTCTCATATTTATCATGTAGTTATTTATTTTCTCATTCACTTCTGTTTCTGCACTGTTTCCATTGCTTTTTATGTAAAAATGCATTCATAAACTTCTATAAGCAGAGTATGTGCAGACAAAATTAAAATATGAACAAACGAGATGCACATTTAAGAAAAGCAGTATTAATATACTACAATAGACAGTGGATTGGATACAAAGCATAAATGCATGAACACCCATTTAGTTTCTAAAACAGAGTGAGGTTTTCCAAGTAAATAAGCAAATCTTAAGTTTGTACAGTATATCTTGAAAATCAACTTTGAAATATAACTAAGCAATGCATTATTGTAACTTGATGGATGAATCTGCTAACTTTATAGGCTGTTTTTCAAGACTTAAATTTAGTTTTGTTGTGTGTGCATGCACGTGCATTTACAAGTTGTCATTGCATAATATTTTGCATTGTTTGTTTCAGAATGGACTGTCTCCACTTCATATGGCTGCTCAGGGTGACCATGTGGAGTGTGTCAAACACCTACTGCAGCACAAGGCTCCTGTTGATGATGTTACACTGGATTACCTGACTGCCCTCCATGTTGCTGCACACTGTGGTCACTATCGTGTCACCAAGCTTCTGCTGGATAAGAGAGCAAATCCAAATGCCCGTGCTTTGGTAAACTTTTCCTAGATTTCTGGTGGAGAGTAAAGGGAACTGGAATACTGATTCCACACATTCAGTCCAGTGACTACATAAAGACAATTGCTGGCCTTTTCAGTAGGACACTCTATAACTCTGCCACAAATCCATGTAGTTAATGAAACAATTGAACATTAAAAGGTATCTAATGGGTACAGTGTCATGTGACAAGAATGTGAGGCAAATAGAATGGTCATGAGAAAGGGGAGCTTCTGCACAGAATTACAGTCATAGACTTTGAAACATTAAGGGTTTCCTCATCACAGTCTACATTAAGATTATATTATATTCTTTGCCATAAGCAGCGTGTTGTAGTGAATGACATTGGCATGATGCAGCCTTTTTCATGGGTGCTATGAAGTTGTGTTGGTGTGGAAATCCTATATGGTGGTTTCTAGCCACTATATTTATGCTGTTTGCAAAACCTGAGTGTTGTATCTTGTCCATCACTTGGGGAAGGTTGAGCTAATATATGTTTGCTAGATGGTCAGCAATATTTATTTGCTTAATAATTCTGATTTGATACATATATTTGATTGCCCGAGTTAGCATTTTCATAGCTTTTTTCTATACAGTATATGAATACTCTTCTGTTTCAGAACAGGAGAAGTTCTTCTTCTAACTGCTCTATTTGAACCCATTCCATTTCAACTTCCTCTCCTTTTCTTGCATGCATTCATCAACTTCACAAAATCAGACCACATTCATTCATTCAAATCTAACATCTTACATGGCCACCCATTTCATATATATGGCTAGCAATTAAAACAAAATAAAAAAGACAAAATTTAAAAATGAATCAATAATATAAAAATAATGGCTGAGAACATCAATAATATCCAATATTCAAATCAACCATGAACCACACTGTCACAGCCTAGATGCCAGAACCAAGTTTTTAATATGTTGCAAAATACCAGTAGGGTTCAGGCAAGTGTAATCTCAGGGGGAATAATATTTCAGAGGGTGGGTGCTACACCTTCCCCCTTCTTTTAATTTCACAGATACCCAATGTATGTATTTTGTTGAGTTTATTCAGTAATTTATCTTATTTACCATTCACTTTATATATTATAGGCTTCTATATATGGATCCATAGATAATTCAATTTTTTCTGCTCATCACAAGTTTGGTCAATCAAGGTTTTTTGTTTTTGTTTTTTTTAGCAAAAGAAATGAAATATTGTCTAGATCACCACTTTAAGTTGTATCAGCATCATTCTTAAAGGCAATTTTTGGCCAATATGCCACAAAATAACCAAAGCAAGTTTTACTCCAAGGATATTCATGTAATGCTTTGGAAGCTAAAATTCTCTTCTAGAGACTGCTTTGCAAGTCTGTGTAATGTTGCCCACACCTACCAATTATGAACTATAAGTAACTTAATGATTATGTATATCTTGATATAGCTGATAAACGTAACTGCACTGTCCTTATCTAATATATCTCCATATAGTTGGTTGTACATGTCTACCTATTTCACAGCACCATTAAATGTATAATGTATAAAATCTTCCATGAATCTTTAGATGCTCAAAACACTAAGCAAGCTTAAACTTTGTTAAATCTTCGGTGGAAAACTATAGATCAGATAGGAAGGCAAGGAAATACAATGGCCAAACTGTTGCTAAGAAAAACACATGGATGTGTCCATGTAATAACCAAGTTACCAAAATCAAGTTCCACCTAAAGGAAATTTTTATTTTTTTATGACACATATTCACTCATACACAATGTATGAGTCATGTTTTAACCTTAAACACTTCTTGATTTGATGTTGCTTGGAAATACATTATGTAGCACTTTTAGACAGAATTAACATAGTACATTTGTTAACATTTAAGATACCCTAGTCTTTTTTTTGTTCTTGATAAAAGAAATAATTTGTTCCTGAGTATATGCCTTCTGTACATAAATGTCCTTATTTAACCATGATAATGACCCAATATTGAAATGTGCAATATAACATAAACATGACATATGTTTTGCCCTTTCATATTATTGATATAGTATCACACACAAATGTATAAGAAATGGAATTTGTGTTGTAATGTCAAAACACATCCATCCTTTCCTATTAATGCCCATACTTCTATATGTTTCTATTTTGGACATTTTATAGATCTCCCCATAAATTCAGTTACCATGCATTTGTTTTTGCATGACTTGCCTGTGTTGCATTTTTGTAGCACACAAATCACACTGTTTTTGTAGCTTAGTCAGTGCAGTTCTAGAATGTAATATATTGTGATTGTGTTCTATATAATTGCCTTTGGGTATCATGGATACAATTTAAGAATGATCTGAAATAGTATCCTCAGTTTATTCCCTTTATTTGCAGATGGGAGAGAGAAAATTTGGGGCCAAGAATATGATAAGCCAAAAAAGGATGGGGGCTGTCTCAGATGTGAGACAAGAAAGTGAACATTTCCTTTCTTTTCCATTTATTCTAATAGCGTAGAAATTGCTAAGCATTCCAATAACTTAAAGAAGACTTCTTTTATTTGTGCCAAACCCATATGCCAAGTTTGCAAGCTAAAAGAAATCAATCTGCGACTATTTTTTCTTATTCCCAAATGGCCCTAGATGGTCAGGTAGTATCATTGTAAATAACTTCATTTTGGGAGCATCTTGGGAGTGGCAAAGACATTCATTGGTGCTTTATTTTGGCTAGAATTAGTAACACTTGCATTATTAAAAATTCAGGCAATAAGTAATTGGCAATACTGAAACAAAAAGCATTTTTAAAAAACTGAAGAAAAGGAAACGGATTTATTGCTCAACTGTAATGTGCATCCTCCAAATTAGGAGATAATCCACGATTTTCCACAAATATCATAGGGATTAAGCTAATTTCACAGGATTCTGCAAAAGTACCATTAAAATACCATAAAAAGCACCATAAAATACCACATGTTGAGCCAATAATAGTAAATTCAAACCCCATTATAAAACTTGTAATTTCTTGTACATAGTGATGATTAAAGTGGTCTGTTTTTAAAAAATATGCAGACAGGGATGTTCATGGATGTTGAGTTTTCTACTTGTCTTATTGTTCTGATTTCCAAGGGGCTTTTCTGTGCCACGCGATTATTCTTCTGGAATAATGTCATATTGTCTAAAGGGTGCTGGGGGGCTATTTGTAGAGTTCTGTCCAGTTTGGAACAAATAGTGCCCTTCAGTGGAGCCTCCTCCCATCCCACCAGAGCATTCAAGAGCAATTCTGAACCTTTAGAAAGCTTCTTGGGACAGAGAGGACTGTATGAATGAGAGTAGGACCATACATATTTGGGTTTCTTGTTAAAACTAATACATTAGAAATTTATTGATATTTCATATGGTTGTTGTAAACCCCATTATTCAAGACACATAGGGTCTCTCAATAATTAATCAGAGATCTCTTGCTATGTTCTATTTCTTTGCAAAAAAAAGAGTAACATTTTAGCATTGTTCCACAATTGTTCAAAATATATTAGATTTACAAGTAGACCTTTATACAAGATAAGGTCAAATTAACTACTAAAGTAATTATTCCATTATAGTTAACACAGTCTAGTATTAATTGGAAGGCTTCTATGCTGAGCCGTAGAAAATGGTGTCAATATAAACAAAACATTCTTACTTTAATGTCCTTCTCCATACTCTAAACAGCATGGAAGCTACTTTAGTGCAGTGCAGTCCTATATTGATGTTGGTGATTATGAGTTTGCATTATTTACAGATGGTGGGTAATGCTACACTACTGTGGTCTCTGTAGCTACTATTATAACAAAAAGAATGAAGAATACCACACACATTAAATTGCCAATTAGACATTTTGTCTGCTTAAGATGTCCATTCACAAATTCTCTTTTGGAGTCATTGCTGCAGCTGTTCCAGTGGCTCTGGTATTCCTGTTTTCTCAATATGTCAGAATCTGACGTTTTTTAAAAAAGGAGATAACCTATCTATTCGACAATGGAAGGTGCATGCTTTAACTAACATGACTGTTTTTTGCACAGAATGGTTTTACTCCACTGCACATTGCTTGCAAGAAAAATCGCATTAAAGTAATGGAACTGCTGGTGAAATATGGGGCTTCAATCCAAGCTATAACAGAGGTAGAGAAATTTCACAAAGAGCCATCTCTTATGGCCATCTCTTCTTTTTCTTCACACTCTCCTTTATGTATATATGTATATATATATATATACAAATCAGGCATAATTTAAAGGCATTTTGCAGAGGAGTAAAATTGCTATTGCTTTATTTCACAGTCGGGCCTGACGCCAATTCATGTGGCTGCATTTATGGGGCATTTGAACATAGTTCTCCTTCTACTGCAAAATGGTGCTTCTCCAGATGTCACTAACATTGTGAGTATGGCTTGGATTTGAATAATCCTAGGCTAGCTGAATGTGATATGTCTTAACCAAAAGCTACAGTAGAAATTAGTATTTTGTAAACCATTTGTATCCAGCTTTCTTACTGGGATACAGTCAAAATGGAATATGGTCCTTTTTTTTGTCATCTGCTTGTCTTGTAAATACATTTAAAACACACTTTTATTTTCGAAATCTCAAAGCAATGTCTAAGCAATATCCTAAATAAATAATTTCAGGATCTTTTGTTTTTATCTACTCCTCAACCTTCCTATGTCTTTAGTTTTGACTGCTAGTGCTAGTGGTGCCCATATATGATACAGCATGCTCAAAAGTCTGTGCTAATGAATTTCCAATGAGAAACAAATATTCCAAGCTCTCTGAAATTGAATATAGACTGAAAACTAAATCTTGCACAATTGCTACAAACTAGATTTATGTTCAGTAAATAACCGTAAATAATTTTTCCCAGCCATTATGTTCAAGAATAAATAACAACCATGACATTTATATTATTTACTGTTTTTTCACTTTTAAATATATTTGTCAGATTGATGTCCATAAGTAGCATATGAAGATAAGGTCTATATTTGATATTATAAACCAAGGATTGAGTCCAGCTATTGGTTTTCTGTTTAGAAAATTGTTAATTTTCTAGCAATTTTCTGCTATCTAGGAATAGGAGAAACAGGGGTAATTCTTCTTGCTATGGTTCCTCACATTTTCCTTCCAAATTGAGTCTAGCAGCATGTAGGAAAAAGTTCTGTCAGAGGAAAATTGACATTAGATTTCTCTCTTGGGTTTTTATATGGTGTCATTAGAACAATAGCTTTAACTCACATTATGTGGAAAATATGTACTTATCATATAAAAGACTAACTTATGTGAAATGAGTTTGAAGGTTTTATTCAGATGGCTAGCAAATTTGACCCATTCATTCTTCTTCAGCGTGGGGAGACTGCTTTGCACATGGCAGCTCGTGCAGGACAAGTAGAAGTGGTGCGCTGTCTCCTGAGGAATGGTGCTTTGGTTGATGCACGAGCCAGGGTATGTATTCACATATGTCATGCAACGTTTTTTAAAAATCTGGAAGAATTCTAGATGTATTAATGATGAGCAGATTTCATTTTTTTTTCTAGCAATCTTCTATAGTGAGAAGAACTCAAATACATGGATGGATGGATGGATGGATGGATGGATGGATGGATGGATGGATGGATAGATAGATAGATAGATAGATAGATAGATAGATAGATAGATAGATAACTCCTTTCCTGTTTTGAGTTGTAGGAGGAACAGACACCACTGCATATTGCTTCTCGCTTGGGTAAAACAGAAATTGTGCAGCTACTTCTGCAACACATGGCACACCCAGATGCTGCAACAACCAATGGATATACACCACTACACATCTCTGCCCGAGAAGGCCAACTTGATGTAGCATCAGTTCTACTGGAGGCAGGTGCAGCACATTCTTTGGCTACCAAGGTAAATTCTCAAGTTTTGGTTCTAATGTACCAATATTAGCCAAGTTGCACCAACTTTTTAATTTTATCAATAGATTGGGTAACTAGAAGCAATGATCTTGAAATTACATTGGTCCATTGTAATAACAATGTATGGGGGGGGGTCTTCCATTCCTTCTGCCCTTGAGTTTCTTGATGATGAGATGGGAGGCATATTAAATAAATAAATAAATAAATAAATAAATAAATGAAGGCCCTCAGCCACACACACACAAATCTGTAAGAAAGCTGTTGTGTTCTTAAATCTTACTCTATGATTCCTTCTGATTTCAGTACCAGTCTGGGTAAAGCATGACACAAGCTTTCCTTTCCAATTTTCTACTTCTGTATTTTGCAGAAGGGATTCACACCACTACATGTGGCAGCAAAGTATGGAAGTCTTGATGTGGCAAAGCTCCTGTTGCAGCGTCGTGCACCTGTTGATTCAGCTGGGAAGGTAGGAATTAGTATTCCAGTTTGAATTATTAATAACCAAGAAATTTTTGTTCTAAGTGTTAAATATCCTAGTTTTGATTTTGCATTCAATATTATATAGGAAGAAGTTAATATCGAAATAAAAATATCATAACACTACAAAAATACAATGTCTATTCTATTTTTACAGAAGCTTTCCCACCATTATTTGTTACAGATACTGTTTATATCCTATTGTAAAGGGCAATGGATTTCATTGACTGACTTTTTAATAGGATTATCACATGAAGGCTTCCTTTTTAGATGGTTGTTTCCATTTCATAAAAAGCCCAGAACATTATAGTTAGCACATATCAATGTTTCTACACATATTTCATAAGATCTACTAAATCTGGTAAAACCTAGTCTTACATGTTCATGCCAATTATAGTTAATGATCTGCAGTTGGACAAGAAAAGGTGGAACAAAAATAGGTATTATAGAGGGAAGATGAAGAAATTGATACATTTAGCAACACACTGTTCTTTGCAATGTGTCACTCAGTGCCAATCTCAGTGTCAATATTCTGTTACCTCATTAGATACATATTTAATTTTCTAACTCAGAGCTGAAAAGGGAGGAAAGATGTGTTATCTTCAAGCTAACATGGAATCCCATAAACATTAATTCCATGTTAGGTATCTTGTTCAAATAGACTAGGAGAGGCACTTGGTTGCCCATCATTCCTTACAAATTCAACCTTGATCAACTTGATACTTTGACATGAGCTTGCTTTCCTACCCAGTCAATATAGCATTCTGAGACTCCCAGTTTGGCTTCCTTCTTCTTTATAAACACTTTGGGGATTTATTTGGCAGAGATTTAAATAACCTTGCAGCAATTTCCTCTCTCACATTGCTTCTGCTTCCCAGTTTGACCTCACCTGCAACTTTTTGGTAATTCTTTCAGCAACAATGCAACTGCTTGGTAATGAAGCATTTCCCTGAGGAATGACTAGCTTTTGCAATTATTGTACAATGAGGGATTAAGGGAGCGGATCCCACTTTTCTTTATTTTCTATAAGTACATGCGCATGTAATGTTACCATGAGTATATTTGTAAATAATAATAATAATAATAAAATATTTCAATGAGATGGCTTTTTTCCAGGATTGCCAGAAATCCGATAGATAAAATGGAAGTGCTTTATTTTACTTTTTTCTATGAAATATTTGAAGATTGCAATTTGTTAGTGAAAGTATATGGTTAGGATTGGAATATACTAAGGCTGTATAAAATATTTTGAGTTTGAAACTGCTGTCCTAATCATAATGAAGGATATCTTCTGATAATATTCTGACCACTCTGGAAAAGTCTTTTTTTTTAACTGTCCCCACTGCAAGTGCTCTGAGCTGAAAACAGGTCTGATTTAAGCAGAAGATACTTTTATGGTGGTTGGAAGAGTGTCAGAAAGCTTTCAATAAGGACAAAACACATAGTATGAACTCAAAATAGGGTATTTCAAGCTTGACACATTTTAAATCCAAACTATTTTGTGCTCTGCTACACAATATATCAATTCAGAAAATTTAATGAATTTGAAATGGCTTGTTCTTTTTTTAAAAAAGCACTATTCTTTTATCTAATATTGATTTAATAGTATTCTTAATATTATTGTTATTGATTTAAATAACATGTCTAATATGAAATAATTCACTTTGAATTAAAAATGCTGTATTTTTTTCCTGATCAATTGCTTATTTAATCTATGTTGTTATTTTGTAATTAATGCTAGTTTAAACAAAGCTAACACCACTTAATGCCTTAACATAAACCACCCTTTCCAGAATGGTCTCACTCCCCTCCATGTTGCTGCTCACTATGACAATCAGAAAGTGGCACTGCTATTACTGGAGAAAGGGTCTTCTCCTCATGCTACTGCCAAGGTGAGATTTACTGTCTACTGTAAATTTGTTGTGGTTGTTCTAAAACAGTGTTTTTCAAACTTGGCAACTTTAAGATGTGTTGTCTGCCGAAGTTTGTATGTTGGGGAAGTTTGAAAAACACTTCTAAAATAAACAAACTAGAACCTTCCAGACTAGTAGGATCATAGCTATCTTTCACCCTAGCTGTTGCATGTTCCAATATGTCTGGAAGGAATCCATTTAAGGAAGGCAAGTATGAATGATTGTTAGAGATGTATTTGGAGTATTGTTTCCATTAAGCTGATCTTGTCTGATCACAGAAGGCTTGGTTAATACCAGCACAGAAGAATATGAAGAAATATTAGGACAGTAGGCTAGCTAGAGAAGTGAAAAAAAGCAATGGCAAACTACGACTATATTATTGCTAGAAAATGTATGGATATGTCCAGGGCTTTTTTTCTCATAGAACGCCCAGAACAGAGTTCTGGCACCTTTTTTGGATGGAACCTTATAGGGTGGGCAAGGCGGGTTTTATGACATGTGTGAGTTCCAGCACCTTTTTTTTTTTTTTTTTTTAGAAAAAAAGCACTGGATATGTCCATACATATGTTCTTAAAAAAGGCTTTATTTTCACCTTTGATTCTAAAAAAGTTATATGAATTCTAATCAAGAATAATACATTTAAAGGAAAGCTTTTAACTATTCTCAATAAAGGTTATGCGTTCTATAATTAAGATTGGACATTTGAAATATCAGTGCCAATATATGCTTTACCTGGATTGCAACTGTGATTTCATGCAAGAAACTACGACTAGTATTATTCTTTGGGTGAAAGCTACAGAAAATAATGGCTATTCTCTAAAGAGGCAATTTATTGATATTTTATTATAAAAGAAAAGAAAATTAAAACCTATATTAATACAAGGCAACTGGTTTTAGAATGGGTATACTCCTCTACACATTGCTGCTAAGAAGAATCAGATGCAGATAGCAACAACTCTACTGAACTATGGAGCAGAGACCAATATTTTGACCAAACAAGGAGTGACTCCACTTCACTTGGCCTCTCAAGAAGGTCATGCTGATATGGTGAACTTACTTTTGGAGAAGGGAGCTAATATTCATGTGGCCACAAAGGTAATGCCCTCCTTCTATTAAGAATGAATTTTTGACGTGTGATCTAGAAAATGATGTGTTCAACAAATCAATACAAAATATTAATTTATATTAGAGAATTAAAAACAGGAAAACGTGTAAGAATATATGTGGCTAATATTAAATATTAAAATAGTAGGTAAAAGTAGATAATAGTAGATAAAACTAGATAATATAAACAGTAGATAATATATCCACAGAGGTTTCTAATGGCTCTGATCTCTGCTTAAGTGTTAATTGGAAATTGCAGTTAAATATATTAGATCATTTTGAGGTTTCCATCATGCTGAAGTTGCGATATGGCAAAATTTCACCCCAAATTTAATGGTTTTTTTTTTTTTTGCTTGTAGAATATTTCATTTTTTTTTCTGCCTTTCTTCTCCAGCATGTGTATGAGGCCATTGGCCATGGTGTTGAATTCTTTTATAATACCAAATTTTATTTCCTCCCTCCCTCTCTTGTCTTGTTCATATTTACAACCTTTGTGTTCTTCAATATATAACAAGAATTGGAAAGACACTGTGAATGAATTGACAGTCTGGAGAGTTCTAACAATGATAATTGTTAGAAAGAAGTTATTTGAATGTAAAGTCAATTGAATTTCATTGGGCATACTTCTGAGATGACATATTAAGGAATATCATACTAAATTACAGCCTTTGCTAGGTTTCAGTTCCATGAGCCAGTGTGATCACAACTTGTGGTATTCACGTTTTGACTCTTATTGCTCAGGTTATATTCAGAGGTATTTTGTGGCAACAAAGGGATACCTTTAATGGTGTCAAGATACCTTAATTATTACAATGTAAAATAAATTTCTTCTATTAATATATATCACTAAAATACTTACGTTGTTAATTTTCAGAGCGGATTGACATCTTTACATTTAGCAGCTCAAGAAGATAAAGTAAATGTAGCTGATATGCTGATAAAGCATGGAGCCAACAAAGATGCCCAGACTAAGGTATAACAAACAGTAACTTCCAAGACAATAATATAACTTTCCAGTGCCTTATCACATTCTCTACTTACGCTTTTGGCGGGTCCTTTTCATTTAGCTGGGTTACACTCCACTAATTGTGGCTTGTCACTATGGAAACATCAAGATGGTGAACTTCCTTCTGAAGCAAGGAGCTAATGTCAATGCTAAGACAAAGGTAAATTTTGTTAATTGTTTCCTTCCATTTTCAATTACAAACAAGCACATTGATGTTAATTTGTATTTAAGAAATTTTCAATATCTTTGCAAGAAATTTGCAATATTTGAAAGGAGAGTCAATTTTTCAGAGCAATAGTTTGTGAATAATGCAACATTAATAATATATTGGATTATGTACAGATAATGCATAGCCAATAATTATAGGTGTGGCCATGGAATTCTGAAATTTTGGACTTCTGTAAATGACAGTGCTAATGCATTCCTTTGGCATCAGTCTGAGGAAAGCTATTCTAAAAATATTCAGTTAAAATTAAAAGCGTTATGAATGATAAACCAAATGGTACAGTGTTATACTTATTTTAAATTAATAAGTGTAAAGTGGTAGTGCACGCTATAAAGTCTACTTTCATATTTATTTATTAAGCTTATATGCTGTCCTCACCTCAGGGCGATTCTAGTCAGCTTACAACCCATACAAACTTAACAAGATAAAACATTAAAATAATACATATTAATAAATTGACTTAAAAATTAAAAACTATATCAAGGAAGAGAGCAAGGTGCACACAGGAGAAGGTGAGGTCTTATCTCAGTCCATTAACCACCTCAAGCATGACATGCTCCCATTAGGGCCCCAGGCCAATTGTCAAAGCCAGGTCTTCAGGTTCTTTCAGAAGGATCTCAACTTGGGGGCACAATGTTCCAGAGGAGACATGGCAGAAAAGGCTCTTCTCCTGGAACCTGCCAGTTGAAATTCCTTGATTGATGGCATCCACAGCATGCCTCTTATGTCAGTGCAGATGGAGCAACATCAGCGAGATAATTCCTCAGATAATACATATGAATGACAAAAAAGATCCAAGCATCGTAGTGCATAAAAAAGTAAAGAGCACTGTGAAAAATGTGTATTTTATACAGGGATCCCTAGAAAAGGAACTAAAAATAAAAATTCAAACATAATACCATTACACAAATGTATATAGTATGTCTGGCTGTGAAGTACTAGGTACAGATCTGGCTGCTACACTTGTAAAAGATTATAACATACCTGGAAAAAATGCTAAAAACACCAGCCAAAATGAGCCTGCTGTGAGAATTGCGAGGCTGTAGGTAAAATGCTGTGAGAATTGCGAGGCTGTAGGTATGCAGAATATGTGTAATACGGAGCAAAACATATAAATGCTTACTTTAGTTATCCTATTTCCCCTCCCCCACTCTAAATAAAACATCAGCACCTTGAAGGGACAGTTATGTAGACCCAAATAAAAGGGTCATAATTTACAATTCTACAGAACACTAACACAATCATATTTAATGGGAATCTAATGTCTTTTTTATCTTATTTTCTTTTTTAACCTTAATTTCCAAAAATTAATAGGGATTTGATAGATGTTAGCCTACCTTCTATCCTTAATTGCTACATGAAAAATCTATAAGATTGGTTATTGATGTTTGCTGCCTGATGAAAACAGCTGACATCACTGTGATTAATACTTTTGTGAAATCAGGAGAATATTAAAATAAATCTACTATAGGATTTTTGTCCGCTTATATTCTTAAACGTGCTAACTACCACTAATTTCAGAATGGATATACTCCTCTTCATCAAGCTGCTCAGCAAGGCCATACTCACATCATCAATGTTCTTCTTCAACATGGGGCCAAACCAAATGCAGTCACTGCGGTAAGGTTGTAGGCTACTTAATGATATAGTTGCAATGATTTGTTTTAAGTTTTGAGCTCCAAAATGTCTTCGAAAGTAAATCGATTTAGTCAGCTGGGAGCAGATGAATGGATGTAAGTACTTGGAGAACCTGTAGAAGATGCACAAGTCAGCTAAAAAGAAATTATAATTAATAATTTAATAAGAAAAATGGTATGTATTGTATTCAGGAAGTCTTTAAACTATAGAATGGATATCATTGCACATATATGCTTATGATTAAACATGAGGCTGCTGAAAAACATAACATAATAGTGAAAAAATTACGTTATCACATAGACATATTTTTGTCACTGCAACGGAACCAGATCTGATTGGTTTCTTTTACCCGATCATTCTATAAATGTTGATGAAATATATCTATACTTTTACAGTGTTGAATTCCTAGAGAATTACTTACAGGAATTCTGATTGATTATATAATATTGTGATATTAAAACAATATAGATAGGAACAATAGTTATCACTTCTGTAGTAACTTATTACATTGGCAATTAAATCCAAGTTATTTCTTCTTTTTCCTAAAGTTAAAAACCCACTTTAGAATCTGAATATTGTGTATTTCTTTTTTTAAATGAAGAGACATGTTTCAAATATACTTTCTTTTTTATTTTATTTTTATTTTTCTGGGTGTGTATCAGCTGTACCACGTCAATATTTGATCTAATATTTCTGAGTTGGAACTTCTTAAATTCCTGCTGTATCTGGGATATATTAATACCATTATCAAAATCACTGCCAAATAAAAGCATTGTCAAAATTATACAGGAACACATGCAGCAAATTAAAAAAATCTAATACGATACAGAAAGCTGTGGGTTAAATTATTAAAAGTGTACATTTTTTAAAAAAATACAGTATAACAGACAGATGTTCTGAATTTATGTTACCATGGCAATTGCTGCTATAGTCTGAGCAAAGTTGCAAAGGGTTTTTCCATAGCAAATGACTTATTTTGGATGGAAGTGTTGGTTCATTTAGTTCTGGGTGTGATCTCATTGGTTCATATCACAGTATTACTTTTCCTTCTCTCTTCCTTCAGAATGGCAACACTGCCTTAGCAATTGCTAAGCGTCTGGGATACATCTCAGTGGTAGATACATTAAAGGTGGTAACAGAGGAAGTAATCACCACTACAACTGTGAGTACAGCAGATGTTTTTCCATTATTTTATTCTGGTTTTACTTATTTGAGGTCTTTTTTTAAAAAAAAAGGATAAATTAATTATGTCCAGTGTAATTCAATACTTATGGGCATATCCATATGGATAAGTATTAAGCATATTCATAAAGGTAATTAAACATACCCCAGAGTGTTGTTTGAATTTATGCCTTTTCTGCAAATCTCCAAACATCTCCAGTTAAATTTCATGTCAATTGTGCATTGCATTTCAAATTTAGTTATTTGGGTCACCTTTCATTATCTGTTCTTTCTGATATTTAGAAGAAGGGTCCTATGGCAGTCAATATAGGAATCTGCAGTTTCTGTATCTCTGATTATTGAAAGATTTTCACATTGTAAAAAAGAAGTGAATAAATATTTTGTAACTAGGAAGGCAATACAGATCCAGTTAAATCATACTTTAAATCTATTTCCTAGGTGCTTCATTCATTGCTTACTTTGAATATTTTATTTATTAATTAAGAGGCAATTCTATATCCCTCTTAAAGTTTTGATTGCCATTTCCCATATTATATTTGTTGTTAGTATGGGTTGAGAGCAGGAATGTTCTTCATCTTATAATTGTAGTATTTTAAAATATTGAAATTATTTTGTTCTCTATCTGGCAAGCTTATACAGTGGAGCACACTGAAGCCTACTATTTACAAATAACCTTTTAGTCCTTTTAATAGTAGATGCAAACAAGATTCATGTGCTTGGCAGTAACATGACTGTTGATATTTATAGAGAAGGAGGAACAATTTTAAGTAGAACAGACTGTTAAGGTTCACAAATATCTTTAACATTGTGTTTAAAATTATCTTAGGGAATAGGTATTCAAATGGTGAGAGTGAAACATTTTTTTATAAAAATATCTTGCTTTATAACTTTTTTTTTTGAAAAATAAAGCAGTTTCAAGCAATTCTTAAGATGATGTCCAAAAAGTTGCTGTTTAGGAAAAGAATTTACTGTTGACAGGAAAATGTCATATTTGAACAAATCTACTACCAACTTGAATGTCTTTTTGATGTGGCTTTATGCTTAGGCACTTGAGTATCTGAAAATCAGGCATCTCATCACTTAATACTTTTGCCGAGAGAGAGAGAGAGAGAGAGAGAGAGAGAGAGAGAGAGAGAGAGAGAGAGAGAGGGGGGGGGGGGGAGGGAGAGAAGGAGGGAGGGAGGGGGGGAATTTAAATACAATCTTCCTTTCTGTAATCATGCAGACAGACACACAGAGAAAGAAATTATCTCTCTCTTTTTTTTTGTCTTATTACAGACTGTCACAGAGAAGCACAAGCTCAATGTACCTGAGACTATGACTGAAATTTTGGATGTTTCGGATGAGGAAGGTGAGTTCATTATAAACCACTTATTAATGTATATATTTATAAAATATGTTGCTTTCAACATGGGTAGTTGCTAAAGTTATAGAAAAGTTAAAGTAGTTATATCTTACTGAAAATAGAAATATAAATTGAGAAACGTACCAAGTTTACTAAAATATATATTCAGCTATAGACATGTTTCTTATAAAGTAAAATATCTGTGATTTGAATAGGCTGGGCATGTAAAATTGGGAAATGAAGACAATACTGATTAAGTTGGACTAACAATTATCAATTATGGGAAAATCAACCACCCCAATGCCATTTTCTTTGGTGTAAACTACCTACCTACCTGCAAGCATACGGACATTGTTGTTCCTTAGTGTGTTCTCCAAATGGAGCATATAGCTTATGTATGGCATGATTTTTAAATGAAACATCTCACAGGTCTTCCTCATTTAGTGACTGTCTCAAACACAACTGTTTGCAATTATGACAGTAATGCAAATGTAACTTTATGACCAATGCCTGCATTTAAGATCTTCACAGCATTTGTTTTTCAGTCATGTGTTCACTGTTACAGTCAGTATTGTATCACAGTGTTGTCCTGTCCCTGATGTGTTGCACTATCCTGTTCCTGAGCTGCTTTTTTCAGCAGTGCGGCACATCCCTAAATGTGCTAACTGCAAGTAACAAACTCACTTCAGTGACCTTAATTAGTTGGTTAGAAACTTCTGCTTGCAGCTGCTGCCTAAAACTGACAAGATTTGACAATTTCATACTGAAGGCTTTTGATTGCTGAAGTAAAGTCATAAGTGTAGTGTGGACAAGTAATTTCATTTAACAATTGCTTTGCTTAATGACTGAGTCGCTGGAAGCAATTGTAGTCACTAAATGAGGATTATCTATAAATACAACTTTGGTATAATTGATCCTTATATGTTCCTTTGTAAACAATTTTCCCCTAAAATGAATGTATGTATTATGCAGCTTTAAAACATTCTGATTATGACCATTCCACTGACGAGGAAGCCTTTAGTGATGCAGGTACTGTGGAAACAACTGTTGGAGTACAAAGAAAATATTTTTAATATTTTTAATGATTTCCTTGTTTAAAAATACATTTGACCACCTAACACTGATTAGGCATTAAATTTGATTGTGCATCTGTGCATGTTTGCAATTTGTCCCACCCTCTGTTCTCCAAATGGAGGAAAATAGTTTAAAACATTACTAATATGAATTTGATTATTGTCTTGGGAATGTGCCTATCTTACAATGTTAATTAGAAGTGTAATATTCCTATAATTTCATGTCACTAATTTAAAGCAAAATGAGACACTATAACATATTTTTGCATATCAGGATTTTAAGCAGTTTAGCATTATTAATTTGATTAATATAGAACAGGCATGTCAAACTGCCAGCCTGTGGGCCAGATGTGTCACACTGAAACCATGCCCACCCCCATTGCCGGCAATGGAGAAAAAGTCTCGATACGTCGTGCAACATCATGTGACATCGCGAGTTTGACATGCCTGATATAAAAGGATGAAGCTTTGAGAATAACACAGTCACTGAGAAGAAAGTTGACTTAATAAATGATGTCATATTCGAAGTAGAAATGTTACAAGTCACCTTATTTGCTATGCTTTTCACCACGGTGTCAAACTTGATTGCGTCACATGAAGTATTGCGGCATTTTTTGTCTTTCCAGAGCTGGGGTGGGCATGGCCTATGCATGACACATCCAGCCCATGAGCCACCAGTTTGACACCCCTGCTTTACACTGTTCTGCAATAAGTAGCCCATACGCTACTGTATAATATGCAAAACACAGCTTTCTATGTATAATTTGCATCAACATAATTCAATTACTTGGTGGATTTAATGATTGAGCATTGGTGATAGAGTACAAGTAGTCCTTGCTTAGCAACGGCCTCATTTAGTGACTTTGCTGTTACAACAGTGATGAAAAAGTAACTTTGTGCCCAATCCCTGTATTTATGACATTCACAGTCTGTAAAGAAAGGGAAAGCTGAAATAATATCATCAGCCAAGTTGCAGTTTCACTTAGTATCTGCTTTGCTTACTGACAAAGTTGTTTATCCCAATTGTGCTTGCTAAATCAGACTACCTGTAGATACTTAGGTCCATAGTGTATGATTTGAAAAGCCAACATAAATATTATCAAAGGTAAGTGATAATTGTTTTAGATTTGTTTTCACTGTATTGTTTCTATTGTTGCAAGGTAGCAACTTAGACAAAGATGGTCAGACGTGCAGGTTCTGTTTAGAATTTTCTATAGAAGCCCCAATTTGCTCTCCTCATTGTAGATGCTGTCCATATCTATTTTTATTTCTTCTTCTTCTAAAACGTGGCTTCTGTCAGAATCACATAGAGCATATGAGTTAGTTAATAACTACTATAGTAGCTGAGTGAGGCAATCACATAATAAGGCATTCTCCAAAAGGCTGGCATACAGCTGCTCAATTCTGATGTTTTCTCTGTTAGCAGGTCCTCTGAGAGGTTTCTATGATTGATCGTAGAATCACTCAGAGTGGCTGTATATACTCTCAAGGCTTGAGCTATCTGAACAACCAGTTTTAAACATCAGCAGAAATAGCTGTGGAAGGAAGCATGAAGGGAAGAAGAAAAGACTGCGGTTCCTAAGCAGCAATGCTATTCTCTATTTCTATGCAATATATTCATATGCAGGATAGATATATACATATATTAGATATATGTGCAATGCATGCATATATTCCCATGCAGTAGGAAATGGTAAATTAGCTGTATTTGATAAGGTCTCTTCCACCCTTCTAACGATAATGATTTGTAAGAGACTAATGAAATATGGATGTTTTCATCAACTCTCTCCATGTCTTCTATCCATCACTGAGCACAGCATACAGACTTCAGATCTAAGAAATAAAGCATCCCAAAGAAAGGGGAGGGTAAAAAAAAAAAGCTCTCATGATAGCAGTTGTGAAAGTAAAACGTTACACTCTTTTGATGTATATCATATCATATCATCATCATTTTAGCCATTGTCTATCCACTGCAGGATGAAGGCCTCTTCTACATGTTTCCAACCAATACGATCCTACTCATGCATATAAAAAAGATGTAGAGTTTTGATCCTATGATCACGTCCACCATGTTTTTTGATCAAAGATGCTGAGGCCTCTGCTGAAAAGATTGCCCAAACACTGTGTTAGAAAATTGAAAGGGCAGAAAAATGGGAAGAATTTAATGTAGTATTAGGATTGTGTAGCTCCTGGAGACTCTTAATTTGATAGATTTGGCATTAAAGCAGGTAGCTAATCATATTATTGAGATTTTCAATAAAATAGCTTTCTAAAAATTCTAGAGTTATCACATGCAAAATATTAGAATATGCAATGCATTTATTTAATATAGACAATTCCTAAATTTATTGCTTTTCAGAAGATCCACATGGACATTTGTAGGCTGTGGCCTTTGACAGTCTCACTTTTCATCATGAAGTGAAAGCAGATGTTCATGCTTTTAATTTCCTAGTTTCCTGATGTGCTTTCAGAATTATATATGACTAACAAGATATGATGTTCATCTGCAATTACTTAACTCCTAATTCTTTGAGTCTTTAGCCAGACAACATGACTTTTTAAAGCAGCAGGGTAATATTTTTCACAACTTTCAGCTGAATAGTAGCTATGGTTACAAAATTTATACGAAGAACAACACTGTAAAATGAGTGAAAGTAAATACCCAAAACCAGAGCTATTGCTTTTTATAATGTTTCCAATATAGAAATCTCTTCACTGTCTTGAAGATAATGTCCTATTTAGCTGTTAATTAACTTCAGTTGCTTGATGGGCAAGAAGATAATATGATTATCACATCAAACCAGGAAGATTGATGAATTGTCAGTGAAACTATTTTAATTTCCCAGTAAATGCATGTAGCATATATCTGATGAATGAAGGCGAATATACGTGTCCCAGGATAATGTTGCAGGGTCAGTCTCTGGGACCAGAGGTTTTGAATTCCGAGCTTTTGGACTTGGACTTGGAAGACAATATATATCTATTACACTGCTAGGAACTATGAAAATATTTCACAGAACTCATTATTTCTCTGTGGGAGAAACCACAGTGCAGTTATACACATGATGCTCTTCATAATTCCAGGATCAATATCTGGCATTGCAATTTAAATAATTAGATAGCAAGTCATGGGAAAGATTACTGCCTGTGATCTTGGAAAACCACTATTAAAACAGATAATACAAAGCCAATTATGAGATTATTATTGTGGCACTTATTATGCTGTTTTTAGCTGTTAGCTGCTGGTTAACTGGTTAAGATTTACATTTCCTGTACAACAAATGTCTTCCTAAAAAACAGATTTTCAGACAATGGGCCAAGGCAGAGAGTTCCACCAAGACGACAAAAAAATGATATGACAAATAATAATTGAAATATGGCATTATAATACTATATGCATATTTCAGTCATTATTATATCATTTTTGATTTATAGATTTATAGAGACACATCTCCTTTCTTATATTGAACATATTCAAAAATTCTTCCAGAATCCCATTGAGTTGAACAACTAAAGTAAAACTCATGAAATTAGTTCTGCCAATACTATTTACCCTGACACAAGACAAATGATTGTACAGTATGTGATTTTTAGAAAGCTTATATTAATTTAATTCTGTGAAACTGACTAGTGTTTCCTTAAGATGTATTAATTCTTTGTGCTTGCTGTGCTTCAAGAGTGACAGTAACCATGTCTGTTTTATATGTGTTTCATTCAAATACTAAAAGAATTCTATTAGTAACTATTTTGGGAATTTGTATATTGAATGAAGGTGATGACACCATGACAGGAGATGGGGGAGAATATCTGAGACCTGAAGATCTGAAGGAACTAGGTGATGATTCCTTACCTAGTAGTCAGTTCTTAGATGGCATGAACTACCTGAGATACAGCCTGGAAGGAGGCCGCTCTGACAGGTACCGCTTTATGAACAATGCAGCAATTTTCCTACTGCATCTGTATTCTTTTTTCTGAGCAGCTGTTCAAAATCAGATGTCTACTAAGGATGAAATAGATCTCTTTTATTTCTTAAAAGGCATTAGGAAAAAGTTTTCAGGAGAGATTTAACCTAAACATACTTCATTAAGGAGAAAAATAAACTCTGCTGAAAAAGATGTTAGCAGTAACAATTGTAAATGTCTATTTGTTCTTTTATAAGTTTCCAAGAGCTCTGCTTTTTAGATATTGGGTTGTAAAAGAGCATTTTTCACCATAGAACAAAAGAAACATCTAAAGAACACAATGAGTAATGCAGTTCTTGCATCATAGATTCAAAAAATGTATTTATCTTTTGCATTAGAAACACATAGTTAAATAAAGATTTTTTTAAAAAACAAAGGGATTTAGGGATTTCAGAACTCTGCAATCACATAGTATAAAAACAGACTACTTTCTTCTTTATGTGTCAGTAGATTCTTAATTTAAGAATTTAGACTTAATGCAAATTATCAGAAATATTCAGAGCAGAGGATTTTAAAATAAATTTCCATCCTTTGTTATTAAAAATGAAAATACAACAGTGACTTCGTTGTAAAAATAAAAACAGGTTTATAAATGAAAATGTGATTGTGCAACCAAAAAAGCATTTATAATAATTACATATTTAATAAGTTCTAATGAGTTCTGTTGGATAAAAGGTATAACATCTACCTAGTATTGTAAAAAAAAAAGATGAGAATAACATGAATAATAATATTGCATCTTGTCAACCTTCCTTCACACCAAGGAACAAAATTACATCAAAACAAATCATTGCAGAGGTTTTTAAAAGATCCTCCAGGTTGGAGAAAACTCTAGAAAAAAAAAACTACGGTACTTAGGCATATTAGTTAGAATCAACTTCCCAGTGAATCACAGTGATTGTGCATGCACAGATGTGTGGAGACAGACAAGACCAGTATACCAAACAGCCTTGTGAGTTTTACAAAAGATGCAGCTAGTTTAACCATTCTAAATTTTTTATACTACTGCATATTGTGAAGCATCTTGTTCACATGTTTTGTACAGCCCAAATATATTTATCTAAGCACTTTCACAGGATCCTATATACAGTGAATACATAAGAGGCAAGACAGTCCATGTCCTCCAGATATACTGGCGTTGCACCTTTTAAATTTCAGCCAAGATTGGCTCCCCAGAATTTCATGTTAATCCTAGACAATCTATGACCCATTGGGTCATTGTTTCAGAGATACTTCTTTACCTAAACTTACACAAGTGACAAAGGTAGGCAAAAAAAAAAAAAAAAAACAGTGGAAGCTGGGGTAACATCTGATTTCGTGCCAGCTTCCCCATTGGCTTTTCTTGTGGGAAGTTGCCAGGACTATGAAAAATTATGATCATGTTACTATGGCTGAAGTAGCTACAAGTTTCCCAAATTTCAGTCCAATAAAGGATAATATTTGTAGCTCAGGACTGAAATGAGGGGTTCTTAGTATTCTTTGAGCTTAATTGTTTTCTTGCAGACAATTCATTACTAAACTAGGTAACATCATCAATGCTAATAGGGGGTGAGGTTTGCTCTCATTTTATATTCTAATGACTTGAGCCATTAGAATATAAAATGAGAGCAAACCCCACTCTCTACTAAAACTGATGGTTACCTAGTATGGTAATGAAACATCTGCAAGAAAACAACCAAGCTTAGAGAGCCTGAAGACCTCCTCAAATCCCAATCCCACAGGAGTAATAGGTCCCAAATTTTAGATGCATTTTTGAAGTTGCACCTTTGAGATTTATTGATTAAAAAAGTGTTGCTCTATGATGCATTGTTTCATGCAATTGAAGGTTACAGACCAAGGAGTTTTAATAGTAAGTAGATATGTAGCCACTACCTGACAAATGACCTTGCTTTAAAAATGGATCATTATTACAGATAACAAAGCTTGTTTTCAAAGCCACTTGGTTTCTGCTATAGGACATTTTATACTTACCATCTACCTACAGAACCACATTTCAAGAACCGTTTCATTTTATTCACTAGAATCTCAGAGGATCTTTAAAAGTCTTCCATGGTTTTTTCCTTCTGTTTTCCTTCCTTTTTATGCTTTCAATAGTACTATGCCCAGGTACGTATTATGAGGCCTGGAAGCAATGCTTTCTCTTCTCCCTTATGGCATCTATCTTTCCCCCGCCCCCCAATTCCATTTTGCAAGCTTGCCAAGGAAAAGCATTTTAGAGTTGGTGAAATTTACAGGACAACTAAAATCTGTTCTGATAACAGTTAGTAATTAGATCAACCAAAGTTTTATCACACTCCATAATCTAAAAAAGTGCTAAATGAAAATCAACTTTAAAAAATGCCACAGTGTGAATACTTATTACTACTAGCCAAATTACTTCTTACAGGGGGAGGTGATGGGTACTATACTATAATACTTCTCTTTCTGGTCACTTTATGTTCCCATATAGTTATTTTTACTTTTCTTAACTTAATGAAGTGTATCAGAAATAGATAAGAAAATAATAGAATAAAGAGAAAGCATGTTTGCTCTGTGTATGGTGGAATAGGAATGAGTTCTTTGGGAAAACATTGATGACTGCAGGAAAAAAAAGTCCTTGTGTCAGTGCAGGAGTAAATTTATGTTCTTATTTTGTGCTGCCTCAAAGCTGAAAAATTCATGGGTTGTAAAGATGAAAGATTGGTAAAGTAATAGTGAGTTTTGAAGCAGACAGAATAATAGAATGAAGGTTTTTCTGTCAGATCAAATTCACCTCAAGTATGATAATAGTGCATTTTTAATTAATTACAGAAGAAGGTACTTGCTTTTTTTACTCCAAATTCATCTTAAATTTCTACTATCTTTGTAGTGGCAAAATTCCTATTTTATACTAAGAATCCTGTATTTAATTATATTTCCCATATTATAATACGTAGTAAACAAATACTAGGTTTTGTTTTACAAACACTAGAATTAGTTAAATGCTGTCCCCCAAAACTTATAATTTTAGTTTTATAAAGTCCTTATGTATGAATGTTTGTTACTTATTGGAATACATTATTAACAGATAAATAATGGATTTGGGCTATCAAATCTTTTGCCAGCCACTTATGTCACTGCTTCTGGTATTTACAGAAGTATAAAATGGGCCAGTTACTTAGAATTTGCTTATTTAAAGGGTAAAATTAAATGTTATCACAGGCAATTTAACTGCCCATCAAATTTTTATAGATTTAGGAACAATAATGGGATATGGTTCATATCTTTCATTTTAAAAAACAGCAGAAAGTCATGGGACTCTTTAACTGTATTAAGAACATAGCATGGGACAGAAAAAAAATCCTTTTTCACTATGATTTCTGACTGGAATTAGCCACAGTGATCTAATAAGCCACACTATTTATTCCTGTTTAATATCCTTTAATATCCTTTTGTTACAAATAATATTTCAGAGGAAAAAATGATGAATATAAGATAATAATTACCCCTTGCATTGGCTATAGTCAGATTGTTATTAAACTTGCCATTCTAAACTTATTTAGCTGGTTTTATTACATAAGGAAAATGTGATTTATGTTAGCAGTTTCCCATATGTTGTGCAATATGCTGAAATGAGAGATGAGAAAAGAAAAAAGAAACTTGGTTTCATGAACATGAATTGTGTTCTGTTGTCTGGAATCAATCCACTTATTAAATTCAATTGTGTCTAGTTTCATTTAATCAAAATTAGAAGGATGATCATACATTTTAGTGGCTGCAGAGTTGGCCAACTGATGCAGTATAAGAAATATTAAAATAGAAGCATTATATGTATTTTCTACAATTTATGCAATATTTTGCTTTGCACATAGCCCTGAAGAATCTGTATAGTTTAGCATGATGAAGTAGTAAATTGTGTTGCTTAGGTAATATTTTAATGTTTATCAGTATTTGAAACCTTAAGTTTGCAATGATTCCAGGCAATTAGAAAAAATGAGAATTATAATCTGGCATTACTCCAATGATAGAAATGTCAAAATCAGTATTTGAAATATACTGTATATTCTTTAATTATATGTAAATCATAGAAGGCTTAATATATTTGTAATTTGGTTTTCAAAATGACAAAACCTAGGGCAATTGAGGTCAGACTTTAGTTGTGTGTACGTCACTTTTTTTTGCTTTGCATCTTTCATTGCTTCAGCAAATGGTTTTCTATAGTTTTGTCTGTGTATGAGAGAGATAAGTAGTGGATGTGGTTGCAAGCTTTTAAATGCTTTTGGCATATAAAAGAAAAACCTTGCACTGTAGTAACAGCAGTTGGCTGGCCATTTTCTATGTACCTTCCAGGGGATCCTTTCTGCTTTTCTTCTAGAAAACTTCCCTCATGTTCTAAAAGACAAATAATGGATTTTTCTATCAGAAAAAAAAGAACATGTAGGACTGATTAGTCACAAAACATGCATGATGTATTTGTAAGCAAACAATTGAACATATTGTGATTCTGTTCATGTGCATTCGAATGGAAATCCCAGAAGCATGACAAACTCCAAGGAATAGTAGAGGGTATATTAAAAAAAATTCCCCTGGAAGTTACACTATTTGCTAATAGCATGCTTTTTTTCACTCCTGTGCTTTGCTCATAATCCTACACCACACCATCACAACTGCTGAAAATGTTGCCCAAATACCAATCTACCAGCCTGCGATCCTTCAGTTCAGACAGGTCCCGTACACTGAGCCATACCTCGTACTTGAGGGACAGCACTATGATTGATGACACCGTCATTATCCCAAGTCACCAGGTAAGATGTCTCAGATTATTTTGCAAATCTAATCAATATATAGCTTTATAATACTCCTTGTTATACAGAAAGGAATTTGAAAAGGAGTATTAGAATAAAATTAGATAGTAAATAATAGCATACTAGAATATTATAAACAAATTTATATTAAAATTAATAGTTCTAAAAATAGTTCTATCAATTCAATCTAAAAGTGGACTTTTCTGAAGGTTTAAGGCTTCAGTCTTGTATACATTTATCTAGGAGTAAGCTGCATTTGACTCCGTCTAAGTAGTCATGAATGGGATTATATTATTACCTTAGGGTTATTGTAATCAGTCAATGCAATTAAAACATTGTTTTTTTCTATCTCATGAGTTTTATTAATCTAAAATAATATATTTTATCCAAACATAGAAAAATTTTAATGGATTGATTAAAGATAATGCAAAGAAAAAAAAGGAAACCCATTTCTCTGCTTTTTCAGATATCCGCATTAGCTAAAGAAGGTGAGAGAAATTCATATCGTTTAAGTTGGAGTCCTGATAATCTGGACAACATAACGCTTTCTGCTAGCCCTATTCATTCTGGGTAAGTAATCAGAACTAATTTCTTTTGATGTATCTTTTATTAATTTATTTCATTAATGAAAAATAATAATCTTAATCTTCAACCATATTTTAAATTTCAGTCATGTTTGTCATGATATTTTTAAAATTGTTGAAAAGTCATTCTTGATTATCCTAAAGGCTTTATGGTTAAAAAACATTATTTCTTATGATCATCCCATTTAAACCTATTTGAAATTGATTTAAATCAATAATTTGAACATACAATAAGGTAGACATCAAACTTCTAAATATTGTTATGAACTTCTGAAATTATTTGGTATTGGTATTGTGGTAGGTTATTTTTCACAACTTATAAACAATGAAAATATTTGGAGTTAAATTGTCAGCAGCTAATAAATGGTATCCAGTTTTCTGGTTCTTTTGCTGTAATACTTGTGGATGTGGTATTAATTATTCTACCAGGTTTGATCAGATCAATTTTTAAATTTAAGTTTCAACACAGAGAACCATGAGATAATTCCTTAAGATAGGAGTCCTTAACCCCCAGGCTACGGTCCAATACCAGCCCATGGCTCATTTGGAACTGGACTATGCAAGTGGCCCATGAACCGGCGCAGCTCCATTTGTGCAAGTGATGGGTGCTTGCAGAAAGGAAATTGTTAAAAATGTATGGTTCTAATTCAGAAGCCATTAAAAATTCTTGAAACCAAAACTACAGCAGATAAAGCAACTTTATAACCTGTATTTGTATGGATATGAAACTGCTCTTTAATGAAGTGAAAATGGAACTATTCTTATTGGGTTTAGTGTAAATATCACAATGCTAACTTTTGGAATGAGATTTAAACAGAAAAGTTAAAAGATATATTTTAAGCTAATGTATTTTAAAATAAAAATAAAAAAAAACATTTTCATGAATTGTGTGTGATAAAACATGTAAATTAATGATAAATTTTCATAATATTGGAGGTAGGGGATTGTGAGAGACAAATAACCTTAATGGCCTTTTAAACAAACTTGTAAGAAATCTTCAGGTTCACCTAAATATTGCAACCATTTGGAATTTTTTTTTTCATTTACATTGTTTAGATTAGCAATTCCAGGTTGATCTTTTGCACATTTTGTTAACAGCTGCGCACTTATAATCAATTTAGACAAATGCCTGCTTTGAAATGATTGGCATCAAAGCTTAGGGGCAAAAGCATTACTGACATATTATGCTGAATGTGAACTGTTTCTTGGCTTACAGCTGTAAGTTTTCTCTTAGAACAGCATGACTGTAGACAGTAGCCAGTTTAGCAAGTTTTTTCTATGCATATTTAATGTTAACTTACTGGAAAAGTTGTATAGAAATTTTTTGAGGGATATGGAATGGGAAATATGAATATAAATTCAATGTATTCAACTGATTTATATATTCAATTAAAAATTCAATGCTGTCTTAAGTTAGTTACTTCTATGGGAGAAGAACATTTTCCAAGTATTTAAGCAGCATTCTTATAGTATTCTTTATATTTAGAAAAAAATACTGGATCAAAGAAATCTTATATTCAAGTATATTAAAATTGTAAAATTAGTATATTAGTATATTAGAGATAGACTGGAATTGCTTCTATAGTATTGTCTTCCACTTTTTGGAATTGTAGTCTCTATAGTTTATAATAAGCTGCTTATTCATCGGCTTTGTCTATGCAATCTGTGCATATACATGAAGATATGTGCACAATCTCTATTATGCAGATATTCCTGGTCAGTTCTTCTTTTTGGCAAGAAGATTCTGGATTGAGTGATCCTAATTCAATGTTGTAACAACACAGATAAATGTGTGTGTGTGTGTGTATGCTACAAAATTGGATCTATAGCAGTTATTGTAACAGTAAATTTCAAATAGTGTATACTTTTTATGAATATATTTAGTTGTAGAAAAACTAGCTCTAGAATTACTTTCTTAGAGAATTTTCAAATTTTGATTCTTTTTTCTTTTTTGATGGGAGGTATATGGAGGGGACTAGTACTTAAAATTGACAAATAATTAGAGTTGTTATTCTTAGCTGCCTGTCTTCCAAAAAGGATATTGGATCATTGCTAACAAGGTAAATGATATTTCTTGCTTTTACCTAATATAGTATCTTCACAAAGATTGATAAGAAACAGGACCTAGCAGCTAGAAACCAAGCTTTATTAAAAAAATATTAAATCGAATAAATTTAAAAAGTGGTAATATACTTATAAAGTTTCTGAAACTCTTTTTTAAAGTTAGTTTTGTCAAATAAGTGCACAAAGTCTATATGACATATTTGTTAATTTTAGATCAGCACCATGAAGAAAGAAACGAAAATTTTGTTCTTCTTTTCTACGAACAGGAAAATCATATGTTGCAATAATTCTAGAATGAAAATGATTAGGGAAATGGTGACAGCATTTGAGCTAAAAATTATGGAGAAAAAACACTTGGAAAAATAAATGCAAAATATTTTCAGATCAGCATAACCTGAAAAGGAACTGATATGTGCAATTAAATACTAGTGAGCAGATTTTTGAAAAAAGAATTAAAAAGGGATGTAAGATTGAAGGTAATTTTTTAAATTCACTTTCTCTAATATCCACTGACATAAGTTGAGAAGTTGCAAGCATATATAATTACCTAGAGGTAACTTTAATTGAACTTAATTGAACTTTGAATTTTTAGCAGTCAACATATCTGTGCAGTCAGTGTTAAGGTCTTTACAATTTGCTGCTGCAAAGTTGTGCTTTGTTCTTTTTTTAATTTTTTTTTAATGCAGAACAGTTTAGCAAGTCATGCCATGATTAATTAAAACATTGTTGGCTTATCATATGGAGGCAAATGATTATTGTTCAGCTGTATAATGGTGATTATCATAAAAGCTCTGTAACTATATACATACATCCATGCATGCATGAATGTCAGAAAAGTGGACTGAAACATGCCCACAATAAATATGACTAGCAAGAAGATTCTTGACATCTGTGGACTTCCTAGAACATTCATAAGAAATGTTCCACATTTAGATGATTTTAGATGATTTTAGGGATAAGAGTACCATTTAAAAGACGTTACAAAGGAATGTATCTTTCATCTTCGCTACTGCATATGCTCTTCATATTGTATGTTTAATGTTTTCATCTTCTCCATTTGTAGATAGATATCTTTTCTGACTGATTTTATTTCATTTGTTCATTCATTCATTCTTTTTTATTTTGTTTTGCTAAATTGTCTCTTCTGTTGCAGCCACACCTCTCCATATTTTGACAATGAAAACAGCAGGTGAACTTATATATAATTTCATGTTAATGCTAACTTCCTTTTCCCTTCTTTCTTCTACCATCCGTTTAATTTACTCACTTTCAGATGTTCTACTTCCTTGATCTCATTCATTATTTAGTGTAGGAGACTGATCCTCTTCATTTTATCATTTGAGCTAAGATTTAATTTCATAGAATAGCAATACAATTATTGACTAATACTCCTGTAGGAAGCCTTCCAAAGGACCAAAATGCACTCTTTTTAGTTTTTATATCTGCACTGCACAAGAATTGTGGCTACTGGAATTTGGCAATTTAAAGTAATTGACTTTGTTTTAAAAATATATTTGTTTTGAAACATTTCTGAAGGAAGAAAATTAGACCTTCAGTTAAATATTCATTCAATAAAAAGAAGTGATTTTCATGTGAAACTAGCAGCCCTACTTTAGCTTTTCTTCCAAAAGCTCTAACATGCACATGCCCAGGGCTTTTTTTGTCATAGAACGCCCAGAATGGAGTTCCGGCACCTTTTTTGGATGGAACCTTGTAGGGTAGGCAAGGCGGGTTATATGACATGTGTGAGTTCCGGCACCTTTTTTTTTTTTTTTTTTACAAAAAACGCACTGCATATGCCCATATCTAATAAGTTTAGTAAAAACTTTTAAAATCTGACTTATGTAAAAATAAATGTGACTATAAAGAGAGTACATATTTATAAGCTTGAAACCCGGCTTTACTATTAAAAATTTGAATTATATTCATTTTTAAAAAACTGCTCTCATTAGGTTTTAATTGGGCACTTTAGTGATCTTTTCATTTCATTTCATTTTAAAATGCAGAATCTCCTGTTTGACCTTATTATTATTACTATTTACATGTTTGAGAAATGTTCTATTATTTTACACTCTTGACTAACTGGTTGCTGCCCCTTCCTTTTTTTCCCTGCCTGACATGGTCAATACAATACAATTCTGGTATTGGGGGTATTGTGGAAATACTCCAGAAAGAATTGTCCTTTCCATCTTTATGGTGACAAGCATGTCTACTTGTCTGACTAACTATTGTACCTGAGCTCATTATGCATAGAGTGTTTTATTCCCATCTCCCCCAGTAAAAAAATACACATCCACAGTTAATTGGCTGTGGCTGTTGATTATGGTTGCATGAAAATCATATTTAGACATCTAAAGCATCTAATTTATATTTATTAATATAAATCTTTTTTGTAATTTTCCATATGTCACATCCTTCTCAAATATCTTTTGTAAGCACAGCTGTGCAGAGTTTTATTCTTCCCAGAAAGCTATTTTGTGGGAGAAAGGTAGTAATTTAAATTAAATGTTTGATTGTATAGGCACTTTGGGGTATATAATAAGATACTTTATTTTTTTTTTAAAAAAAGACCATGTTTTGTAGGTTTAAAATTGAAATTTCCTGGAACAATCTCAAATTATTGATAATTTTTTTTAAAAAAAATATTATCTTTTCTGCTTTATCCGAAAGTGTGACATTTATGTAAAGTGTGTGTTTTTATCAGAATTATTCTGCCTAGAATAATCTTATCATTTGTTTCCTTTAATATGAGCAACTTAAATGAATTAAGAAGACAAATGAAAATATGTACATCCAAAGAAATAGTCTCTTATATCTAAACTATGAGCCAGAAATAATGAAATTTAAGCATTTCTCTTGATCTAAGAGTATAGTTTTTAAGGGTGTTTGAATACTTGCTACAAAAATGGGAAAAAAGGATATGTTTTCCCTTAGATTCTGAAGCATCCTGCTGATTTATTCTTTTAGGATGTTAATAATATATTTGTATAGCATGAAAAAAGGCCCTTTCGTCTCATGGCAAAGAAAATGTTCTGCTAAAAACAAAACACACGGACAGACAGGGAGTCCTCTTCCAATAACTATTGAATTGAACTATTTATGGGCAGTTTTTTCCAGACTCGGCAATGACAATTAATCTGAAACTTGAAACTTTGTCATTTTTTTAGTGGATTTGTATAAGATTTGATGTTTTCAAGCAGAATCTCGGGAGATTTTGAGATTTAACAAAATTTTGGAATATTTGAACATTATTTTATTTACTGGGGGATCAGTGGAGTATAAAAGATAGGGGTAGATATTTGGGACAAGTGCATCATTTATTTTCATCCTGTAATTGTCAGATAATATTTGTTAGAATTATTTAGAAAGGTTTAAGAATTACTAAATCAAGGATTTGACTATATGCAATTTTGATACAGGCCTAGGACATACAGTTATATAACTTTGACTGTTAGGAAAAGATAATCGATGCACATTTAAAAGTAAACACAGAAATCCCAAGCAAATTTATTAGAAATTAAGTTTCATTAGTCAAAATGGGACTTACTTTCCAGCCCCCTCAAAGTCCAAAACCCTTAAACAATAACACTTTTTTTTAGCAAATATATTATTTCCTTGTTGAAACCACCAATGCATGCACTCTTCCATAACTTTGTGTTGTTTGTTCTCTGTGCAATTTTATACTACAAAACTACCAACTGTTTGTCTACAGTCCATTTCTCTTTGAAACTTGAAATAAAATGCCCTTCCTGGATTCCTGATTTCCTTTGGGCAAGATAACTCTTGTATAGTATAGCTACATGATAACCATAAATTAGAAAGTGTGGTTGACACTGTAGCTGTAAACATGGAGCATTGTAACTGCTAATTTTTTTTTATTGAGGAACAACAATGCTTTGGGGTAAAGGTACAGACGTCCCTGGAGATGAGAGATAGGAAAGACGTAGGATGCATGGCATGTTTCAAGATGGCAGATCATGGTTCTTCATCTTCATCCACATTGATTTGCTTATTTATATTTTGCATGTTATATTGACTTGGAAAGAAATCAAAACGTAGTAGATGCTCTAAAAAAAATAAATTCAGAATGTGTTTTTCATACAAAATATTTATATTATCTATTAGTTTTACCTTAGGGGACAGAATTGCAAGAAGATATCAATGAAAAATGTCCACCCCACACATGGCCATATTTCTTTACATTTTACATTATATTTTGCTAGTTGTCAAATTCATTTATTATTCTTATTACATTTAAACTTCAGATGACAAATAACAAGTATAGTGCATCAGGTTCCTTATATGGGTAGAATTCCAACGTCTTATAACATCCTAGAGATTTTACTCCTTGCTAGGATAGAACATTTACAAAAGTTGACACTGAGAAAACTGCTACCCATTTTTCATATTTTCTTTTTTGTTAATAATTTTGTTGTATTCTTATTTTATACATAATATTCTAATCAACATAATTAGCATAAGTTATAGAGCTGGATGTTACTGCAGCACTTTATGTAGTACCCAGGACAACTTGTATAAATTAATCAACTGAGTTTTTGTTAGTATTATGCTAATTGGTTTGACTCCCTAAAAATAATAAAAATATTTCTGAGTTTTTTATCTGTGCAATTAATTAAAAGCTCTAACTACAGCTTAACTATAGGTACATAATATACATAAATATTATTAATTTTGATTACTAAGAATGGTTAGTATACATATTTAAAATACGTTGCTTCTGAAATATTTTTGTAACATACATACATTATAACTCATTTTCATGCCTAGTTTTTCTTCCCGATTTTCAGTTTTCTGGTCAGTTTTATGGTTGATGCTCGAGGTGGTGCTATGCGGGGTTGCAGACACAATGGGCTTCGAATCATTATTCCACCTCGGAAATGCAGTGCTCCAACTCGAGTTACTTGCCGGTTGGTCAAACGCCATAGACTCGCCACAATGCCTCCAATGGTGGAAGGAGATGGTCTTGCCAGTCGCCTTATTGAAGTTGGGCCTTCTGGTGCTCAATTTCTTGGGTAAGGATTTTCCTTTAGTAATCCCAAATACTAATTAATAAGAAAATAATAATTTCACTTGATCCAGTGTGGGGTGGTTTGGCATTTTAACAGTAGAAGTGAAAAGATTTGCAGTGCACAGAAAGGATCTAATAATTCAATCAGCTTGTGTACCTTTTAATTTAAAGCAACAAGTCAGGTTTACTGCGCTTCCTGAAATCAACTGGTGTAAGCCATGCTGAGCTGTAAAAGAAAACCCATTTTGTTATAATACATCAGTTAATTATTCTCTTTGAAGGTTAAATAAAAATAGCAGCAGAAATGTTGTCAATACAGATGGTAATACCTGTTGAAAAATGCAACACAAGCTAATGCTCCCTTTACAAGGAACTTGTGTTCTCTCAGTAGGTATTTTGTCAGTAATTGAGACCTCCTGGGAAGCAGAAACCAGTGATTTTTCTGGGACCAAGCAATAGAACCACTTTTCTGACTGCATTTTATCCTTATATTGCAAGGCCTCACAGAAAGATCATACTTGCTGCAAATGTTTCAGCAATTTTTGTCTTTGTTTTCCTTCTGTTATTTGTTTTTGCTGAAACTATCCTTTTCAATACTTTTATTTTACCAAATTTTCCCCTTATCAGTGGTGGCATCCAAAAGTGGATGATCAAAGGACCCCCCCCCCCCGCTTAGAATGAATGAATGGCTTCTGCTGGAAACCAAAGGATGAAGGTGTAAAAGGAACAGTTGAAATTGTTATGAAGCAAATTAGACATATCTAAGGCCGTTAACCAAGTTTTAAGTCTGAGTTGTTTTCTAATAATATCTTGTTTTAGAGGTTGGGGTTTTTAGAGGGAATCTAATATGTATTATAACTAGGCAAAGCATCTATCTCCTATCAAGTTATTATTTTGTTATTGCTGTATTTTAGCAAGGAAATGAGAATATTCCTAAATTTAATCAGTGAGTAATGAATGATTGCTGCTAGAATTTCAATGAAGCTCCATTCAAAACTACATACAGGTTTAAATAAAAAATGCACCACATCCAAATCAAGTGCCTATGCACATCATGTACTTTAGGTTCCTATGTTAATTCCAATTTAAAAATGACCAAGATTATTTTATTTTCTCGGTCTTGTGAGGATTGTCTATGAAAACTGGCATATATTGAAAAGTTTTCATATAATTTCTTAAAGTCCATATCCTATACCATGTCATTTTCCTGGGTGGTGTCCTGGCAGTGAAATCAGAGACACTGAACACTTCTAGCCAAACCAAATCTTGTTGCCATATTGTCCTGCATTTTTTCATCATTTCTGAGTGGCTCCCATTAATATCAAGAAGTGATGCTAATGTATCATAGGGTCTACCTATAAACCATAAGTTTCTCTATTTTGGGAGACTGATTTCTTGAATTGCTGTGATAAGAGGGTCATTTTTAAACAAACGAACAAAGGCAGAAACCTGTTCAGTGTAAGCCTAATTCCACTCTGAGCAGACAGTGGCACTGGGGTTCGGTTAAAAAAAAAAAGTACATAAAGGTTTTTTTTTTTATTTCTTTCTTTCACTGCTGCTTTGGATGTACTCAGTAAACTTCACCTGCCTACGGCTCCTCCCCCACTTAATGAGGGAGAAAGTTTGGTCAGCCGAATCCTACAGCTGGGGCCTCCAGGGACCAAATTTCTTGGGTAGGAGAGACTTAAAACAAATTGATGGATGCCGGCCTTCCCATTCTTCTCCTTCTGCAATATTATTTTTTATGTCCTTGTGCCCATGACATTGTCCTTTCTATGATTTTATAGTATGTATTCCTAACCTTTAGTGGACCATTTCTAGCCTTTGTGATATGTGGTTGTTGTTTTGGTGATATGTTTCTACTTTTTCTTAAAGTTCCTTGACCTCACCTTTGATTTAGCATGAGAAAATATTAGTTATAGTATGTACCAGTCACTTCTGCTGTTATGTGCTTGATGTCTGTAGCAAAGCAACCTGGACTGAGCGCAAAGGAATCTGTTGCATTATTACTATTATTATTTTGCTACCATAGTCCCCAGTATGATACCTTATATATTGGATATAACATAACATTTAGCAATAAATACAGCAGTACATAATTCAATTCTTCTTGTGAAATTATTAAAATAACAATGTATTTACAGAGTTTAGAAAAGTGGAAAGTGTGTTTTAAGATGATAAAATAGAGATATGCATAATAAACATTTATAAACCTTTGCATTTATAAAATAATCTGAAATGAATTATTTCAATATATTCACCATATTAAAAAAAGATTTGAAAATGTGAATGAAAATAAAGAGCCAGTTAAAATCAATGCAAATAAAGGACAAAAATATCCTGTTGCCTAAAGTGGTTTCTTTTATCCTCTACAGATAGTCCTCGTCTTACAACCATTTGTTTAGTGACCATTTGAAATTACAACGCCACTGAAAAAAGTTTGTCACACTGCAGCATCCTCAAGATCATATGATCAAAATTCAGATGCTTGGCAACTGGTTTATATTTATGATGGTTGCAGTGTCCTGGGGTCATGTGACCTTCTGACAAGCAAAGTCAATGGGGAAGCCAGATTGTCTTAACAACCATGTTACTAATGTAACAACTGTGACAAGAAAGGTTGTAAAATGGGGCAAAACTCACTTAACAACTGTCTCGCTTAGCAACAGAAATTTTGGGCTCAATTATGGTCATAAGTGGAGGACTGTCTGTATTATAAAACATAATTTTTCTTTAACATTTACACACACAGAACATTCTTTATAAGGATTCCTGCATACAGTTCCATATTTCAAAATACTCATATCTGTTTCTTTGGCAAGGTTCTATTTATATAGAATAAAACTGGACGCTTGCTGATCATAATCCTTGACTACAGTATGAAGGTACTATTGCTATAGTATGCTTTTTTCACAATCATAGCAAGGAATAATAAAGAAGCTTGGCAGAGTTCCAGGTCTTTTTGTTACAGGCTTTAAACAAAACTATCTGTTTGTTTCTCTATTGTCACAATCTTTTAACGTAATTTGTTGCTGTAATAGGCCTGTGATTGTTGAAATCCCTCACTTTGCGGCATTACGTGGTAAAGAAAGAGAGCTGGTGATTTTGCGTAGTGAGAATGGGGACAACTGGAAAGAACATTTCTGTGAATTTACAGAAGATGAGTTAAATGAAATACTAAATGGAATGGATGAAGGTACATGTTTTTATAAACAAGATTTTAAAGTTACAATAAAAAGAAATTAAAGTAGAAATCCTATGCTTACTTAGCTGGAAGAAATAGCAATTCTAATTGGCCTTATAGTTACTGTAAATTACTTATGCACTTAAAATAATGAAAATAGTAAAATGTTAACAGATTTTCAGAAAGAGCAAAATGCAATATAAAACAAATTCCAATACTGAAGTTTCTTATCTACTAAACATTTCATGTCTGTAACTGGATGAAATGGTGCATCATGGAACAAAACTTTTTCAAACAAATTACCTTTAATGAGCTAACTTACAGAATGCATCCAAATTCTGGGACACAGGACTTCTGTGAAATTGAAATTTGGCAAACTTTATAAATAAAAATCATATAAAACATTTGTGTTCAACAAGGGCTGCTTTCAAGGAAGGTACATCTCTGAATATCTTACTAAATTTTTAAGAATTTTTCAAGTACATTAGAAGTTCTGGCATTGTTGAGTGCATTGAGAATCTGATCAAGAAATAACTCTAAAACAATGACCCAATGGGGCGCAGGTGGTCTAATGACTCATAAATGCATTCATGTAGTTTTGTACACTACATAATCTTACTTCTTGGGGATGATTTTGATTTCCCAGTGCAGGGATAGCCTAATAGTCTCCAATCTTATTGTTCCCAAGATCTGTTCCTGTTTGCTTTATCAAGTCAGCCAGGTACAGAGTGCTGAAGTCTAATTGTCAATAAATGGAGCATGGAACATGGAGCATTTATCCATTATAAATTGTAATTTAGGAGTAACATGGATTGTGTACTATGGGTAGTTTAGTTAACATATTTTAAACTAGTGTTTTATATAAAGCTATTTTAATAAAATTTGCATTACTGACTACATGTTAAAGCAATGTAAGAAAGCAAATATGAAATCTGTGATGAAATTCACATTGTATACCATACCAAGCTCCTCTAAACATATACGTTGTATCAGTGAAGATTCTCAGTAATCTAGGTAGAATTGTTTGAAGCTTGCGACATTGCAACTTGACTAATTCTTATTATTATTTTGAGACATTTTGCTACTCATCCAAGCAGCTTCATTAGTCAGAACAAGTCATTTAGGCAGAGAGTCATAGAATGTACCAACTCCTGCCTCAGGTGTTTCCTCCCCAAAATTTGAGATGTTTTGCTGCTCATTATGTGATGCTTGATATGCATCAGTACAGATCCAATAATAAACCCAATATGATCCTGAATATATGGATGAGATCATCCATAATCAGCTTTTAAAGGGAACTGTTATAACTGTGTGTAAGCTGCAATTAATGAATTGTTCTGTTAATGTGAAATTCAAATCCTGAATCTACTCAGACCAAATTTTAAGAAAGTTATTCTGGCTCCACCTCTTAGGATTAGAAGTACAATTAGCAAAAAGGTGTGTAAATGTATATTAGGACTGTGCAAGCTTTGAAAATTATCTGGAAAAGGCACTTTGACCTCAGAAGAATACAGCATCTTTCTGATGTTCACTAGAACATACTTTTCTAGCTTCTGTGTGATCCTGAAAAGAAAAAAAAATGCCTAGAAATTAGGTTATCTGAAGGAGGTCTCATTCATGTTAAAATATTTTTTGAAGCATTAAGAAATCCATACATTAATACAGGGGGTAGGGAATGATGTCTCCTTTATGACTTGTGGACTTCAACTCCCAGAATTCCTGAGCATGGCTGGCTTAGGAATTCAACTTCAGAAGTCCACAAGTCATAAAAGGCCATTGTTCCCCACCCCTGTATTAAGTGTATAAATATAAAGATTTTCTCTTAACAATTGCAGTGTTTACTATTTGAAGTAATGTTTGCTCTTTTCACCCAGTGCTTGACACCCCAGAAGAGCTGGAGAAGAAGCGTATTTGCCGTATTATCACCCGAGATTTCCCACAGTACTTTGCAGTGGTGTCCCGGATTAAACAAGACAGTAACCTCATTGGCCCTGAGGGTGGTGTACTAAGCAGTACTGTAGTACCACAAGTGCAAGCAGTCTTTCCAGAGGGAGCATTAACTAAGAGAATTCGTGTTGGTCTTCAGGTATGAGAAAACAAATCAAAATATTATAATCGGTGAACCAAATATTTCTGTTGAGGATAAGAGTAGTTTCCTGTAATTCTATTTCATTATCATTCCTCTATGGCAGGGGTCTTCAAACTTGGCCCTTTTATGACTTTTGGACTTCAACTCCCAGAATTCCTCAGCCAGCGTGCCTGAAGTCCACAAGTCATGAAAGAGCCACGTTTGAAATACCTCTATGATATTTTTTTCTTTTTTTGCATTTTATGTCTCCTAAATTCCAGTAGCACTGGAGGAAACTGGCCCCATTATAATGTGTAAAGTATTAACTAAGTTATATATCCAAAATTTGTAGCAAATGTTTGAACCAAATTTCTTCATAATTATATGTAAAACTGATAATGCATTCAAAACATTTATTTAAATAAAGAGTCCTCTTTAAGAGGCAGGTAAAATGGTTCTTGCCAGATTTGTTTGTTTGTTTATTTGTTTATTTAAAAAATTTATATTGCCGCCCACTGAAGTTTCAGTGACTCTAGGCAACTTACATTTTAAAAAAAAAAAACAACATAAAAAGAGTTAAAGCAATAACTGTCCACCTCCCAGCGACAACAGTCAAATAAGCTACTTTTATCCCACTCTGGGTTCCCAAGGTCCGTTGGCAAAACCAGGTCTTCAGGGCCTTGTGAAAGAATATTACTTTTGAAGCTTCCTTTTTCCTCATAGCACGCAAACAGTAATGCTTATGTAGTGCCTTTTGTAAAAAAATTCTTTGAGATTTTTTAAATTTGAAAAATGTATTCATACATGCTAAAGACATAAAAACACTTTCTTAAAATTATTGTGCAATTACTAATTATTTTTACGGCTACCAGGTCATGGTGGCAAAAATCTAGATTAAACACCCAGAAATTTATTTGCTGCCGTCTAGTAACTCTCTGGATTTTTTCAGTCCTCCTCTTTTGCTATTGTGCCCCTTTTTATAATATTTTCTAAGCTTTAGTGTTATACTGAAATTAGAACAAAAACAAAACAGAATACTAAAGCATAGGTTCAAATTCAGTAATAACTTTTAATAAGTCATATATTCAAAATTTAGTAAGAAGATCTAAGGAGAGGGACTGGTAACAATCATCAACATTTTATAGCCAAAATGTACAACAAACAGTAGTGTATTTATTGTTGTATAAGAAAAAAAAATCTCTCAGGGAAAGTTATTACGAATTTACAGCAGATGTTTAAAACTAATGGCCATATATATAATGTACATATCTGTGCATGTATGTACATGTAATATATAAAAGCTATGTGTCTCCTTTTTAAAATATTTAGGCTACTAAATTTCCCATTTTTTGTGGGTTGAGTCTCATTAAACTTAATAAGACTTCTGAGTGTAGGATTGAATTATGAGCTGAGTTGATTGAACTTAGTTGCATTTCTCCTAGTTTTGTCTTTTATCAAATTTATGATTAACATGCTGTAAGTCTAGTTTAATTCACAAATAATCCAAAAGAATTAAACTTTTCACTGAAAGAATTCTATATACAAAATATAAAAGGACTGTAAGAACATGAAGATATTCAGTTTGTACTTACCTAATGGCTAGAAATAAGTGAATTTCTCCCATCATAATTCAAATGGATTTAAAGATTTTTCAGAGAATTGTCATAATTCTCTTTTCTTGAGAATTCTGTGAAATCATACTACCTCGGAGCTTTGGTAAATGATAATCATTAGCAATAGCCCATGGCCAACCAGTAAGGGAGAGAGTATTAGCAGAAGACATCAGTTAGTAGCAAATTAAGAAAAATCATCACCACATAGAACAAAGTGTATTATTGTAGTTAATCATTATTCAAGCTATTTTAATTAAGATAAATTTTATTTTCTCATTGTCTTTGAATAGGCCCAACCTATGCACAGTGAACTTATAAAGAAATTTTTAGGCAATAAAGCCACATTCAGTCCTATTGTCACATTGGAACCTAGGCGAAGAAAATTCCATAAGCCAATAACTATGACTATTCCTGTTCCGAAAGCTTCCAGTGATATGATGATAAATGGTTATGGAGGTGAGACTCCTACTCTAAGACTACTATGCAGCATAACAGGTAAGCTCTCATATATCTCTGAAATTTCATGCATGATGCTGATTGTTGGTTTAGGTCAGGGGTCTCCAACACCCGGTCCATGACCCAGTGCTGGACTGCGGCCTGTTGGGAACCAAGTGAGTGAGCACGAAACCATCCCCCCCCCTGCTGTTGTCATCACCACTGGTCCACAGAGCCAGAAAGGTTGGGGACCGCTGGTTTAGGTCATTAAAATTTTCATTAAAGCCCTGTTACAAAATTATGTAAACTGTCTTCCATAGATCATAGTTAAGAGCATTGGTTTATAGTGAAAATACAAATTGTTTAACCAAACAATGAATACTATCATTAAAATAATTGCCATTTTAACTGTATTGGTTTATTTTAAAATTATGCTCAGTGATTAGAATAGATAGTTTAAGAATAGGAGCTGTCCAATGGAAAGAGTCATTGACTCTTTATCATTAATTTATTTGCCTTGTAAAACAAAGGGCAAATCTATTTTTTCAGAGTTTTAAATTGTCAGAATAGAAGTATATTGATGAATTGTAAAATTTAAGAAGAGATTGGATAACTATTTGTCTTAAATGGTATAGTGTTTCCTGCTTGAGCAGGGAGGATTGGGCTAGAAGACCTGCAAGGTCCCTTCCAACACTGTTATTCTGTTCTGTTAGAAGAATATCACTATTGGATCAGGTCAAGCGGCATCATTGTCCAGCTTGGTTCCCAACCCCACAATTGGGAGTCAAAAAAGCGAAGTGGAGACATATTGTATGTTCTCTTACTATTATTCCACTCAGCTGGACTTTGGTAGTTGTACTTGTTATGTGGAAATTTCTGCTGGTCTGAGATTTCTCAATGTCAATTTTAGGAAGTCTGTTATATCTGCATCAACTCGTTTTGAAAATTATTCTAAAATATAATCATTACTTTTCTTCTTGTCTGTCAAAGTCTTTAAATATAGAGTTTGAAATATACAAGCTGTTATTTTCATATTAATTCTAATTCATTTAAATAAAAAATAAAGTTTTTGTCTTAGAGAATATTGGTCATATAATGTTGAGGTTTTTTTCAGTTAGTAACAAAGAAGGCAGGAGATCAATATTTTCTGTGTATCATCTAGCCAGAAAGCTACAATCTCCTTAGCTTCTCATGCTTGAGTTAAATCTCAGAGAAATAATAATAAGGAAATTCTCTCATTAGGATTTTTCCAATTAGGAAGTGTGGGTGAGAAACGTGGCTGTGAAATAATATAAATAATAAGTAACATAAAACAAAAGCAGCAGTCTCTACCACCCATAATTCAAAATAATCTCAAAACTATCACCAAAAAAACAAAATCAAAACATACTCTATAGCATCTTGGACAAATCCAAAGCTCTTTTTGCAAACAAAAGAAATTAAGTTTACAGTGCTGATTTTAGCACAGAATCAATGTAAAGAATTTACTACAGATAGTCCTTAATTTTACAGTAGTTTGCTTAGTAACTGTTCGAGGTTACAACAGCATTGAGAAAGTGACCTATGCCCATTTTTCACACGTATGACCATTGCAGTATCTCCATGGTCACGTGATCAAAATTCAGACACTTGGCAACTGACTTATATTTATGATGGTTGCAGTGTCCTGGGATCATGTGATCACTTTTTGAGGGCTTCTGACAAGCAAAGTCAATGGGGAAGTCAGATTCACTTAACAACTATGTTACTAACTTAACGATTGTAACGATTCATTTAACAACTGTGGCAAGAAAAGTTGTAAAACGGAGTAAAACTCACATAACAAATGAGCAACAGAAATTTTGGCTCAATTGTGATCATAATTGAGGACCTCATGTATTTTATTTTTTTCATTTTGTACCCTAAAATTAAATCCTTGATTCTGTTGGGTACTGACGTAATAGAATCTTTTGAAGTATTGATCAAAATTATTTTTATCCCAAAGATCACAGACTTTATAATTGCTTATGAATGAAGATACAAGTTTCTCCTATGATTTGAATAATAATGTATATTAGTCTTCTAAACTAAACATTTAACTGTCATACTGGCAGATATCATAATCAATTTAATGACAAAAAACTTTAGGAATACCCTTAGGTCAGACTTTGCATGACTGGAAATTTAACTAAAAAGAATTTTATGCATCCAATTTTACAATTTTGCAGAAATGCTTATTGTTTTTCCGTATTTGTTTCAGGTGGAACAACACCTGCTCAGTGGGAAGACATAACAGGAACAACACCATTAACATATGTAAATGAATGTGTTTCCTTCACCACAAACGTGTCTGCCAGGTACCACCATACAGAGCAGTATCTAGTAATAAAACTGTAAAAAATATTTCAGAACCATAACTTTAGTCTGACACTGTATTATGCATATGAAGCTTGTCCATAAGTCACCTACTAAATTGCAAAGATGCTATTTATAATAGGATCCTTCCTTAATTTTGATTTAATTCTGGGATAAATCAAATTATAACTAACTCTGAATGCTATACTAAATAAAATAAATCTTGTGCCAACAGTGCAAGTAAACTTATTGTTCTCTGGCAGCTGTTCCTATGACTAAATTCTAAACAACTGTTCCCTTAGGACAGTGTTTCCCAAACTTGACAATTTTAAGGCATGTGGACTTCAACTCCCAGAATTCACAGCCAGCGTTGTTGGCTGTGGAATTCTGGGAGTTGAAGTCCTCGTGCCTTAAAATTGTCAAGTTTGGGAAACACTGCCTTAGGATTCCATAGATTGAAGGTGTTGGCATTGTTCTAAGGCATTACAGTGTGGGCCTGATTTCAGAAATTGAGCACGCTGATAAGAATTTTCTCCTTGTCTTTCTTTTAACAGTCTGTTGCTTAGAATAGTAATGAGGATTCCAGAAGGAGGGGAACAAAAGAGTGGTTTGGATAGCAAGATGGGTGGCATATCAATTTAATAAATAAATAAATAACAAATAAATAATTGCAAGATATAGAATGGGAAAAACAAAGGTATAATGTATTGGGGCAAAGCTTGTTCATACTTTGGTTTAAATTAAGGCACAAGGGTCAGTGAAGACATTCTATAATCTTGAGTAAACTAGCAATACATTCAGATTCATTTCAGTTCCAATCCATCCCTCACATCAAAGTCCAGGGGCAGTTCAACTACTGTTAAATCTGAATTATTAAGTAAATATTTGAATTTGTCTTTTACGTCAGTTATTTGAAATCAGTGCTAGTTCCTAGAGTTTTAGACATTTCATTACATTTATTATTGCTTTCTCCCCACCTGCTAGATTTTTTTTGATAATAATTTAATATGTTTGTTTATTTTCAGATTTTGGTTGATAGATTGTCGACAGATACAGGAATCTGTAGCATTTGCTTCCCAAGTATATAGAGAAATTATATGTGTACCTTACATGGCCAAATTTGTAGTGTTTGCTAAATCTCAAGATCCCATAGAAGCCCGACTAAGATGTTTCTGCATGACCGATGATAAAGTGGATAAAACACTAGAGCAACAAGAAAACTTTGCTGAAGTTGCTCGAAGCAGGGATGTAGAGGTATTACTTGTGTTTATACTTTTGGACATGTTCGTTTAAAACATGTTGTTCCATTGTCTTGTGAGTTAAAAAAATAGGGCAAAGAGAAAAATATCTCATTATTTTACAGAACTTAGGTGAAATATTAAACACATGAATATTTAATCCATTAATTCAAAATCACAGCATAATGGAAGGGATTAAACTTTTCATTTATGTTCTTCTCTTTACAAAAACAGGCACAATCCTGTAGCTTAATTTGCTCTGAGATGAAACATGCTGCAAACATAAATAGAACAATAAATGTTAAATGGAAAAGGTGTAATGAAACCAAATGATGGATCTTTATTGCAAAACAGCATTTTCAAATTAAATGTCCTTATACATAGTTATATAATCAGCTCCCTTTCCTACAATTCATATTTTTATTCAGATTGAGTTGGAATTGTATTGGTATTATGATTTGGGTTAGTTCAAAAATAGATATGATAAGCATTGCAATTAAATACATTAAAATATTGTTTTTGTTCTTTCAAAATAAGAGTACAGAAAGAGGATATAGAAAATTATTGACTATATGGTAATAATATGAAAAATCTGAGAATGTAATATTACTACAGTAGAGCCTAGAATATTGTTAAGAATCTTTGTTTTATGGTTAAGGATGTATATTACTTTTTAATACTATATCTATTGACATGACTGACTATTTTGTCATAAGATGTCATAAAACCATTGCAGCATAACTTGCTTTATGATAATTTCTTGCAAAAATTTCTGTTAGGTTTGGCTTTAATTAGACTGATCTGTTCTTAAAACAGCAGTATACAGATGTGGCAGGACCTTACCTACCAAGAGACATATTTTAGAAAACAGGTTAATAGTACCAAGCTAACAAATCACTGAAATCAAGTTAGAGTGCTAACGTTTAAAGAGCGTAATCAATTAGCAATTGACGTGTTTCCAATAGCTGTATTGAAGGACAAGAGAATTCCATATGCATCCCACCTTTGTTCATGTGGAGTATGTATCAGTAAATTTTCTTTTTACTTTTATACTGTGACTTTTGTAAAGATTCTTCCACATTTTAATTAAGTTCCTATCAGTCTGTCCTTGGTATTTATTGCTGAAACAGAATCTCTTTAAATGTTGCAAAATCTATTCTACTGCATGTAGAGTTCATCAGAAGTTGAATATTTTATCTTAGTTGTGTCTTTTTGACAGTTTCTTTTTATCTTTTGTGTTTTACTATGGTCTTTGGTTGTTGCCCATTATAAAGCAGTTTCATGAATTAAAACCAAGGAGGTAATCCTATTTTTTTTAATTTATGGTACTTTGTTTACATTTGATTGAATAAAATTTAAATAAATTTTTCCTTGCTCTGATATTTATATCTGTTTAAGATTTTATTGACAAACTGTGTAAAAATTTCCTAAAATGTTTCAGCATTTGGCATTGGATTGAGGCATATTGCATATTTTGATTTAATTAAAATTTGATTTAATTACTAAGAAATGTTGATTGTCTGGAAATAATAATGTATTTGTATATATTTAGAATATCTTGCATACATGTTAATCCACTTTGCTGCTGCTGTTTATTTGTAATTGCAATAGGGTGAGCTCTTGTTACTTGCCCCACTCCTGCTAAGGTAACAGTTTGAAAGTATGCAAATACGAGTAGATAAATAGGTACCACCTCGGTGGAAAGGTAACAGCGTTCCATGCATGTTGGCATATAGTCATGCTGGCCACATGACCACAAAAGTGTCTTTGGACAAGGCTGGCTCCATCAGCTAAGAAACAGAGATGAGTACACCCCCTAGAGTTGGACACAATTGGGACAGGAGAAACCTTTTTCTTTATATTAATAGTGTTGTTGGTTTTTTTAAAAAAATAAGGCTAACAATATATTTTAACTTAGGCAAAATATAAGAACAAAATTCATGAACATTTTACTTTCTTATAATTATATGTAGGTATTAGAAGGAAAACCTATATTTGTGGACTGCTTTGGGAATTTAGTACCATTAACAAAGAGTGGCCAACATCACATATTCAGTTTTTATGCCTTCAAAGAAAACAGACTTCCATTGTTTGTCAAGGTAATTTTGATATAAATATGTATGTCGAGTTTGGTTTTATTTTATTTCAATATCAGTAATAAAGTTATGGTGTGTTGGTCTATGTTGTTTACCCTCAGGAGAAGGGGGAGGTAAATGACAAAAAAACAAAACAAAACCCAGTACCATGATAATTACATTTTTAAAGGCAGACTGTCTATATATTCCATTTATATGCTAACAAATAATGTCCTATATATAAAATTAGTTACCTGTTCTGAGTTTTGATTTCTTTAGGGTTCTGCAAAAGCTTCGGTATTTTCTACAAGACATAATAATGTAATATTCTTATTTACACAGGCTTTGAGTAGAAAGAATAGTATGGTTTATTTTAGGAATGTTGTATATATTTCTGCCCAGTTTATATTATTATAGATTTGTTTCCCCTTTAGAAACTTGTTCTTTGAATTGGCAGTCTGTAGGCTGCACCTGAACTGGGTACGTGTTCCCCATTTCAAGCTATGTATCTGCCAGGTTCTCCAGTCTCAGAACGATACCCTGTTCCTCTTGAACAATTAACTTTTCTTTCATCTATTTGTTTTGCAGTTTGATCCACAGTCATTATCCCTTTATGACCAACTTAGTTTATTTTGTTTCTATTGATCATTTATTATATTCAGTCCACATTCAATCAACTTCCCTACATTCTGTATGTCATATTTTTACTACATGGACTTCTTAAGAATCTTATTTCCAGTATGTTCAGCTTATCATGGTTTTTGTGGCACAACCAATGCTTACTTTCATATAACAAAGTAGGCTGAAACAATCCTTATACTTTTTGCTTCTTTTAATAAACATTCAACTGTTGCCACAGACTATATATTAATCATTATCTGCATTTGTAGAGTTTATAATTTTCTGTCCTGATTAGCATTCTATCAACATATACAAAGCAACTTACTTGTTTTAGTTTTTTGCCATGTATACATAACTTGCAATTATTCACTCCATTTTCCCATCATATTCAACTACTGTATCTTAGTTTTTGATACTATAATTTTCACATCCATATTGCTCTGCACAGAATCATACACTTACTAAGGTTCTCAGTTAACATTTGATTAATTTCCATTGTTTGAAATATTGCTCTCACTCAAACATGTAAAATATTCCACACACATTTTGGCACTTTGTAATATGATTATTTTGATTTTGTTCTAAGCAGTTGCAAATCCTCTTCCCATATACCCACTTTCTATTTATTCTGTTAGGAAATTAATCTGTCTTTTAACGTTATTTCATAGACCATAGACTTTATCTTTCTGCAATCTTTTTAAGTTCACTCATATTTTTTTCCTTTTCTAGCATATCCATTTTTCCTCCAAGAGCCAATCTTGACATTCTGTCCCACATTTTGTATTCTTTTCTAAAGTCTTTTTGAAACAAACAGAACTCTTTCTAACCAGATACAGATAATACTTTTTTGTTCTTAGATATATGAATGGCCCAATCACTTTTTGGAATCTCTTGACTTGTTCCTATTCAGCCATTAGTGGAACCTAGCAGAGTTCCCATCATATTCATCTGAATTGCATTGATTCCTAACACTGCATAATATTTTTCCAGATTTCATCCCTAGTTCTTTCATTATCACCATTCTTTGGACATAGAATTGTCAATCCATATATTTGTATTCTCAAACATACTTGTAACAAGCTGGATAACACCAGTTTATCTTTTGATTCATAATTAAACCTACACTTCCACTTTGTATTCATTAACTCAATTTCAAATGTTGCATTATTTTATTTCCAAAGATCAGATGTATAAATTACCAAATAAAACAGCAAATTTTGTCAGGTTGTCTTGGAAGTTAACTGTTGCCTCTTTTTAAAAGCTGCAACATTACCTTTGGCTACCATGTAGGTCGTTTCATGATATGAGTCTGGAAATAAAAAGTGGGCATAAAAATCAGTCATTTTCCCAGGTGCAGTTATTAAGAGATTGTCCTTTTGAAGATCCCTATAAAATTTACCAGAAAAAAAAGGATGTGTGGCATCATACTGATCAAATTCCTTGTGATTGAAGAATGTTGATATATCTATCATGTGATAATGTGGATGGGAGGATTTGCCTGGCCCTGAAAAATACTTTCCTCAGGCAAAAGGAAGTTAGGGTGTGCAAATATTTTATGGTTCTCAGAAGCCTATCTCCAGCATTTATCCTAAACTCTGACAGAGTTAACTGACTTTGAACATTATTTGATGTAGCTCAGTATTTTTAACACTAGCTTTTTGACTGGAGCATAGTCCAAAATTAATAAGGAATCTACAGCCTCACAGTTATTCTTAATTTCTGTTCTATTGCCTTTGTCCATAAAAAGAAATAATCAGCAGCTAAAACTAGCAATAGCAACTCTACAGAAAACGGAAGCACAAATATTTCCAACATGCCACACATCGTCTCCCATGCTCTTTTCCAATATTGAGCATCTCCAACTCAAGCCCAAGTACAATGCTGGGGTAACCTATAGTATGGCAAATATGATCTTAAAACTTGGTTTCTAATTTGGGGGGGGATTTTTCTTCATATGTAGGTAAACCTGAGATGCATAAAATATTTAGATTAGTGTTTTAGCTTTTAAAAGCTTTATCATGAAAAATATCAGTTCATATCATTTGGAGTAAACTTTATGTAGCCTGACTTGACTTGCTGAATATATTCATGATAGACTTTTGAGGGTCTGAAAAACTACCACTACATATTTAAAGCAGTATATCTGTTCAGTCCTGTTCTAGTAAATTATAGAAGTTTGCTGTTTTAGGGTTTTGGCAAACAACATGAGTTTGGATCTCTGGTAATCTGTGTCCAACCTGATTTTGATACAGTGATGTACAAATATTCTCACTACACATTTAAGCTTAATAGGTGTACAAGAAAAAACTGCAGGGTTATCTGTATACAGTAATATGGGCACTGTGGCCTGCAGTCTTAGGCGCATGAAAATTTGGGGAGCAACTCTACTTAATAAGATCAGACTACCTTCAACCAGATCTATAGCATTTAATCCTGCCTAGTCTCATTCATAGACATGCTTTTAACCCTTTTCATTCTAAGTCACAGTAAGTGACACACTAAATGACAACACAGTAATGGTTGTCATCAGATGGGTCTTTCATCACTCATCATGCTTTGATCAACTGAAGGTTTTACCTTTAATTCTATCTGTTACATGCAATAATACTTGCTAAGAGTAAGGAAAGTACTGATTATTTCTGGCACATTTTTTGCTAGCATATTACAACTAAAGCCCAGGTATATTCTTTGCAAGTTAGGATTTCTCTTAAGATATTACTTTGGAAGCCAATACACTATTGTCCATATCCTGCCCTCAAAAAGATACGTGCCTTACTGACGTGCACAGAGTTTTGGGTTTGAACTCCTGCTATTTTTCTGCAATAGGTTCGGGATACAACACAAGAACCTTGTGGACGTCTATCATTTATGAAAGAGCCTAAATCTTCAAGAGGTCTGGTACATCAAGCTATCTGCAATCTGAATATCACATTACCAGTATACACAAAGGTACTCCCCAGTTAAAAACAACCTGCTCATATATTACACTTGTACACTGTAATTTAAGATGCACTAAACTTGTTCTGTAGTTTTGTAGTTTTCACAAAATTCTTAATAGCATTATATAAATATTATTTAATATCGCATATTTGGGATGTATAAATTATGTAGCATTCTTTCCTGTCAGAGGCTCTCTAGCTTCCTTGAGTGTTGAAAGTCAGGTAATGCACAGTTCTATATGGAACCAATGGCTGATTAGGATGAGTCGACATTTATCAATAATTGGTAACAACCAACATTGTTATCACTCACTCAAATCATAATGAAGCCATTTTTGCGTGCATTTACGTACATAGTGCACTCGATTAGCAGGGCAATGCTAAACAATTTTTTTTTAAATGTAAAACTTTATAGTTTTCTTGCTCAGCCCCAAACTAATTGTTTTATTTTCCAGCATTGTCTTGGTCATAGATGACTCATATACTTAGTTAAATGATTAGGAAAATTGCATGAGATACCACAAGCATGTATTCTAACTTTCAATGTAATTCAAATATAGCAACATTACATTTGAAACTTCACTAGTGACATAAAAATAAATCTATGCTAATGCTTATATTTTCTTCTTATTATCTTTAAGAAGATATATTTAAGAAACTTTTCTACACAGATTGAATTTTGGCATATTTGAGAAACTGTTGTAGGTTTAATGCATAATAATCAAACAAAATCCTAACATAAAATAGCTTTTCTTCTTTGAACTTACTTGAATCTCCACTTTTCTTAACTGAACCAACTTTCCTATTCTCTTTTCTTTCCTTCTTAGGAGAAAGTGCAAAAATTGTATTCATTGTGTATTCTTACCAATTAAATGTGTCCAGAAATCATACTTTTCCTTTAATTGCATCCTATCTTTCCTTGCTCTGTTTTTCTTTTCTTGCATGGCATATTGGATTAAAGGAATCAGAATCAGATCAAGAACAGGAAGAAGAGGTAACTTTGCTAATTCTGGTGTAAAATTGCTATGATAAGGCTCCAAATTGGGAAAGAGCAGTTAGTTGAATGCCAAATGACTGCATGTCAAGTATGATCAATTCATTGCCTATTGGTCAGCATTGATACCATCTCAAATTAATTTCATGTAAATATTGACCAGGTTTCATAAGCCCTTTGCAATCAATTCAGTTATAAACTCCCTGTAATCCATATTTATTCTATTACATTTTTTGTTTTGGAAAGAGGGAAGATTAACTGAAAAAGAAAAATAATTCTGGAGTGTGAAAAATGAGATGAAAATATTTTCAAGAAATATTATATTTATAAGCAGTAAATGTTAATTGCTAATTTGAACCAATATATATTGCCATTGAACAAGACACATATACAGTAGTAATTTATCTAAATATATAAAATGTATACCTATAAATTAGCCAAGCTACTTTAATAACGTAGTGTATATAACAACTTAGTCCACTCCACTGGTTCTGAAGTGAAAGCTACATATTTATCAATGATGTCCTCAAAGGATAATGAAAATTCAACCTATAGCTGATTTAACTTTTTTTGTTTACATCCTTGTTGTTGAGATGAGTTTGTTCTTTTAGCAATTTTATCCAGGAATAAATGTCAAGCAAGCAAACAGTAATTAGAAAGAAAGGATGTCTTTTCTCAAGTTCTTAAAATCTTTTATAATTTCTAAAAATAACTGCAATTGTAGAGTTGTTCAGTTAATTGGAGTCATTCTATTGTAATTTGTCTCCATTTTAATTACCCTTGCAACAGGGCAAAATGACGTAAATTGCAGTAAGCAAAAACTGTTCCCTATTGAGTTATTTTGATGAAAGGCTTTTCTAGAAACATGCAGACAATGGATAATTATTAAAAGGAAAAGTGTAAAAAAATAAAAAATGCATTGGCAAAATTGTAATGGGAAATGATTCTCTGTAAATATAAAATCATGAGTTAATTAATACATCTTCAGTTGCTGACCAATAAAGAGCAAATAAATAAATAGGTGTATCAATAAAAATAGAACATTAAAAATAATTATTAAATTAAAAGTAGAGAAGGGAATAGGGGATCAGCCATATTGGGCTTAACTCTCACTAAGAGATATGAAATGATAGAAAGAGTTGAAGCTACAAAAATCTTGGGGGTGGTTGATCATGCAGTATTGGAATTTAACATTATATAAGCACAAGCAATAGAGCAAAGTCAAACTAGAGTCTTGGACTTTAAGAGAACTAATTTCAATAAACTTAGAGAGCTGAGAAGGATTCCATTGATGAGAATTCTCAAGGTGAAAACAACCCAAGAAGCTTGGGAAACTTTGAAAAGTGAGATTATAAAAGCCCAGTCTAGCACAATATCAATGAAGACGAAAGATAACAGCTCTCAAAAGAAACCAGCATGGCTGCATAAAAAAACTTTCTAATAAATGAAAGACAAAAAGGACAAATATAAAAAGTGGAAAGAGGGGCACATAACTAAGGCAGAATATCAGCAAATAGCCCAAGCCTGCAAAGATGAACTAAGGCTTGCGACAAAAAGTCAAAAATAACAAAAAAAGGCTTCTTTCAACATGTAAAAAAACAAGAAAAAAAAGTCATGGAAATGATTGGTCCATTAATGGGAGAAAGTGGCAAGAAAGTGACAAACAACAGGGAGAAAGCAGAACTACTTAGCTCGTTTTTCGCATCCATCTTTACACAAAAGGAAAAATGGTCCAACCTATCAAAAACAGTAACATAAAAAACAGATTAAGAATACAAGTTAAAATATGCAAGAAAATGCTAAGTGCATGTCGACCCTAGACGAGTTCAGATCACCAGGACCAGATGGATTACACCCCAAGGTTCTGCTGGAACTGGCAGGTATGATCTAATAACCACCGCACTATATCTTTCAAAGATCCTGGAACACTGGGGAACTACCAGAGGACTAGAATAGAGCTGATGTAGTTCCCATCTTCAAAAAAGGAAAAAAAATAGATCCAGGAAACTACAGACCTATCAATTTGACTTCAATACCTGGGAAGATTCTGGAAAAGATAATCAAGCAACAAATCAGCAAACACCTAGAGGCAAACAAAATCATTACCAAAAGTCAACATGGGTTTGTCAAAAACGGATCATGCATGAAAAATCTTATTGCTGCACTGCATACCCCAAAGTTCTGTTTTAGACCTAGTACTCTTCAACATCTTCAATGATTTGGATGAGGGGATGGATGGGGAACTCATCAAACTTTCAGGCAACACCAATCTTGCAACACTTGCAGGAATAGCCAACACACCAGAAGATAGGTTTAAGATATAGAAGGATCTTGACAGACTTGAACATTGGGCGCTATCTAACAAAATGAAATTCAGTGGTGAAAAAAATAAGGTTCTAGGCAAAAAAAACTAAATGCACAGGTATAGTATAGGTGGTACCTGGCTCAATAGTAGTAATTGTTAGAGGGATCTTGGAGTCCTAGTAGACAATCACTTAAATATGAGCCAGCAGTATGCTGCAACTGCCAAAAAAGCCAACACAGTTCTAGGCTGCATTAACAGAGGGATAGAATCAATATCATGTGAAATATTGATACTGTTTTATAATGTCTTGGTAAGACCACCTTTGGAATACCACATCCAGTTTTGGTCACCACGATATAAAAAAGATGTTGAGACTCTAGAAAGAGTACAGAGAAGAGCAACAAAGATGATTAGGGGACTGGAGGCTAAAACATATAAAGAACATTGCCCAGAATTGGGTATATCTAGTTTAATAAAAAGAAGGAGTAGAGGTGACATGATAGCAGTGTGCCAATATCTCAGAAGTTGCCACAAAGAAGAGAGAGTCAAGTTATTCTTCAAAGCACTTGAGGGCAGGACAAGAAGCAAAGGATGGAAACTAATCAAGGAAAGAAGCAACCTAGAACTAAGGAGAAATTTCCTGACAGTTAGAACAATTAATCAGTGGAACAACTTGCCTCCAGAAGTTATAAATGCTCCAACACTAGATATTTTTACAAAGAGATTGGACAACCATTTGTCTAAAATGGTATATGGTTTCTTTCCAAGATCCCTTCCAATTCTGTTATTTGTAGAAGGAAATTCAATAAATAAAAATATAGAAGAATAAATATATAAAAATATAATATTCTACACTTAAAAATAATTTAATAAAATAGATGACTGCAATTCTCTGGTAAAACATGGCAAAAATATAAATATAAATGAATCTTAAAAGAAGACTTTTGGACTATTTCTAGCTTTATCATATGTTCCCACTTTTGCTACTAACTTCTCAAAATACTTTCCAAGTGCAGGTTAAAAATAACCCATTTTCCATTTCTGTATTATTTACAATCTCTCCCTGTCCAATTCAATGGCTAGTGCCCTCACTTTTTAACATACAGTATAAATGGAGTAAATTAACTGTTAGCATTATGTGTGTAAATGGAATTTATGGTTACTAACGACTTAAATGCATTGTTAATTCCACCACTCTAAGTAACTAACTTAACTGTAATCCTAAGAATATTTATCAAGAAGAAAATGAATTCAGTTTGGTTCTTCTTTAAATGAGAATATTTAGAATTGAGCTGTTACTATCATGTGCATTTATAAAATGAAAGATCATAATCTAAATATAGTTCAGGATAATAGTTTCCATTGTAACATTATTTTTCTATAACCCATTCATTCTTTGTTTTCTTTCAGACTGACATGACATCAGAAAAACGTAAGACTTTAATAAACTGTTATGGTGTGCATGAATTATCTAATAAAGCATGAAAGGGATTGCAAATTTTAATTGCCACTGATGATCGTATTAACTTTATAAATATAAAGTTATAATACTCTAACTATAATCTGTAGATGACACCTGTTATTTGTTATTAATAATTTAAAATTAAAATATTTAGTTCATCTAAGTATTCTTGATTTTTTAAATTACCTGGTAACCCTGCTATTGCTGTTAGCCCTCTATAACACCTTCCCCCTCTTATTTTAACTACATGACCTGAATTCATTTCATTTCATCAACTAATTACAGTATCACTTTTAAAAATTAAAATATTCAAACTGTCAAAACTCATCATGAAATTACTCACATGAAATGTCTAGGTGCTAGTATAAAAGTGATACTGTTGAAAGTAACAAAGATCTTTAAACCATCTATCTATGTCTTAATACTCTGGTGAAGTATTTCTGTGAGATTTTTTTATGTCTTAGAATTTTGTTTGCTGGAAATGAATTATTTTTGCCACAAATGAGGATAGATGTTAGATGGTCTTGGCAACTTCTTGTACAAATCTATGCAATTTTCTTGGAAACATGTTTGGAAGTGGTTTGCCATTGCCTTATTCCTAGAGCTGAGGGAGAATGACTAGCGGCTAGCCTAAAGTCACTCAACTGGTTTTATGTTTAAGACAGGACTAGAATTCAGTCTCCTGGTTTCTAGTCTGGTGCCTTTGATCTCTATACCAAACTGGCTCTCTACATCATGCTACAAATGGCTATTTGAAACAAACATTCTTGTGCTATAGTGCCAGATACATGTTGTATGTATATCCTGTAATAGCGGCTGCAAAGTATACAGAGAAAGAAGTCATATTACAGAAATAGGTAATTGAGATTAGTAATCCAACAATCCTATCTAACTCAATCAGTGTAATACAGTAGTATGTGGGAGCGACCTTGGGGTCAAGGCAAAGAGAGCAATTTTGGGAACAATCAGATAAAAGGCAGCTGAGCCTTTAACAGGATTGTGGATGGGATTAAAGGCTCAGAAGAATCCCTCCCCAGTTCTCTTGGACTTAAAGGGAGAGAAATATACATATAAAATTTGTTAAGATAACTTTACAGTAAAGTAACTCACTAACTCATTAACTCACTCAAATCTTATTTGACAATTGCAGTAGCTAAATCAAACCTTGTTATTTGGGGAATACTGAGTCCCTACCTACTTTATTCAGGAAGTGCCTGATAAACCATGGCCTCTTGCACTAGCAGAAAACTAGTAAGCTTTCATCAATAGCAATTATAATGAACTCTCCAATGCCACAGAAGATTCATGGCAACCCAGAAAAGAGAGAAAGAGGAACAAGATGAGTATATACAAATAGCATTAGGCACATCACTAATATCCAGAGCTCACAGCCACACCTGGCTGATCATAGAAAAAGACAGACTGACAAACTAAATTACAAATAGCTATAAAGTCCTTGATGTCTCTAAAGGGAGCCTTACTGCAAAAATTTTTATTTTTATTCTTGTCATATCCAATGGTTTTTCCAAATCAGATATGAAGTATACTGGAAAGTCAAACTTCACCACAGTATTTTCCACATGATTTAATTTCATTTTAATTTTTAATCTTTAAGTTTTATTGGGCTTATTTTAATGTAAGAATAGTTACCCTGCAATGTATGCAACAGCTTTGCTTTGCATGGAAATAACTTGGCTTACATATATATATATGTATGTATGTATGTATCGTGTGTATGTTTGTGTCTGTCTATGTATGAATGTTTCTGGTTGCCATCCGTTACATTTTCTCCTTGAACATTTGAATTCTCTATTCTGTGGTGGTGGCATTTTAATTACCCCCTCCCCTTATTTTTCCATCTTATTTATTTATTTATTTCAATATGAGGATGTTCCAAAGTAGGACCATGCCTCCTGAAATAAGTGTTGTGTCTGTGCCATTATTTGGATGTAAGATTCCCCTTAGATGAAATGCCGGTTTGCAGCTACCTCAGATATCAGTGTATTTCATTTATTGTAAAGTATTGTAGAATTAAATGTAAATATAGATATTTTTACTTTGATTATTGAATAATGTTTATGTAATAACTAATTATGGTTCTGAAGTTTGCTACCACTGGCTTTCTCTTTGAGGACATCAATTTTCAACCAATTACAATCCTTCTTTTGTTCTATTTTTATTTGAACATTGATCTGTAACATATGAACAATCTTGAGATATCTATTTTTGTGTAAATTCCACACTTTCTTTTCCTTTCCTGAATTTGTTTTTATGGTGTCTTGGTTTATAAAGCTTTGGTGTTTGTGTGTATGGATGTGTTGGACTGCAAAAACTAAGCAAGTTATTTCCTGCTTACTTTCCTTTTCAGTTTTCCCTATTAGCTTTGCTTTGCTTTTTTTTTTCCACCATCAGATTTGTGGACCCACCATTCCCAGATCATTTTGTTGATCCTCCTACTGCTGCAATCAAAAACAGTCATTTCAATCCTGATTACATTTGACAATCTCTATTTTTGATTTCCATTTATTTCCAATGTTTTCCCCTATTTCCATCAAAGATGATGACGAAACAGAATCTACAGAAACATCTGTCCTGAAAAGCCATCTTGTCAATGATGTTCCTGTCCTAGCAAGTCCAGATTTGCTGTCTGAAGTCTCTGAGATGAAACAAGATTTGATAAAAATGACTGTAATTTTGACAACAGATTCTTCTGAAAAAACAGATTCTGTTAAAGTAAAAGACCTTACAAAAGCTGCTGATGAAGAGCCTGGAGAACCATTTGAAATTGTGGAAAGAGTTAAAGAAGACTTGGAAAAAGTGAATGAAATTCTAAGAAGTGGGAGCTGCCCCAAAGAAAAGCCAGCTTTGCAGAGATCTGCTTCTGGAAAAAAGTTGGTGGAAGGAGATTGGGTTCTTTTAAGTGATGAAGAAATTGAAGAGGCCAAGCAAAATGTTCCTTTGGAAGTTTGTGAGCCTATTTGTGTAGAAAATAGAATAGGCAAAGAAAAATCAAAGAAAGAAACAAAAGATATGACAGGAATGGTTGATTATCTCAGTGAGGATCTAAACCTTTATGTGTCTTTGAATGAAATGCAGCCGCAGACATTTCGAGAAGACATAGTAGAAGAAAGATTTGAAGCTGTTGTTGTAAGCAGGGGTTCTGAAGCAGACAAAAAAGACAAAAAGATGCAAGATCAATGCAAACCTACCTTGGAAATTAAAAAACCTGTTAGAAAGAAATTAAAAGATAAATTAAATCTAAAGGTTGAAGAAACCCAAGGAAAGGATAAGTCTTTAGGGCTAAACAAATTCAGTTCAGAGGAATCTTTAGATGAAGAGCAACTATTATCTACTGCAGAGCTTGTGAAAGATACTGCTGTGTCTCCAGTTATAGAAGAAACCCCTATTGGGTCAATTAAAGATAAAGTGAAAGCTCTTCAGAAGCGAGTAGAAGATGAACAGAAAGGACGTTCAAAGTTGCCAGTTCGACTCCAAGGAAAAGAGGGATCCGAGAAGCCTGTTACAAAGCCATCGCAAACTAAAAAGATTATTTGTAAAACAAAACCTCCAGGTTCTCTCTCTTCCACAAAGACTTCAGCTTCTCCATCAGCCACAAAGATTCCACCTTCTCCAAAGACTTCTGCTGCTTCTTCCTCTTCTTCTAAACTGTCATCTCCTTCTACTAAGAAGCCAGCTGTTTCTCCTACCACAAAAAAGCCAGCTCTTTCTCCCACATCAAGGAAGCCACCAGTTTCTCCCACAGTTAAAAAGCCATCAGTTTCTCCCACAGCTAAAAAGCCTCCTATTTCTCCTACATGTAAGAAGTCTTCTGTGTCACCATCTCCCAAAACAGAAAGAATTGAAGAGACTATGTCTGTTCGTGAACTAATGAAAGCTTTCCAGTCAGGTCAAGACCCATCAAAGCATAAAGCTGGACTTTTTGAGCATAAGTCTATAAAGCAGAAACAACAGGATTCAGACAAAGTGACAACTAAAAAAGGAGCTACTCAAGCAGAAAGTGAAAAGAAGCTAACGTCAACCTCTAGAGACACACATCAAAAAGACAGTCCTAAAAGCAAAAAGAACCAGGAACCTCAGACAGAGGTAGGTTTGCAATCTAAAAAAATCACACAGAGTATACCTCGTATAACCTTGAAGAAAGATTTAATCACAAAATCACAGAGTGACAGCAAAAAAGAACCTCCTGTCATTGTTGAAGAAAAATCCAAAGATGTAGCCCTGATATTTGATGACCAAGGGGATACTGAGCTTCAGATTAGTCCGGACAGAAAGACATCAACTGATTTTTCTGATGTCATAAAAGAAGAGCTGGAAGACAATGATAAATACCAACAGTTGCGGCATATTTCAATTACAGAGGAAGGTGAGCTTCACTTAGATCAAGTTCTAACCAGTCCATTCAATATTACATTTCCATCAGAATATATGAAAGATGGGTATTTGCCCACACTCTCCTTGCAAAGTGGTGCTTTGGATGGCAGCTCAGAAAGTCTTAAACATGAAGGCATAGCAGATTCTCCAATTGGTAGCCTGCTTGATGGAACTCCCCAGAACAGTTCTGAGGAAAGTTATAAGCATGAGGGCTTGGCAGAAACTCCAGAAACAAGCCCCGAAAGCCTTTCATCAAAGAAAACAGAAGCTGCTGACCAGATGGAAGAAACTATATTAGCCAGTGCAGTGCAGAGGACATCAGAAACACATTCACCAAGGGGGCTTTCTCCAACAGAAAAGGAAATTACTGTTTGTGACAAAGACCTAAAAGATATGACAGAAACCACAGAATCCCATACCCATCATATGTCAGAAGAACATTCCAAAGGCCTAGATTTTAGTTCAACTCTGATTGATAAAGATGCTCTCCATGATAAGTCATCAGTGCTGCCAGATCAAAGACATTTTACTAAATTAGATGAACAAAATGATTCTTTTATTGAAAAAGATGAGGATACATCCTTTGAGCCATATACCATTAGCAGAGGACTAGAGCTTTCATTTCCTAGCCATGAGGGAGAAGGTCTTAGTCCTGCTGCAGATGAATCCATAGCTATAAGTCATAAAGATTCATTGGAAGCAAGCCCAGTGTTGGAAGATAATTCTTCACGTAAAACACCTGATTCACTTGAGCCTAGTCCAACCAAAGAATCTCCCTGTCGTGATTCTCTGGAAAGTAGTCCTGTAGAACAGAAATCAAAACCTGGTTTCCTTCCAGGTCCTGGTCCAATTCAGGCTACCCCTGCTAAAGCTGAAAACTTCCCAGAACTAGCCCCTGTACGGTCTAGACTCTTACGTGATCCTGATGGAAGCGCCGAAGATGACAGTTTAGAACAAACATCTCTTTTGGAGAGCTCAGGAAAAAGTCCTCTTTCACCTGAGACTCCTAGCTCTGAAGAAATTAGTTATGAAATCACACCCAAAATAGCTGAATCACAGATTCTTGCAAATATACCCAAGTCTGCAGTAATTCCTGAGGTTAATGAAGAGCCAGAAGATGATTCAGAAGATGAACCAAAGAAAAGATTCACTCCAGAAGAGGAGATGTTTAAAATGGTGGCCAAAATTAAGATGTTTGATGAGCTGGAACAGGAAGCAAAACAGAAGAGGGATTATAGAAAGGATTTCAAACAAGATGATATTATTTCAGTTTCTGATTTGGAAGATGCTTCTGAAACTAAAAGGTTATCTTCAACAACTCTAGAAGATAATACTTTATCTACAGTAGTGACTTCTGGAGTTGTATCTAGAAAGAGCTCTTCGTCCTCAGAAAGTGAGCCAGAATTAACAAAGCTGAAAAAAGAAGCTGATTCTGGGCTGTTAATGGAACCTACAATGAGACTGCAACCTTCTTCATCTCATCTTTCCATCATGGATTCCAGTTCCAGTCCTGAAGAGACAGGATTTCAGCCTATTGAGTCTAAGCAGCAAGCATTTAGTACTGAGGAGGATAATACAGAATCTGATAAACCAACTGAGGAAACCAAAATGTCGTGTGATACTTCACTTGCTTCTGATGCCAGCATCATAGCACAGGCTAGCGAATCAAAGTGTTATAATACAGATGAGAGTGACACAGTTAGCCCTAATGGCCCTATGATGCCACCTGAGGAATCTTTCTACCATTCTGCTGATGATGATGCTCAAAAAATAATTGAGTTATATGAAACTTCAGTGGCATCATACCAGCAGGATGATTCTTTAAAAGATAATGTAGTATCTGAAGGGGTGCTACCAAATGACTTAATTACTATGGGAGGAACTTCAGAGGGCTCCTGTATACCTGGGACTTCTCATTGCTGTGTTTCACAAAATAATGTATTGGCTACTAATGTTTCGCCTGACCACTCTCCTTTGGCTGGAACAGATCACAGGTTAGAGATGACAGACAGGGCTTTTTCTAGCATAGAGCATGCCATAAAATACTCACCTCCAACAACCCCAAAAAGTATGTATGAAAGTGATATAGAAGAATTTGGCAAAAGTAGTGCTTTGCCTATAACAAGCCCTTATGAAAATGTCCCTTCACAACATTTTTTTACTAATGATGAAATTAGTCCAGAAATTGATTTAAAAACAAGAATAGATCAGTCACCTGAGGAAGATTATTCTGATAAAGAAAAAAATAAAATGGCTGAAGATACAAGAATGAATTCTCTTTATAGAACACTATCAGAAGGTTCTGAAGTTCAGGTCCCAGAAAGTGTCTGTATGGAGATAGCATCCAAGGAAATGGACAGTTTTCAGAAAAGATCAGCTTCGGAATCTTCAGCATCAGCCTCTACATCACTAGATGAAACTGCTCTACAAGGTATCAGGGATGAAGCTGAAAAAATAATTAGCCAAGTAATTATAACTAGGACAGATGTGGATTCTGACAAGTGGAGTCAAATTCGTGAAGATGATGATGCTTTTGAGGCTAGGGTGAAGGAGGAAGAACAAAAAATATTTGGCTTAATGGTAGACAGGAGATCACAAGGCACCACACCTGATACAACACCAGCCAGAACACCTACTGAAGATGGGACTCCTTCCAGTGAACCAAATCCCTTTCTTTTCCAGGAAGGAAAATTATTTGAAATGACAAGGAGTGGTGCCATTGATATGACTAAAAGGAATTATTCTGATGAAAGCTTAGACTTTTTCCAGATGGGAGAGACATCTCAGGAAGAAGTGTCATTATCTGAAGAAATGAGAGAAGCCGAAGGCCTAGAATGCTTCCCTGAAGAACAATCTTTGATTTCCACTGCATCTTCAGAATTTAATAAAACAGAAACAGCTATGAAAAGTTCCCTTATATCTGTATCAGGGGATGAGGCCACTGCTTTATATAGTACAAAAGAAGATGTTAAATCTAGAATTCCTATTAAAATGGGTATTTCAGCCTCTTCAAAATCATCAGAGAAAGAAACAACAGCTTCTGATCATGACCTCCCCTCTAGTGATACATTTGATAGCTCCCAGATGCCTTATCCTAGCTCTCCTGAGCAGACAGTGATTGATGTACACTTAAATTTTTCCACAATCACTAGGTCTGTTTGTGTTGAAAAAGAAGATGATTCCCCAGATTCCTCCCCAGAGGAGCAGAAATCTGTGATTGAAATCCCTACAGCTGCCATGGAGACTGTGCCTTCTATTGAAAGCAAATCCAAAATCCCCATTAGGACTACTCCAGCTACATTTCCATCATCAGATAAGTCAGAAGCTGAGAGCCTTCCTTCAGTTGACTTCACAGACAACCTGGAAGAACCACAGGATGATGCTTCCAAACCAAAATCTAAAATTCCAATTAAGGCAATTTTTCAAAGAGGTGAGCAAGAATCATCAGAGACAGAAACACTTGCCTGGCAGTCAGAATCATCTACAGTTCCTGATGTAACCTGCAAAGTACCTATGAAACAAGACATTAGGAGCAAATCTGAATCTGATGCCAGTGCCTCCATAGACTCAAAAGCTAAGCTTTCGGTCAAAGCTAGAAGTTACACTGAGGCAGAAGCAGAGACCAGAGACAGGGTGGGTGAGATGAAGCTTGAACTAGAATCAGATGAGTTGATGACTGCCCGACCAAAGATATGTTCTTCACGATTACCTGTTAAGAGCAGAAGTGCCTCAGCTTCCCGAAATGCTGTTAGTCCCTCAAAAGAAAGTAAGGAACATTTTTTTGACCTTTACAAAAACTCTATAGAATTCTTTGAGGAGATTAGCGATGAAGCTTCCAAGTTAGTCGATAGACTTACACAATCAGAGAGAGAACAAGAATTAGTTTCAGATGATGAAAGTAGTAGTGCCCTAGAAGTTTCAGTTATTGAAAATGTGCCATCCATTGAAACCCAGCAGTCACTTGCCGAGGACATCTTTGACACCAGGCCCATTTGGGATGAGTCTATTGAGACTCTGATTGAACGTATTCCTGATGAAAATGTCCCTGATCATGTTGAAGGTATTTGCCAGCCACCGGGTTCCCTTTGCTACGCATGTCATAAATCACAAGGTTTTGCTTGTTGTTTCTTCTCTTATACTTCTTGCCCTGCCTTTGGTGTATGGTTTGTGTGTTGTTTTTAAAAGTTTCCTATATTTATTAATGTGCTTTGTGTGAGCTCCATTTGTTTTGTGTTTTTATGTATTTTACTGTCTCTGAAACAATCTCAAGATTGCACAATGCAAATGTTCATGGAAAGCATAAATATAACAAAATAAGCTTTCTTGTGTGAAAAACACACACTTGTCTAATGTTGTTTTAACACTAATAAACTTATAACATTATCTCACTTGTAGTACAGCTGACCAATGCAAGTTTTAGTTTTTGATTTTTCATCACTCTGCTTGAATCTTTTTAATGAAATATTTTTGACACAGAAAAAGACAGGTAAGATTACTATAATTCTGGATATGTAGATCCATTTATCAAAGTTATCAGAATCTAGAAACATATCAAACTTTGCTTCCATAATTAACTGAAGGCTATTTTCAAATACTGAATATATGGATTCAGTCCTCTAAAATTTAGAGAGGAACGTTCATGTATATTTTTTTCTTAAGAATCCATTCCTACAGTAGTACTGTAGAGTACTAAGGAAAAATGGTAGTGGGATTCTGAATATATTTCCTAATAGATTTTTTGAAGATCTAAAATGTATCTATGGGAAAACAAAAACTCAAACTCTGCTGATATTGCCTTGGCTTTTGGATACATCTATTTTTCCTGCTGCTTTTATGCATATTTTCTCCAAACAAGTTTGTGCTTGCTTTTCCATGCCTACTTTTGTGAAGAAGCAAAAAAATTGAGGGGAAAAAAGATGAAATGTTGAAATAAATATATGATTTAATATATCATCCTGACATAATAATTCATAATTGGTTTTAACTGTTTGCAGTTATGTGGCTTAAAATGTAGTTCAGTGTTTGAGAAGAAGACACAGAGCCTGATTCTAGAGACCACAAATATGCATTTAATTTGTTAATGACCAAAGTAGCATGGAAAAATTAAATCTCTGTCCCAGCAAAATATTTAATGTCCCTTTGTTTTTTTTTTGTTTTTTTTTGTTTAAAATAGATGGGAACTTACATAAATTAGGACAGTGTTTCCAATAACATATTAATGCATATCTTTGAAAGAAATTCTTAATGAATGCTGAAGAATAGAATATTTTAAATCTAGTCATATATTGAAGCTTTTAATTAATTTAAAACAGCCACTGTTCTAAAAACACTGGCCTATTTTATGGAGACTCCTTTTATTTTTAAAAAATATTTTCCTACAAATAAACAGCTGTCCTATTAATCTTATTTTAGAACCACAAGATGATCAGGAAAGAATAGAAGAAAGACTAGCACATATTGCTGATCATCTTGGATTCAGCTGGACAGGTAAAGTATAATCTAGGAGAGATCACAGTTGTTAATTTGTGTTCTTGCCAGAAACAAGTTTTCACATGTTTGCTTATTCCATACCACCCGGTACTTTCTACTTTTTTTGAGTACAACTTCCAGAATCATTGAACATGCTGACTGAACAGTTATAATTCAAGAAGGCTAATAGCAATCTAGTCCCTCCCTTGATTTTAACTCGTCTCTTCAGTAAAATGTGCTGAAGATTTAATGCTATTAGCATGGTGCAGATTTAATTGGTATATCTACTTATGCTTTCTCGCTATATAAATATGATATGCATACATGGTTATAAGACTGGGTTCTAAAATAAATATGTACTAAAATAAATATGCACTGTTATTATTACTACCAATCTTTGCTGACTCACAGTGGTTCACAAAATGCCAAAATACTATAAAATGCCCATAGTAAATTAAAAATCACCATGTGTTCATTTAAAAACACCTGAGAACATCAGTTAGTATTTTTAAATAAATAAATGAAAATCTAAATAACAAAATGTATCATTTCCTAACAACTTTCTGGAAAAGCTTAATATTTAGTAATTCCCCAAAAGCCATTGCCAAGATCAGGCTAACAGGTCCCTCATCATCCTTGTGTGAGGAATGTGGATAGTTTTAAAAATTTGATAAACAAACAAAAAAATGAGGGAAAAATAGCATTTTCTGATTTCTCACACAAACACCACTTCACAAAATTGGGCTACCGTAATGCAGTGCAAAATTGGGCTACTGTAATTCAGCATAAATATAATCTATATTTTTATTGTTAGAATAAAATGAAAAGGCACAGAGAAGATAACAATTCTAATAACAAATCTTTCTTCTTGAGATGTACTAAATGTGAATGATCTGTTTTGCTGATAGAAGACCAGATGATCTATATACTTAAGGAGTAATGCAGATGCATTATTGTTGCTTTGAATTAATGTTAATAGAAACTGGGTTGTATTTTTAAAAATTACTCAAATGAAGTTTGAACACATGTGTAAGTTTTCCATAAAAACAATAGAATACTAGTCCCATAAGAAAGCAGAATTCATAAAAGTCCAAGAATAAGAGATAGCAACTTTTTTACAACTTTGTACTCTATTGTTTTTATCATTTTTACAGGGAGCATGGAGATAATGCAGTGATATTCCCAGAAGAAAATTGTTGTGCAATTTATCTAGATTTAAAATGCTGAAGATATTTTAAAAATACATTAAAAGTAGATGCGTTAAACTTATTGAAGTCTCAATGCACCTCTTGAATTTCACACCCATATAATTAGCAATTTGCTCACAAAATTTGATGACTGTAGAATGGGAGCCCAGGAGAATGAAAAAGAGGGGTGGAAAGAGTGTGCCTCCTGATCCTGGCGCTGAGAATTCTTCAATTAAATAAACATTATGGTAATAGCAAATGCAGTGTAGTGATTATAACTGACTGCAACTGTAAAAGTTATAGTTCAAGTATAATCTTAACAATGTTCCATATGTATGTACAGTAAAGAAAAATATTGTCTACAATTTTGACAGAGCTGTTAAATATTATCAGAACTACCTGTGTACCTGAATATATAATCTATATACCATGTTTCCCTGAAAATAAGACCGGGTCTTATTATTATTTTGCCTCCAAAAGAGGCACCAGGTCTTATTTTCAGGGGATATCTTACTCATCCCCAGCACCAACAGCCCCGCCTAGCCGGTCCACTTCTTTTGGGGGCGAAGGAGCAGCTTCATTCTGCACTGCATTCTGGTCTGCATTTTGCAGTCAGGCTTTTCTGGAAGGCCTATGCAGCCACATACCGAGCTATGGATTCAATCCGTAGCTTGGTCTTCGGCTGCAAAGGTCTTGCAGAACTGACCTATGGATTGAATCCATAGTTCGGTTCTTGGCTGCACAGGCCTTCCAGAAAGGCCTGTGACTATAAAATGCAGGCCTGGCTGCAGAAGCCACTGCAGAAAAAGTGAGCTGGCGAGGAGAAGCCTGGCTGCAAGGTAAGTGGGTGCGGGACGCATGGGGCAGATCCACATGCCTACCCCCGCTGTAGCTTGATTTTTAAGCGTGTGCCTCACCCCAAAACTAGGGCTTATTTTTGGGGTGGGGCTTATATTAGGCTCACCCCCCAAAATCAAGCTAGGGTTTATTTTCAGGGGAACACGGTATATTAGGGTTTATTCTAAGGTAAATATAGAATTATAATCTAATAGTAACAATAAGTGATATTTATAAAGAATTGCAACTGGTCAAAATTATTTGAATACTTTGTGCTTACAGAGCTAGCAAGAGAACTGGATTTCACTGAAGAACAAATTCATCAAATTCGAATTGAGAATCCTAATTCCCTTCAGGATCAGAGTCATGCATTACTGAAATATTGGCTGGAAAGAGATGAAAAACATGCCACTGGTATATTTGTTTTAGCAGTTACCATCCCTCACACCTTTTCCTTTCTGACAGCCAAGTGCAATGTACATAAGAGAATGCAAGTGTCATACAAAACCAAAACAATATAAAGATCTTACATACATATAAGGACACCTATACTATATATGGACTTCTATAGATGATAATTCTCTGTGATCTAATCTCCTGTCTGTAAACGTAGCTACACAGTTGAGACCAGTCTACAGCACTGATGAAAAGGACTTCTAATGTTTCTTTTTTCTATGTCTTCAATGATATAGAACTGTTTATATCCCAATGATATATACATGCTCATGTTCTGTTTATATGCTTTTCTTGGAGGACATGTAATAACTTGAAGGTAGTATGGTTTTAAACTAAACAATGATTCAAATAGAGAAGAGTAAATTTACTTTCCTGTGCAATTGTCACTTTCAGAGCAACTGTATCTGCATAATTTCCAGGTAAATCCTGTGTATTCTCCAGGACATCCTGTATTTGTACATACTCAAAAGAATGAGACAACTCTATGAATAGACATGTCTTTCCTTGCTAATATGGTTGCCAAACATTAATAGCACTCCTCCAGTATTTTTTTCTCAGAGGTAGATAATATATAGAGGATAGAACTCTTTCATAAAATTATCCATCTTCTTCCTTTTTAATTTATAATGTATTTAGCTAATTTATATACTGTAGCTACCCATCTCACATTCGTGATGCAGGGCAGCTTATAAATAAAACATAAACAGTACTAGTACTGTTATTAGCTATTTTACCCCAAGAAATAATTTCATTTAAGCAACCAAGATAATTACTATCTTTCTGTTATTATGTTCAAGTAATCTACATTTAGTGCCCACAATTGGGGGTGGCAATTCTATCATTAACTGAAGAGGTTGCTAAGTGAAATTGTGACTATGCTTATGATGTCACTTCAGTTTTCCTTTACAGATCTGAAAAGATTGTAAACATTTTTTATCACCATCATAACTGCTAAACAAGGCAGTCACTAAGCAAGGGCTACCTGTATTGCTATAGACTGCTAGTTAAGTACTTACTATTGGAATGAAGAGATATCCCACTAATAGTGCAACTTTGGGGCTGCTTTTCACAGAACTGTAGATAACTTGTACAAAGCTACCACATGGTCACCCTTTTCATATATCTGAATAGTGGGCAATTGTTACTTGGAAGATTGTTTTTAAAGCTATTTCAGGAGGCAATTCATATCCCTCCCCAGGAATATAATCAATCATATATAAGTGTGAGTATCAGGACAACTAGAGAGATCAAAAAGAAAGAAAAATAAATAACCACTGTTTTTCAAGTGATTAGAGACACAGTCTTACACTCTACCCTCCTATTGGTTGACTTCACAGCAGTTATCCCAAAACTGAGTAGATGACATTCTTCATATGTACAGATTGTTAAAAATAAATGCTGTCTCTTCCATAACACAGATTCAGGTCTCACAGAGTGTCTTAAAAAAATTAATCGAATGGATATTGTTCATCTAATGGAAAGTAGCATGGAAATGTCCCGAGATCATGGCCACACCTATGCAGAAATTGAACAGACAATGGTACTGGATCACAGTGAAGGTGAGAATATGCTTACACAGGCATGGTTACTATTAAATAACTGATGGTTATAAAATAATACCCATCAGCTATCACTGAGATAACTACCAGTGATTCTATACTATAGAGTGCATTCCTATCAGTTCATATAGTAATAAATATAGTGCTTTCCAACACTGTAGTAGTGATAATCAGAAGTGAGTCATCCTATATTATATCACTGAATATAGAGAGATCAATAGTAGATTATCTTCAATATCTTCAAAAGAATCCAGTTTAGCAGAGAAGAAGACAAAAACAACTCACTATCCTTCCTGGACACTCTGATCACCAGAAACCATAATGGCAAACTAGAAACACAAGTGTACTGAAAAACCCCATACCCATATGTGCTCCACTACCAAAGCAATATAATCCAACCTCCCACAAGAGAAGCTGAGTAAGAACTTTATTTAGACAAGGACAAACTCATTGCAGCAATCTGAACAGCAGAAAAAGGAAATAAAGCCATCTATACAATGTCTTCTAATAAAATGAGTATCCATTCAACTTTAAGAAAAAGTGTCTGACCATTCAAACCAATATAGCACAAACAATACAAGTTGTAAAAAGCATAACAGTGCCATACATCAAGAACATCTCAGAAACCATTAACAGACTACTAAAACCATATGAAATCAGTGTAGGACACAAGCCAACTAAAGCCTTCCAAAACATCCTAAGTAAACCAAAAACCCATATCCCCAAGATGAAAAAATAGGAGTCATCTACAACAGGTCCCCAACCTATGGGCCACAGCCCACTACTGGACTGTGCCCCATTGGCCACCAGGCCATGTGAGTGGTGGCTGATGTGTGCATGTGCACACAGCCCCTCTCACACGAGCGTCGCCATGAGTGTTGCAGGCGTTTGCAGCCCCACTCATGCGAGTGCTTACGGCCCCACTCATGCGAGCAATGGGTGTTCATGCATGCACACATGTGCATGTATGCATTCACTCCCCCACAAAACCATCCCTTCTTTCTCCCTTCTCATGCTTCGGGCCACCAATCCCGAAAGGTTGGGGAACTCTGATCTACAACATATAGTGTAATGACTATAACAGCCACTAGATAGCACAAACAGGAAGAAGACTGCCAGAACGCATCCATGAATACCAACTAGCAGTTAGAAGACATGATTAAAAACTCTTTAATTTTACAACATATGTACAAACTTAATTATAGTTTCAGTTGGGAAACTCTGACCATCCTAGACCTTAGACCAAACGAAGTCCAAAAACACTAGGGAATTTCTAAAAGCCTGGCATTCTGAAAAATTAGCCATCAATAGCCTTATAGATGGAAACAATGTCTACATATTTGTGAAAGAGACAATAAACAAGCTAAAAAGGGAACAAAAAGACCAAAACACTCTCCCACACCAGCAATCAGCACCCAGATGAGCACAGATTAACTCCCAAGGTTAACATCAGCCCAACAGTCAAGAAGTAAACAATATCCCAGTCAAGCAACTTTCAAACAAGCTAACAATAAACAACCCAGCCAAAGAACTCCAAGACCACTCCCACCAACAGTGACAGGGCAAGCCACTAGAATATAAATTGAGAGCAAACCCCACTCTTTACTAGTACTGATGGTGTTACTTAGTTTGCGTAATGAAACATCTGAAAGAAATCAAGCTTAGCACTAAGGACCCCTCACTCCAATCTTAAACTACAAATATCTTCCTTTATTGAAAGTTTGACTATATGGAGTTTTCTAGATAGGTTTCGTAGAAATCACAAATAAGTTCTTATATTTAAACACATGGCATGGTTATTTATGTTAAATATAACAAACTTTTAATTTATATTTTGAAACTGCTTAGTTGCTTGTTATATGGTCTTTTAGCATGAAACCTTTGCTGCAGATCACATCACTACAAATCTGCATCTAGATAGCAGCTACTTCATTTATAAAGATTAAATTATTGTTGTTTTACTTTGCCTTCAGGATTCTCTGCACTTCATGAAGATCTATGCAGCACAAAAGATAAAAAAGAAGAATATTCCTTTTCTAAAGACAGTGAGCCATCAGATCATCCCCCCCTTGTTTCAGAAGAAGACCTTTCTCTCAGTTGTTCACTCTTGCATGAAGGCACATCTAAGGCTGAGGCAGAAGTATCTATGGTAGAACTACTGCACCAAATACAGAAAGATCATGTGAAAGCTGAATTCTCAGGGAAGCCTCATGAACTGACAGAAGATTTACCTACTACACAGGAATATGTGTAAGAATTCTACAGTAGGGTGACATATATAGCAACAGGGAATATTTATTGCGTAGAAATCATGTTTCATAAGCAAGGAACAAATACAAATTTTGCAAGACTAGAAATTCTTCAATTTTGTCAAGAAAAAAATCAATGAACTAAATTTCTAAAATTTTACGGTAAAGCAAATATATGACCAACATATCATTTTAAAATATTCTTGGACTTATTAATTTAAATAAAAATAAATCATTGAATTATCTACAATAAGATTTCATTATTGTTTCTATAGATTTGTCATGCTTCTGAGCATGTTTTTAGTATGGCAAAATATTGACTCGGTTAGAGAATGGTTTGGTTTGGTTTTTTAATGAAGCTCAGCTTATGGTAAGATCAGCCAAGGTTCTCTAGATACTGAATTACTGGGTGAAATTTTCATTGAGGAACAGACATTACTTCCATGAGAGGAATGTCAATCAGTAAGAGGCCAAAGATTTCCAAAGTGGGTAATCCTTGAGCTTACCTATCCCTATTTCTGGAAATAAACTGGTTCTCAACCTTTTCTTCACACAGACCCCCTTTAAATACCTTTTGTGGCCACAGACCTCCAAGACTTAACTCAAGATTTAAATCATAATATTTCTTCAAGCCTTCATGGACACCTTGTGATGAAGTCCCCCCCCCCAGGTTCCACGGACTACAGGTTGAGGACCACTGAGTTAGAATAAGAGCACTTATGTAATATTAGTCTGAATTAAATAATCACAAAGAGACAATTATTATGACACACATGACAAACTGGAAAGAAAACCATTAATTCTATTCCATTCTTTCTGCTGTTATCCTGTGGTGACAATAAAATAAACTGAATGGAGGCAGTGAAATTGCTGGCAAGAATTCAGGAAGGCCAAATATTTTTTTTTAAAGAGGGAGGAAATTGAGGGACTCTTTTCTATCAGAAAGTCCCACCATTTGTAATCAAAATAAATCATAAGGGAGTACTGGAAAGCTAAACTGGTTTAGTTTAACACAACTGTCTATACAAAATATTTTTAGATGCCATTTTCTTGTCTGATGATTCCCAGTTTACTTAAAAATAAGTTCTAATATATACTGCTCAAAAAAACAAAGGGAACACAAACGTATAGGATCCTATACGTTTGTTTTCCCTTTATTTTTGTGAGCAGTATATTTCCAAAGAAATAGAACTTGTACAATTTTAGATTTGTAATCATGACAATCAGTATTGAATTCTCTTTTGTATTCTCACTCAACTGTATCCTGATTTATTCATTTCAGAATGTTACTTGCCACTTTTCAAAACCAAGCCAAGTGGCTTTATAATAAATCTTATTCCTCAGAGACAGGCTAGAAGAACTAATCATCTGTTTCCTCCAATCTTTATTAACAGTATCACAACTTCTGGAGCAGATTTGACACAAGTGCCCCAAAGTGTGAAAACAGCCAGCATTGCCAGTGACAAGTCTGGGGATTCCACCACAGGATGTGAAGACCTTGAAAGGCCACCATTTCATACTTCAGCATCTAGTGATCAAACTGATTCCCCCATTGTGGAAGAACCTGAAGACCATCACTTTCAGCAAGAAGATACACATCCAAGGAAAAACAGCCTGGTAATTGTTGAAACCATTGATGAACAGCCTGAAGAATTAGAAAGACATGAAGAAGAATTGTTAGAAAAAGTAAGTTGTAACACTAATATGATTCGTGAAGTAGTGCCCTTTGAAGAATTTGTGAAGAAGAAAATCTTTAATATAATCTTATTTAATACCTGGAACAATACACACAGATAATAAGAAACAGATGTTCAGACACTGTAGATTAAAAGACAGTTCTTGGAAAAGAAAATTGAAAGACAAATGCACTGAAAAATGTGTAAAGCAGTAACACAGAACTGAAGAGAAGGAATTATAACTAAAAATATGCTGTCAGCTGAATAAGAACAGAATACGCCTGAGCTGAAAAATATGAAATGAATGTAAGAAGAATTCTTTGAAAGAAAAAAGTTAGCAAGGTTAAGATATAATATTTTTGTACTATATGGAAAGAAAAAAGGCAAGAAATATTTTGAAAGTTTTTCCAAATGTGCACATTTGCAGCAAAATAAGAATTCATTGAAATTGCACACTTTTCATGCTTTAATTCCTACAAAGAATATGTTAGGAATTAGATTGTGAATGAAAATGCAGTTTTGTCCCATGACAATTGGGAATTGTCAAAACCTTTCATTAAAAAAAAATCAGTTAAATTAGAAAATAATAGAGCTGCACACTTTTTTCCAAAAAAGTGTTTGGGAACATTTAGGAGCATGCATGGAATAGCTTCTTTAAATGGAAAAGCAGCTTTATCCAGGTTTGTATGGATGCTTCAGAAGTTATCCTTGACCATGCACAACAATTTCACTCACTGGAAAACAATGAAATGAAGAGGCACAAATACACGTAGTAATTGACTTACAACAGTTTGTTTAGTGACTCTTCGAAGTTACAGCGGCACTGAAAAAAGTAACTTATCACTGTTTTTCACACTTATGGCCGTTGCAGCCTTCCCATGGTGATGTGATCAAAATTCAGCTGCTTGGCAACTGGCTCACATTTAAGACAGTTGCAATGTCCCTCGGTCATCTGATCACCTTTTGCATCCTTCTGACAAGCGAAGTCAGTGGGGAAGCAAGATTCACTTAACAACTAACTTAACAACTGCAGTGATTTCATTTAACAACTGTGGCAAGAAAGGTCATAAAATGGGGGCAAAACACTTAACAAATGTCTTCCTTAGCAACAGAAATTTTGGGGTCAATTGTTGTAAGCTGAGCATTACCTGTACATGGATACACCCATGAACACCTTTTGATGCTGCCACCCAAGTCTGGAAAAAAATGGCTTCTTTAACTGTATAAAAAGAGGTATTTCACCAAACCACTTCTTTCAAGGATTTTGTTCATCTGTAGAAAATAATTCATTTTTTTCCCTTCAAAAACTCAGTTATGATGTTTGGATTAACCAATATAGCAGTAACCTAAATGCATTCCACCTATAGTCTTTCACAGTTACCTGGCACTTTGAAAGTTGCTCCCATGGCAACTTAGTCATCATTATGAGTGTTTAAGAAACCTGTCCCAAGTCCCATTGCAGAAGAATCATAACAGTAAATATGTAGTGAGCAAATTTTATTTCCAGGATCTTTACCTGAAGACACTGCTGTTGCAAAGGTGAAAAGGATTTTCAAAAAATATCCCAGAACTATTTAAATTAAAATTAACTGTGTTTTCTAAGTATAAAGGAATTATATATTTTTACTGGCTAAAAAACAGAAGCAAATATAGTAATTATTAATTAACTCAAAATTGCAATATAATCTAGTCTAGTGGTTCTCAACGGGTGGGGGGCTGTGATGTTGTCACAGAGGGTTCCCGAAGGCTTGAAGAAATATCATGATTTAAATCTTGAGTTAAGTCTTGGTGGTCCGTGGCCATGGTCTATGGCCACAAAAGTATTTAAAAGGGGTCCGTGGTGAAGAAAAGGTTGGGAACCACTGATCTAGTTCATAATTAGCAAGTTGTTGGAAACTCTTATCTGTTTAGTCTAATGGGTGTATGGAAGAAAAAGCTGTAACCATATTTGCATTATTCAGTTGATGCACTGCTTTTAGTACATGGTATTAAAAGAAAGTTGAAGGCAGGTTTCCTCAGATTGTAATATCAAATGTTCAAAGAAGATTTCTTACATTCAGCCCAAAAATAGAAAGAAAATAGTATAGCATATTTTGCAGTGTATCTCATTCCAGCAAGCATTTGTATGGTGTTCGTTGTGTTATTAGAAAGGGGCCCAATTATTCATTCATATGTATAGTACCAGTATGATGAGAGCAATACTTCCGTGCTTCCACTAGGAGCTAGCAGAGGAATTAGGTGAGCTGGAGGTCAGCTCAGATGAGGAAGAGATGGTAACTACCAGGGTCGTCCGCCGCCGGGTAATTATTCAGGTACAGGAGTTTGAACTATTGCACGTACCAATGGCAATTATGCCCTGGTTATACCTCTAAAACCCACCCTTTTCCCAAAATCCTGTTCCTGAAACACCCCCTTGGCTGACAATGCACTGATGAATTTGGCATGTTCCTGGGTAATGCATGTCAATTGATTAACATAAACATTTTTTCTAATTTCATTTGGAAGCTAAAGGAATGTAAATCCAAATGGTGGATATTTAATTTGCATTTTGAAAGAGACTATCTCTCTGAGAGGACAGTTTAATTTGCTGCTTCAGCACCACTTACTAGCCAAATTCTTTCTTGTTCCAAGTTTGCATGCTTTTAAAAAGGACTTATTTGCAGAATGTTTAATAGCAGTGGAGCAATTTGCTTCAGTGATCCTTGCTTAATTTATGTTGTTGTTGTTGTTTGAGCCAAACTAACTTCTGTTATGCAGTTTATTTAAAATAGCTAGTTATTTTTTCTGAACTCTGTTCTTTGTTCAATAGGCTGATGATGTGCCTGAAATACCACCGGAAGCTGTAACGGAGGAACAGTATGTGGATGAACATGGCCATATTGTGGTGAAGAAGGTATTCAGCTGATGATTTATTAGAATATAATAACCCATTTCAAGGTTTTTCAGATTAAATTGAGGTGTGTGCCACTCTAGGATACTTTAATACAGGTAGTCCTCAACTTACAACTGTTGGGTGACCTTTTAAAGTTACATCACTGAAAGAAGTGACTTATGACCGTTTATCACACAACCATTGCAGCACCCCTGTGATCACATTATCAAAATTCAAAAGTTTGGCAACTAGCATGTACTTATGGTGGTTGTAGTCTCCTGGGGTCATGTGATTACCTTTTGCAACTTTTTAACAAACAAAACCAATGGGGAAGTCAGTTTCACTTAACAACTGTGTTACTAACTTAACAACTGCAGTGATTCACTTAACATCTGTGGTAAGAAAAGTCGTAAAATGGGGCAAAACTCACTTAACAAATGTCTCACTTAGCAACAGAAATTTTGGGCTCAATTCTGGTTGTTTGTTGAGGACTACCTGTATATGTAACAAGAAATCTCTTGTGGAAAATGAGAATTTAAGCTCTATGCATTTCACACTATTTCACATGGGATAAAGGAAAACACTTTATCCTATATAACTGTTGCACAAAAATAGAAAGTCCTTATTCATTTTAGAAGAGAACTGGAGCAGAATAGTTGAAACTATATTTTGCAAAATTTGTTATGAGGTTTTTTCTTCATTTTGATAAAATAGTTTGTGCATTTTATTTGCAAACTTTTCAGAGTAGGAGCATGTAAAATAAACTGTAATGTATTTAATATATATATCATGTAATGGATATATTAAAATTGCTTTGAAATAGCATTTCGAAGGTCTAACTATTAACTCACGTTACCTGCTAATGAAATAGTAAGTTAAGGCTTACTGGTGTTTGCACCTGAGAGAGAATGCTAGATATTTTAAAGAACAAATATGGCTGCCATGATTTAAAATTCAACTGCATGCTAACATAACTCTTGATGAACATGCCGCCCTGCCAGGTCACTAGGAAAATCATCAGGCGATTCGTTTTACCAGATGGCACAGAAAAAGAAGAAGTGGTGATGCAGGGAGAGCCCCAAGATCCTGTCACAGTGGAAGAGGGAGACAGTTACTCCAAAGTCATAAAGCGGGTGGTGTTGAAGAGTGAAAGTGAACAATCAGAGGTTAGATTATTTTGTTTTCTGCCAAGGTTTATTTGTTGAGAAGTAAATTTTTGAAATTAGCACTAGCATTACCCATTATAAATTACTCTGCTCATTACATCTTGTAAATTTTGTTTCATAAGGTTCAGTTCACATGTCTTGTTTAAACACCCTTGGAAGATCATTTATTCAATTAAGAATTGTAGAGCAATTTTTTAACACATCTAGTAGCCCCCAATTACATCATTTTTCAAGAAATGAATGAATCAGTAACATTATCGCAAAACTTTCCACAGGAAAGTAGCAAAATAATATTTTGGGCATTATCTAATCAGCCAATAACCATGATTATCTCCATAATATTTCATTATTCATGAAATCTCTTTCACAGGTGACCTTTTCTGAGCCAAGTGTATTACCAAGTGCCTCAGAATTCCAGGCTGAACCAGTAGAAGGCCGCAAGGTCAGCAAAGTTATAAAAACTACTTTAGTGCATGGGGAGAGAATGGAAAAACATCATGGAGATTCTAGTTTAGCAGTGAATCTTCCATCAGCCAAAGATGACTTCGAAGAGGTGAGATAATTGTATGGTTTTGGCAACACTGTTAGAACTGCAATAGTACTAAGGGCAGAAACACATATAGAAAAATTAGAAATAGCTAACTGTAGTGAAGCAAATGTGGAATTCTTATTTTTTCAGTATGTTTAGAGAAACTCAATATTTCTCACGAAGAATGATTTTTCATTCTCAAAAACATCTGAGAATATCTAATGGAACTCAGTGAGAGATTACTCTGTGTCTTAATTTTAGGTCTTACACAAAGCTGTAAAAAGGTGCTTTGCTCTGCTTTGATAATGCTTTAAGGAAAGCATTCATTTGAAGCTGCTTTGAAAAGGAGTGCTGCCATCCCACCTCTAGACTATGAAGCAAAACTGTCATATCCTTCACTCACTGTCACTTGGATGGTGTCTTCCAGGATATGCAGCACCTTGAAGGAACTTCTAAATTGAGGTTGCATATATTTTATGCATGCACAGGAGCCTTTTTGCTGCTTCTTGTTAGTTCAATAGTTTACTTCCAGTTTTACATTAAAAGGAAGTGATACAGGAAGAGGCACAGGAATAGGACTATTTTCTATCTAGTGAATCTGCTAGAAAAAGCAATTGAAACAATTAAAAGTGCTTCAGTAAGACAGGCCATGTCACCCCACTCTTGACAAGGTCAACTGGGGTCAATTTGTATAGAGAAATTCATTGTTATACAGTGAATGTAGTTGGAACCTTTCACAATTGCCACATTTTTCCAGACAAAAGGAGAATGAAATTCCCTCAATTTGGAACTAATTGCACAGTAGATCTTGGAAGCTTATCATAGATTAATAAATATGATTTTTTTTCCAGATGCATTTGAGGCAGGATTGTAAAATTCTACTTGATTAAAAATATGACTCAGCATTGGTTGAATAAATAGAATATAGATAATTTCTGTTCAAATGGGAGTGATGTCAGCACATCCTCTTTTTAACTATATTTCCAGTTTGAATAAGAAGCTCCATTTTTAGATTGGATACATTTAAACATAGTATGCAAGACCACAGTGGAAAGCATTATAGTTGAGGACTTTAGGAAAGAAAACTCCAGTATGAATGTACACTTAACAATATAACTCAATTTGCAAGTGGGGTTATTTTATTTATAAATCTAAAGAGCAGGCTACTCAAGATATAAGAAATATGTATGGCTTTCCTATTTGTAATCTATATGTGATTCCAAGGATAATCCTGGATCAAATCACTTTTATTGTGATGAACAATAATGAACAAAATCCCATCTGTTAATAAGACTGGGCCTCTTTCTACTCTCTCTGGGTTCTTTCAAGAAGAAAGGACCTTGTTCTTCACAAGAGGTCATTTGTCTCCGTCAGGAGTTCAGCATAAGAATTCTCAGTAAAAGTAGATTCTATTGTTTTGTCACACATTTCTAAATTCTTAGTGAGTATAGAATTTGCAAATTATGCCATTAATACTTTTTTCTTATATGTTTAACTATTATTTGTCTCATTGGTTGTTCTGATATTTTAGCAGGTTAATATAATTAAGTTGTTATTTGGGTCTTTTATGCTACAGTTATGCTTCCTGTTTTACTTTAGGCCCTGAATTACATAGGTAACAAAGTGAAAATTGAAGTCCCCCCATTAGTAGAGAAAGAGGTCATGAAAGAGGATGGGTCGCTTATTAAAAGGTTTGAGTTGGCATGACATTAGCCTGTGCAATGACCAAAGATTTAACAGACTAACTGTAATAGTACTTGACTAAAATAATGTCAACTTACAGTCTCCGTGTCTTAAGCTTTACTTGGAAACTAACACACTTGGTGGAAGAGGGGAGAATCAATTGATGGAACAAACAGTTATTTGGGAAATAGCTAAATTATAATTCTAAGTTCTAAATGCTAGCATTGTAGAAAAACTTTGCATGACATATTTTAAATATGCCTTGAGGAAATCAGAGTGTCATGAGGACAGGAAAAGATCTGGACAATTAATTAATTGAAATGTTTTGGGTTTAGGTCTATATACCATAAGACCCAGGTTTTAGAGGAGAGGAGCTAAACTAAAGCCCACAGTCAAATGTCCATGTCACTGAAGCTAATTACCTGGGATTAACTATAATTTCATTGCCATTTCTATGCTATATTCATATCCACAACTATGTAGGCAGAATATACCCCATATTGCAATGGTCCCCCAACCTTTTTGGCACCAGGCACCGCATTCATGGAAGATATTTTTTCCATGGATGGGTGTGGGGAGAAGGAGCACGCAACATAGATTCCTAACATGAAGTTTACAGGTTACAGGTTTGTCCCCCTATGAGAATTTAATGCCCGATGGTCTGAGGTAGAGCTGAGGTAGTGATGCTAGCACTAGGGAGTGGCTGCAAATAATTTCATTTTTTGTAACGGAGATCTATCAATCTAAATTTTGTTGAAACAAAATACATTTGCTCTGGCAACATGAAGAGGACTATAATATTTGAAGATGATCTTAATTATCTTTTATGCATGTAATATATACCCGTTTTCTTCAATATTTAAATTCCCTCTTAGATCTTTGAGAACAGTTCAAGTGCTTCAGACACAGACAAATGTACTTCTTTCTACACCAAACTCTTGGATAGGACAATCCTGTTATTATGTTTTATTTGGTTAATTTATGGCTCCTCAGCTCCCAAATGACGCTGGGAGCGTTATATAATTAAACTATTAAAAATTATACGCTATCAATTTTAAAACTCTACCAGAAACAAACACAGTCAAAATGAGGGAAGAAACCTATTATTCTTTCTATTCCTTCCTTGATTGAACTGTTTGTTTACTTTTCTGCCAATATTTTGTAAAGCATGTGAAGCCAGTCCAATAATTGGCAAAATTTCCAGTTTCTCACTGTCACATTCCTTCTCTGATGTCAGAATTATCAAAATCAGTTCTCAAAGAAAAATCTGATGCTGCATTTCCACCTTTGAAGTTAGAACATGTCTATTCTCCCCAAATAAACAATGAGATCATATCCTCCCCATATTTTGTACTAGGCAGATGTGTTGGGATGGGAATACAGCCCAAATTTCTGGGGAAAGATACAGTATTTATTATTATTTCTTTTACTGATTTAGGAAGAAGAGGGCAACAAGATAAGGGTTTTTTGTTGCAGCGTGGCATGCTGTTGATTAGAAATCTAGTGTATTACTTCTAATTTCCTCTTTCTACAAAGGTTGATAAGCTTACACATGTGCGAGTGTCTGTGCATATAATAGCACACACATTTTCTAAGCCATGGACCTTCCCTCTTGTGTGTGGATGGCAGCATTTTAGCAATATAACTAGTAGCATTCATGAGTTGAATATCAGAAATAGAAGGAACAATAAAAAGGTTTTAGTAATTTAATAACAATAGAATGACATTTGGGGGGGGGGTTATGAAATAGTTAAACAGCCTAGTTCATTTGTTTCTTGATGCTTACTATGAATCTGATATCCCTCTCCAAGAACTAAAACATCAGCAGAGGTACCTCCGTCGCCTGGACTGAAGTTTTCAAGGAATATAATTCAAAGGAAAAAGCTGTCCTTTCTACTGAATAAATTATTTCTGTGATGTAATTCTGTATATTCCCATCACTGCAGAAACCTCTTACTTGAAGAGAAGTAGTAGTAAAAATATGTACACAATAGAGCTTATGTTCCTTCATTTGTCTCATTGTATAATACCGAATGACAAGTTTATTTATTTATTGACTTGTATTCCATCAATGAGATTCGTTAAAGTATGGGAGGAATGATAAAAACCAGCAGGTTTGTAGTGAGGGATATGGTTCTCCTGTCATTTATCTTGTTAATGATTCCTTGTTGCAGGACTATCATACAAAGATCAGTGTTACTGGATTAGAACATATGAATGTAGGCACTGATGTTACAAAACAATAATGTCTCTCAAAATTATTTTCCCAGTATCGGGAAGGAAAAGAACTTAAGACATGTTTATAACTGAAAGTTTCTGATAGATAAAATGTTTACATAAAAGTTCAAACCATACTAAAGGACAGCTTAAACAATCCAATTCTAACTCTAAATAGCATTGTGACTATGCATTAACTCAACTTTTGATCTTAGTCAGAAGCAGGCTACAGTCTACACCTACAGTTCCTTTACGCCAGGGGTGTCAAACTCAATTTCATTGAGGGCCGCATCAGCATTGTGGTTGCCCTCGGGGGGCCGGGTGGTTGCGGCTGGGGTAGGTGCAGCCTACTGAGTGGGCATGGCTGGGGTGGCCGTGGCCTACTGGGTGGACATGGCCAGCTCAATGTCACTAGCAGGCCTGGGCAGGAATGGGCCGGATCTGAGAGTCTCCGACAGAGGGGTGGGTGGGACTGGGGCGAGTGCTGGGGCATGGTCCACTGGAAGAGCCTCATCGTCCCTCTCAGGCCATGCAGGGGGCCCCCTGGACAGTGGCAGAGACTGCCCAGAGCCCTGGGCTGTGGACGTCAAGCGCCCAACCTGGCCATTAAGCTCCCACAGCACCGGGACCCTACAGCCCTGCATAGTCCAGCCACACTTCCCCAAGGGGGCTCCTAGCTGCACTTACCTCCTCGAGGCTGCTGCTGTGCTTGCTCTCCTTGGCCAGGTTGCTCATGGTGGGTGCAGGAGGGCAATGTGCATGGGTCAGAGGGGTCCCCACTCCCTCTCCAGGTGAGGAGAGCTGGCTTTGTAACCAAAGCATCCTCAGCAATAGGATGGGAGAACACCAGGGGATGGTGAAAGCGCAACAGGGCTGCTGGTGGCCAAGTGCTAAGGCAGAACTTCCTCCAGAACCTCCCTCCCTCTCATTCCAATCTCCTTTCTTTGCTTTATTATATATGTATGTTAGAATAATACCTGATTCCATGGAATCAGTATATCATAAAAACATTAAAAACCTGTATGAATTTAATTGCACAGCTTTAAAATATCCTGATGCATGTCAATTAAAAGAGAGAAAGAGAGCTATTCTAAGACTAGCAAAGAAAAAAGTCTAAAAGGATAAAAGTATTGCTTTGTTTATACATTCAAATCTTGTCTTTCCTTCCTTCCTCCCTCCCTCCCCTCCTACCTTGCCTCCCTCCTTTTCATTCCCATCTCCTTCCTTCCCTTTCTTTCTTTCTGTTTCCCTCCCCTCCTTCCTTCCCTCCCTCCCTCCCTCTCTCTGTGCCCAGGAAGGGGAGGGGGAGAGGCTGACAGCGCTTCTCTCAAAGAATAACAGAGTTGGAAGAGACCTTTGAGGTCTTCTGGTCCAACCCCCTGCTCAATGGATATTCCATTCCAGACAATGGAATATCCAATCTCTTCTTAAAAGCCTCCAGTAATGGAGCATCCACAAGTTCTGAAGGCAAGCCTTTTCACTGGTTAGTTGTTTTCACAAGTCCTTAGTTCTAGGCTGATTTTCTTCTTGATTAATTTCCATCTATTATTGCCTCCTGATGCTTTAGAAAATAGGTTGACCCCTTCTTCTCTGTGGCAGCCCTTCAAATATTGGAACATTGCTATCATGTCACCAGCCCTAGTCCTTTTCACTAAACTAGTCATATCCAATTCCCACAAACATTTGTCATATGTTTTAGTCTCCAGCCCCTAATCATCTTTGTTTACCATCCATTTAGACCAGATGGTCCCCCTGGTTTGGTTTATAGAGCAGTGGCCATGAGCAGAGCCTTCTCAGAAACAGCACCCCAATTATAGAACTTTCTCCCAAGGAAAATATGAACAGTGCATCCCTCACCTGTTTAGAGGCAATTCCAAACACACTGTTCAGCCAGGCATATGTTGAACTACACATTTTATGGTCAAACAGCACTAAGTAAATTACTACTAATATTTTTCTTTCTTAAAATACATGCTTTTAATATTGTTTTAAACAGTACTGGTGATGCTTTACAATAGCTATCTTTGAGAGTTTTCTTGTAAACCACCCTGGATTTCTCTGAAACATTTAATTTCGAATTAGACATTGACTTAATAAATTAGGCAGAAGAAACAAATGTTTAAATACATCTAAATCCCACAGACCTACTGCCTCCTAGGCACATGCTGCAGAGAAAATAAGGCATTGCATTTCTAGCCAACATAGCCACAGGATGTTGGGAACTGTGGTGTATGATACCCAAAAGACATTAGTTTGGGTAAGGCTAGATTAAATTATAAAAGAGCAGATGAGGGAAAGTAGAAGCAAGAAACACTTTCCACGTCTCTGACAAAATAATCGGGGGGGGGCAGTTGACTCAGCCTTTTAATTTGAACTCACACCAATTCCTCTTAACTTCCCATTCAATCCAAAGAGTTATACTATCGGCTGGATTTTAGGGAGGGGAGGTAGCAAGAATAGAACATAAAGCCAATTTGCGAGTTTACTCTCTCACCTGCCTACACACCACCTTCCCGACATAGTACATGGCTCCAAGACATATCCCCAGAAATCCTTTGCAGTTAATTCCATATATTTTTTTCGGGCCTCTCACTTTTCTGAGAATCGCAACACGACTAACCCAACCCCCCCAAAGGGCCTCACCTTCCCGTTGGCCTTCTGCAAACTGCCTGACATCTAGTCTTGTCATCTTGCTTCTCTTTGCTGCCAGTGGCCATGGCTTTCCCCCACAGGGGCGGGGAAAGAGAAGCCCTCACAGGCTCCAAGGCCGGGCAGGTAAGCAGGCCATGGAGGCACTGATGGGGGGGCACTGATCTAAACGTCATGTCGGCCATCCAGAATGTGGTCAGTTTTAGATCCGCAGGATCACCCTGGAGGGTTACCGAAAGAAGGGGCCTAGCCCGCTGGCTGCCTGGCCTATGGGATGAAAGGCAGGGAGCTGGGAGCACATGGTGGCACAAGTCAAGCATTGGCCGGCTCTCAATCGCCCTCTCTGCCACATGGTAAGGCCGGAGAGGGGAACGTGACATGCTGGATGCAGAGCCACAGCCTGGAACTGCCGGCAGCCAGCAATGTGTGAGCCTCTGGCGGCTGGAGAAAAAGGGGAAGAAGGAGGAGAAAGCAGGAAGGGTCTCTCTCTCTTTCTCTCTCTCTCTCTCTTTCTCTCTCTGTGTGTGTGTGTGTGAGAGAGAGAGAGAGAGAGAGAGAGATCCTCTTTTTGTAAGTTTGCTTACTCTGTTTGCAACGCTCCCCATTCCCCACACTTTCGCTTCCCTGCTGGCTCAATCTCTTGCTCTTTCGCTCTCACACTCACACACAAAAACTCTCCCTGCTTTCTTCCCCTTCTTGTTCTTTTCCTCCATCTGCACCTGAATGGAGTGGGAGGAGGTTAAAAAAAAGGTAAGTGGGGAGAAAGGGGGAAGCTCCCATTTTTTGTAACACCTCGGGTTCCTCCTCCTCTCCATGGCCTGAGTGAGGAGAGGTGAGACTCTGCAAATTGGGGCAGGTGTGGTGAAGTGTGGCCCGGCAAAGCAGAGCCGGACGAGGAGAGGTCCAGCAAAGCGGGGCATGGCCAGGCGTGACGGAGTGAGGCCGGGAGGGGTAGAGTGGGGTGAGGCAAATGAGCTGCAGCTGCTGCTGTGCACCACCAGCCCCAGAACGCTCACCATTTCCTGTGTGTGCGCTGGGGGGGGTGCCCAGCTGGGTTGGGGTGGGCCAGGGCTGGGACAGTGGTGGCCGGTCCCTTACCATTTCTGGAACAGCCCTGGGGGCCAAATCTGGCCCCTTTGTGGGTCACATCCAGCTCACGTGTTTGACATGTCTGCTTTAGGCAATCATTTCTCCCTGCCTGTGCAAGTTTATGCCACAAGAAATTTCTCAAGAAGTTACAAGCTGCTGACATTTTAACAAATCTACCAGTTTAAATCTGATTGTAAATCTAGGCTTGTATTGTCTAAGTGTAGCATAAGAAATGAAATTACTTTTTTAAAAAAAAAATGTTATTGGTACTTTATATATAAATATTTAGGACCTTTCTTTGCTCTTTAGGTCTGTTCACCTAGAGGAACACAAAATTCATGCTAAAATTTTTAAATGAAAAATAGAACATTTTTTTTAAAAAATCCTACAACTTCACTCATTGCCCCTTTGACTTTTTATAGGACAACAATGAGTAAAGCTAGTACACAGAAGAGGACTGTGGTTAAGGATCAGTATGGAAACCGGATTCATGTGGAGCTGCTAGAGGACACACCAGAAGCGTTACCCCAGGATGACCTTCAGCATGACCTTCAGCAATTATTAAGGCATTTCTGCAAAGATGAGCAGAAGAAAGAGGCCAAATGAGATGCTGCTAAATCTCACCCATAGACCACCACGCATATCCATTAACTGTCCAGCTTTATCCAACTTTCTTTTATCATAGGTATTATTATTTAACATAATCATCAGGGAACACTGCTGTTTCTACTTTGAGCATATAGGGCAGGTTTTCCATTTCATTTTCTTTGTTTCTAAATATCTGTAAACTAATTTGTGACCAAAGATCACATCCTTCATTCTGGATGGTTTTATCTACTAAGTCATAGACTTTGTGCTTTCCTGATTGTCTGTCAACCTTGGCATTTTTATTGTTCTTTGTTTTTGCATCAGATCCATAGACACATAAGTTTCTTCCACAGGCCTCTTGAAATGACAGTGTACATGTGTGTTTTTTTAAGATTATTAACTTTAAACTGTAAATAAAGAAAATATGTGGATTCACAAGACGGAAAGAAAGAAGCACTGCCTATTGCAAATACTTTTAGCATCAGGACTATAAGGTTCGTTGAAGAATAATTCATGTAATATTGCTAACATAATGCATTACAGCTAGGACATGGCTCTATAAAGATCGAAGCAAATCAATCCTCCTGTGTTCATAGCACTTCCAGTGTAATAAATTACTTGACTAAAAAGAATCAGAACAAAGCCTCAAATTTCAGCTGTTTCCCTTACAAGACAGTTGATTGCAGCCATTACTGCTTCTTTGCTTCCTGGGAAAGCCACTTCAAGATTTCCTGAAGAAAAATATACCCAGTTAGATATAATGTGCTAGCACCTGTATCTGTGGCACTTTTGCATACTGTATTTAAATCTTTTAAATCAGGGACATGAAATGGGTGCATTCAATAATTCTGATTTCTATACTGTTTTGATCACTCCTTTAACAAACCACACTGTCTTAGAAGTGGTTGTTTATGCTGTCCACTACACTATAGACATTTTGAAGGAGGAAAAGAAACCTTTACTTTTCAGTAAAAATTGATTTATCACATTCTGTCAAGATTGTCTCTTAATATGGAACATGCATGTGGCATTGAAGTATAAAAACATGACCTTTCTATAATCATGCCAATTGCTTCTCATCCTTCCTAGCACTGAGCAAACAGATATTACCATCGTGTTTGAGGTTTTTCTCTGGAGTTTTAGTTATAAGGAGACAGGAATCCACCAAGCATTTGTTTAGTTTTTTTTCTTGCTATTTTATTTATAGTCCTTAACCACTTTTCAAGCATTATTCATGTAAATGTCTGCACTTTGATTTTCCAAGAATGCATATATGACCCTGGAATTATTTTGTGATCTGTACCTAATTCTAATAGTGATCTGAAGCTCTGTAGCATTTTAACATATATATGTAATTAGATATATATATATATATATATATATACATATAATATATATACATATATTATATGAAATGATATACATTTTGAGTCAGTTGTTTGATAAACACAAAGCATATTCAGCAATTATGAGTCAGGACCTCTAGGGCTGAATATTTTTCAAAACCCTGCTAGCCTTTGTTTCTTTAAACAAAACAACCCCACTCAGTGCTCAGAATATTGAAAATAAATGTTACAAATTGCACCTCCTAATTAAGCAACAATGCCAAGAGAAAAGAAACCTTTAAGGAGGTTTTGGTTTCCTGGTTTAAAAACAAAAACCTACTCAGTGCCATAACAAATTTGTTTTGTTGGCAAAGCAGCACTTAATGACTGCCAAAATGAAAGGAGACCTTATTGCAGGACACACAATAGCTCATTTCTCATTGTCAAGAACATCACTGTTTAACCTTCAAGACGGGCTCTACAAGAAATGCATTTCTGTTGTGTTATTTGATGATGTTCTGTGTAACAGCATAATGGCTATTCTCCTTTTTTCAGTTTTGAATTTTTGCTGTGTTATCAGAGAACTTGAATACTGTGAGAAGGTGATTTTAAGTTGATAAATCGGCATCTTGTTCCCATGGTGATAACACTTAACTGAATATATCTATGAGGGCATGTATTAAAGATGTAAAACAAACAACAGCACTAACAATACATAGCTGCAATGTGTACAATGGCTGATTTAATTAAATAAAAATGTAAAAGTGTTAAATGTAGCCATGAGAGTATGCTCTCTTTTTTGCAACTTAGAATCGGGAAATTATTTGAAAACTTTAATTGCAAAATTATAAACCTGGCAGTCTACACTGTTATGATTAATTTTACACAGTGTTAATGTTTGACCTTCAAGGTCTCAGAGATCTTAAAGGACCTAGGATCAATTTCTTCCATTCTGTCCATCTTAAATCTGGTTGTGAAGTGCATAGATGGTGATCACATGACAGCAGGACAGTCCGATGATGATTGTAAGTGTATGCACCAGTTGCATTTCTATTATATGGTTAGGAAAATACTGCAATTTAGCTGTAAAGTTACTTTTTCAGCATTGTTGTAATTTTGGTCACTAAACAAAGCAGTTGTTAAGCAAGTTATAGCTGTACAATGACACCCATACATTTGTGTTTTTCAGCAGAACTCTGGATTTTTGCTGAAAGTTTTGCATACTAGCTGAAGCATTAGAGGTAACTGTTTGTCAGTTCTAAAGGAATACAACTTGATAGCAGCTGCTAACTTTGTCTGGACAGCTAAAATATGCTAACATGTAGAATTGGCATCCTTTGGGCTCGTTTGTCATTCCTTATATTTTTATGCTTTTAAAAAACATAGTGACATCAATACATTTGCTACTATGGATTTTATTGGCAGTAAATGATTTATTAGAGACTTGCACTGCCTCTTATCAGTTACTATGCAATTCTTAAAATTTTTATCAAAATCTAAATCACATATAGTTGCCAAATGGAAATGGAATACTGAGTGTGCTGTTTTCTAAGGGAAGCCATTTGACTAAACTTTCTCGCATCGATCGGTTTCAATCACCTCAACAAAAATGGTAGGAGAGAACAGGCAAACTGAAATAATTAAATGTGAAGGAAATGTGGCAAGGATTAAAAAAAAATTCTATTCCAGGATACATGAAAACCAAGATTGTTTTTATTTGCAAGCAATGATGAATAGCAAATATGTAATGTGAGAAAAACATTGCCTTGCATTTTCTCATGATTTCATTATATTGAAATGCTTTATTATGTATGTATATTAGAACAATACCTTTTTTATCCTCCATGAAATCAGTATATCATAAAAACGTTAAAAACCTGTTTGAGTTTAGTTTCACAGCTTTAAAATATGGGGGTGCGTGTCAATTAAAAGAGAGAGAGAGAGCTTTTTTAAGACTGGCAAAGAAAAAAGTCTAAAAGGATAGAAGTATTGATTTGTTTATACATTCAAATCTTGTCCTTCCTTCCTTCTCTTTACTTCTTCCTTCTTTCTTCCTAGTATTTACCTAGAACTGCAAGGCCTGCTTTTTTTTCAGCCTGACATCATGGACTGAGAGAGAGTGACTGGCCCAAAGTCACCCAGCTAGCTTTCAGGTGGAACTAGAATTCAGTCTCCTGATTTCTAGTCTGATGCCTTAAGCACTAGACCAAACTGGCTTTCTGACTTTTATTATTTTATATTTTATTTTTATTTTATTATTTGTGTTATAAGGCTGCCTGTGATATAAACAACATCTCTGGGCAGCTTATAACAATAAAAACATAGAAATAAAACAGTATTACCAAACACTATTGCTAATCTTTTCCCCATTCTAGCTACATATTTGCTTGGCTCAATCATGCATTCCAGGTTGGAAATAGAACTTCAGAATTTTTGGTGTATAAGGTTGGAGAACGTAGCAATTTAAGAATCAATTTCTATAGGTTTCACTGCATGGATTGAGCTGAGAAAAAAACATTCTTGGCTCTACTATGTGAGATTTTTGAGGCCTTGCCTTTGGGGTCTAGGATAACCTGCCTTGGGTAACTTGCCATCGCCAACTTGCCACAGCTAACTCCCCACTGGACTACTCGCCACAGACAACTCATCACGGGACAACTTTCCACGGGACAATTCAATGCTGTATTAATTGTTTCATTCAGTTACTTTTATTATTGGTTTACTGGCTGGATGCCCTTCCTGGTGCCTATGTGAAATTCGCAGCAGACAGTTACTCATTGAGCCCAGAGACAGAGATAACTGCCGCTACCTAGGATCACTCAGCCTCCTGATTCTGAGGCAAGAGCTCCACATATAGGCCACCATGCCACTCCTAACATGATATCTCTGTCAATATTTATCTCCATTATCTTTCTCTTTCCAAGAATAAACAATATTATCCAAAACACTAGAGGGCACTATTCCCCCTGCAAAAAAACCCTAGTATCTTCACTGCCATCTAATGTTCTTGTGAACATGTGCGGCTCAGATATTGTAATCCCAGTTTACACTAAATTGTTAGGCAATGTTAACTAGAGTGACTAAGCCACCAAATACACATACGAGTGAAACCCGAAAAATTAGAATATCGTGCAAAAGTTCATTTATTTCAGTAATGCAACTTAAAAGGTGAACCTAATATATGAGATAGACTCATTACATGCAAAGCAAGATAGTTCAAGCCGTGATGGGTCATAAGTGAGATGATTATGGCTTACAACTCATGAAAACCCCAAATCCACAATCTCATAAAATTAGAATATTACATGCAGTCAATAAAACAAGGATTGTACATAGAACAATATTGGACCTCTGAAAAGTATAAGCATGCATATGTACTCAGTACTTGGTTTGGGACCCTTTTGCAGCAATTACTGCCTCAATGTGGCGTGGCATGGAAGCTATTAGCCTGTGGTACGGCTGAAGTGTTATGGAAGACCAGGATGCTTCAATAGCGGCCTTCAGCTCTTCTGCATTGTTCGGTCTCATGTCTCTCATCTTTCTCTTGGCAATGCTCCATAGATTCTCTATGGGGTTCAAGTCAGGCGAGTTTGATGGCCAATCAAGCACAGTAATCCCACGGTCATTGAACCAGGTTTTGGTGCTTTTGGCAGTGTGTGCCTCTCCATTCTTCATCCAGACTCTGGGTCCTTGGTTCCCAAATGAGATGCAAAAGTTGCTCTCATCAGAAAAGAGAACTTTGGACCACTGAGCAACATATTCATATTCATATTAGTAAAGTTGGAAGGGACCTTGGAGGTCATCTAGTCCAACCCCCTGCTCGGGCAGGAAACCCTACACCATTTCGGACAAGTGGCTGTCCAGTCTCTTCTTAAAAACTTCCAGTGTTGGAGCATTTACTGCTTCTGGAGGCAAGCTGTTCCACTGATTAATTGTTCTCACTGTCAGGAAGTTTCTCCTTAGTTCGAGGTTGCTTCTCTCCTTGATGAGTTTCCACCCGTTGCTTCTTGTCCTGCCTTCAGGTGCTTTGGAAAATAGCTTAATTCCCTCTTCTTTATGGCAGCCCCTGAGATATTGGAATACTGCTATCATGTCCCCCCTTGTCCTTCTCTTCGTTAAACTAGACATACCCAATTGTAGCAACCGTTCCTTATATGTTTTAGCCTCCACTCCCCTAATCATCTTTGTTGCTCTTCTCTGTACTATTTCTAGAGTCTCAACATCTTTTTTACATCGTGGTGACCAAAACTGGATGCAGTATTCCAGGTGTGGCCTTACCAAGGCATTGAAGAGTGGTATTAATACTTCACGTGATCTTGATTCTATCAGTTCATGGTGACCTAACCCTAAGTGGGATTTTTCTCCTATGGGATATTCCCATGTATTTTATCAGGAAACATAGAAAGGGAAGCCTAGAAAATAAGTGCCCTCCTAACCATACCCAAGCACTCCAAGCTTGTTCGCAGTGTCCATTTGGCTCTTTGAGTTCATGGTGACCTAACCCTAACCCTAAGTGGAATTTTCCTCCGATGGGATTTTCCCATTTATTTTATCAGGAAACATAAATAGGGCAGCCTAGAAATATAAGCGCCCTCCTAACAATACCCAAGCACTCCGAGTTTGTTGGCGATGTCCAATTGCTCTATGAGTTCTTTGTGACCTAACCCTAACCCTAAGTGGAATTTCCCTCCCATGGGATTTTCCCATATATTTTACCGGGAAACATGGATCAGCCTGGAAAAGTAAGTGCCCTCCTAACTTATACCCAAGCACTCTTGAGTTTGTTGGTGGTGTCCATTTTGCTCTATCAATTCATGGTGACCTAACCCTAACCCTAAGTGGAATTTTCCTCCTATGGGATTTTCCCATGTATTTTGCCAGGAAATATAGATAGGGCAGCCTACAAAAGTAAATGCCCTCATAACTATACCCAAGAACTACGAGTTTGTTGGCGATGTCCATTTTCCTCTATTAGTTCATTGCGACCTAACCCTAACCCTAAGTGGAAATTTCCTCCTATGGGATTTTCCCATGTATTTTACCAGGAAACATAGATAAGTCAGCCTAGAAAAGTAAGTGCCCTCCTAACCATACCCAAGCACTCCGAGTTTTTTGGCGGCTTCCACTTTGCTCTATGAGTTCATGGTAACCTAACCCTAAGTGGAATTTTCCTCCTATGGGATTTTCCCATGTATTTTACCAGGAAACGTGGATAGGTCAGCCTAGAAAAGTAAGTGCCCTCCTAAGTATACCCAAGCACTCCGAGTTTGTTGGTGGTGTCCATTTTGCTCTATCAGTTCATGGTGACCTAACCCTAACCCTAAGTGGAATTTTCCTCCTATGGGATTTTCCCATGTATTTTACCAGGAAACATGGATAGGTCAGCGTAGAAAAGTAAGTGCCCTCCCAACTATACCCAAGAACTACGAGTTTGTTGTTGTTGTTAATTGCGAAGTCGTGTCCGACCCATCGCGACCCCATGGACAACGTTCCTCCAGGTCTTCCTGTCCTCTACCATCTTCTGGAGTCCATTTAAATTCACACCTACTGCTTCAGTGACTCCATCCAGCCATCTCATTCTCTGTCGTCCCCTTCTTCTATTGCCCTCAATCTTTCCCAGCATTAGGCTCTTCTCCAGTGAATCCTTCCTTCTCATTAGGTGGCCAAAGTACTTGAGTTTCAACTTCAGGATCTGGCCTTCTAAAGAGCAGTCGGGGTTGATCTCTTCTAGGACTGACCGGTTTGAACGCCTTGCAGTCCAAGGGACTCGCAGGAG